GAATTTTTTGGTGACATTGGTGGTGATATCAATAAACTTTTTTTGATATTACATAATGATATGTGTCAACATTTGGAAGATATTCATTACTCAGGGAACTAATATATTCCAAATAACCAAGACATCATGTTACAAAATCATACAGTTATAAAAGACTCATTCAAAATGCAAGAGAGACCAGTGAATTTTAATGTAGCACAAAAGGTTTACTGATAGGGCTTCAGCTTCTACATTGCAACTAACTTTTAAGAAACTAACAGAGTTTTGCTGTTATATCAAAGAAAAATACCCAGAACTACCTGAAAAGCAACAAATTAATCCACCTCTTCCAACTACATATGTGTGGGAAGCTAGATTTTCTTCATCTACTTCAATCAAAAGCATATATTATAATAGGTTGAACGCAGATGCAGGTATGGGAGTCCCACCATCTTTTACCAAACCAGATGTTAAAACGTAAAATAATGGGATGCCTGGGTGGCTCAGTTGGTTAAGCAGCTGCCTTCGCCTCAGGTCATGATCCCAGGGTCCTGGGATCGAGTCCTGCATCGGCCTCCTTGCTCAGCAGGGCGCCTGCTTCTGCCTCTGCCTGCCACTCCTCCTGCTTGTGCTCTCTCTCTCTGACAAATAAATAAACAAAACCTTTAACAACAACAAAAAAAAGATTCTCTCTCTCCCTCTGCCTGCTCCCCACCCATCTCACACTCACATCTCTTTCTAAAAAAAAGAAAAGAAGATGTAAAACAATGTCAGTATTCTCAGAAAAAATTTTCATTCTTTAAATATAGCTACTTTTCATAAATAACCTATCATTAATGAAAACATATAATGGGTTTCTTATTATCTTTAAATAAATTGATAAGTAAAAAATTTTAGTCTCAACTAATTTCTAACATAGTGAATATCCATAGAGATACTCCATATACACAGAAGTTAGTTAAGTACTCAATAATTTTGAAGAATGTAAAGAGTTCCCAAGTCCAAAAAGTTTGAGTTAGATCTCTTGGTCTAAGAGAAAGTCGCACACCAGTCTTCAGAGAGATATTCCTCATAGCACTGACCATGGGAGCAAGTAGTTGGACTTAGCCTACATCTTGTTCACTAGGTGACTAGGTAAGTCATAATCATCATAATAATTCATTCAATATACACCATGTGCTCTTGCTGTTCTAAGTGCTTTACTTATTATATGATTGAATTATGTCATCCTTACAACAAATCTATGAAGAAGGCATCTCTATCACTTTCATTTTATAGATGGGAAAGTGAGCCCTGAGAAGTTAAATGACTTGCTTTCATCTTCCACTTCTTAAATGGTGGAGCTGAACTTCAACCTGAAGTCTTACCTCAGAGTCTATGTGCTTAATCACATTCAAGTTCCTCTAAATTGTGGTATTTGCATAGAACAAAGCACCACGGAGAAGTCAGGAACAATAGGTGAGTACTGCATGGCCTCACAATAATAAGTTAAAAAATAAGGGGCGGAGGGAAGGAATTGTATTGTAATGACTGCATAAGAAAATGCCATTTGTATACTTTTGTGTCACTCCAGATAAATGACTTACGGTGGATAATAAATGGATTGGAAATTGACTCAGTGGGGAAATAAAAAGAAAACAAAACAAAATAAAAATGGTGCTTCACAAAATGATGGTAGTATGCCATGAACTGAAGAGTACTGTTAATTCAATTTTTAATACCAAGGTTAACAAGAACAGTGAAAATACTGTCTACTCCAGACTCCACCCCATATACGCACACAACCTACAGTTGCCTTGAGGAAAAGAATTCTCCCCTCTCTGCCATGGAGACAACCATTTGCTCAGCTAACTATGGGAAACATGCAGCTCTTTCTTTCCAGCTTTATTCTAATCAGCCTCAGAGATTCTGACCCTGATCTCTGAAGCTCTCAACAAGAAAGGAAGAGCTGAGTGCCTGCAGAACTTGTAAAGTAAGAGCAGAATCCCTGGGAGGACAAGAATCCTCAAAATTGGGGCACCTGGGTGGCTCAGTCGGTTAAGCGTCTGCCTTTGACTCAGGTCATGATCCCAGGGTCCTGGGATCGAGCCCCTCATCGAGCCCCTCATCGGGCTCCTCTGCTTCTCTCTCTATCCCTCTGCTGCCCCCTCTGCTTGTGTGCTCTCTCTCTCTCTCAAATAAATAAATAAAATCTTAAAAAAAAGAATCCTCAAAATGAACCTAAAAAAATGGAATACTGTGACATAAAACATGCTCCACCCATTACTAAATCCACATGCCCTTTTATTCCATATCTCCATGATTTTTTTTCCTGAGGAGGAAATATTTATTTCAGCTAGTGTGAGAATTCAGTGATAGAATGCTAACTTTGCAGCAATGCTTTGCTTATGTCAAGGTCATTTTATTTTATTTTATACTTTCTGTTGCCTAGGCAAATCTGAATATTTTACTGTTTTTTCTTTGAAGCAAAGAAAATGGTCATTCCTTTCTTGAAAACTCATGCCTTCCTTCTTATTAGCATAGTCTTACCTTGAGCCTCCTTCAAAATGGAGAAACTTAAAATGGAATCCTGTGGGGCTCCCAGAGATTTTTCCCCCAATTCCTTTGAGTGGAGACTTCATCATTCTAGTTCCCCAATACCTATAACCCTCTCTCCTTTAATAATAACTACTAATAATTAATTACCTTGGGGATCTCTGTCTCCTCCCACTGATCAGTGGATTGTGTGTCTATATGGAGTGTGTATAGAAATCTGTCTGCTTTCAGCTGCCAGAACACCAGCCTTTTCTGAGGGGACTGATTCCAAGAAGAGGGAGGAAAACACATGTTGAATTTAAAGCCTGAGCTATTTTTAGGCCTCTTCTTTCTGGCTTCCTCCTCCGAGGCACAGGCTCCAAGTTCCTTCTTTCCTTGTATCTGAAAGCAAGGACTAACTCTACAAAGATCTTGTATTTTCCACATGGAATCCACACAGTGAGCATTTTAAAAGTACAGATGGAGCAGGGGCCCCTCAGGCTGAGGCTGTTGAATATGAAATGTCCCCAGATTGCACTTGAGTTTGTGTAAAGTTCTGGAAGAAGTGAGACAAAGTTTCTAAATCCCAAGCTGCAACCTCAATTCTTCACAGACACATTTGTTTCAAACTAAAATCTACAACTTCCTCTTTGCAAAGGGCCAGACGAATACGGTCTAAAGAGAGGAAGAAAGCCAAATAAACTGTATTCTAAACATCCCCCAGAACTTTAATTCTATGATGAATCATTTAGTCTAATCCTTATATAGAAATTGTCTGGTTCCTCACAGCTTGGCCCATTCTATGGGCAAGCCAAAATTTCCTCCAGGTATCATCTGTGGGCCTTTTTTCTCCAGGAAACAGGCTTTCTTCAATCCTAAATCTCAACTCTTTCTTTTTTTTAAAGATTTTATTTATTTATTTGACAGAGACACAGCAAGAGAAGGAACACAAACAGGGGAGTGGGAGAGGGAGAAGCAGGCTTCCCACTGAGCAGGGAGCCCGATGCGGGGCTTCATCCCAGGACCCTGGGACCATGACCTGAGCCGAAGGCAGACGCTTAACGACTGAGCCACCCAGGCCCGCCTAAATCTCAATTCTTTCCATTTACCTCTAACATTAATTTCAAGATGCAGACAGAATCTCCCTTAGTCCTGAAACATAATTACCCATCCTTGTGAAATTATCACATTGCTTTATCTTTATCCCATTATTCAGAATTTCTAAAATTACTCCCTCTTAGGATGCCTGGCTGGCTCAGTCTTGGAGCATGCCACACTTGATCTCAGGGTCAAGAGTTCAAGCAAAAATAAAATAAAATTACTCCTGTTGCTTCAGGTCCCAAGTAAATTGAAACAAAATATTTTCTCAGACCAATGACACATCTCAGGGTCAGCAGATTTTCCTCAAAGTACTGCATACATCAGTACTTTATACAAGGCTACTGTTTGTCAAGTTATTAAAACTCAAATGCCATCCTTAATATTCATATTCCCTTTTATATGTCATGTTTCTCATTTAGCCCTTTGCTGATTCTAGTTACTACGACGTTTTTCATTTATTATGTTGCTTTATAACTAATTTGAAGAGTAAAATTTAGATTTCATATACTGTTATGGTTTCCTAACTTTAGGAAGTATTAAGGGAAGTATTTCATTCGTTCTAATTTTAAAGTCATTGCAATAAAATTCGCTCCATACAGTTCTGCTGACACCTGTTGTCCTTAACAGTTTTCTGTTCCGGACTGCTGTAATATTCTGCTTATAAACATGTCATTCCATGGAGAAATGAGCTTTGTGCTTCTATCATAAAGAAGGGGCGCCTGGGTGGCTCAGTCGGTTGAGCCTCTGCCTTCGGCTCAGGTCATGATCCCGGGGACCTGGGATGGAGCCCCGTGTTGGGCTCCTTGCTCAGTGGGGAGCCTGCTTCTCCCTCTCCCTCTGCCCCTCCCCTCCGCCTGTGCTCTTTCTGTCAAATAAATAAACAAAATCTACAGAAAGAAAGAAAGAAGGAAAGAGAGAGAGAGGAAGGAAGGAAGGAAGGAAGGAAGAAAAAGAAAGAAAGAAAGAAAGAAAGAAAGAAAGAAAGAAAGAAAGAAAGAAAGAAAGAAAGAAAGAAGGAAAGAGAGAGAGGAAGGAAGGAAGGAAGGAAGGAAGGAAGGAAGGAAGGAAGGAAGGAAGGAAGAAAAAAAAGAAAGAAAGAAAGAAAGAAAGAAAAGAAAGAAAGAAAGGAAAGAAAGGAAAGAAAAGAAAGAAAGAAAGAAAGAAAGAAAGAAAGAAAGAAAGAAAGAAAGAAAGAAAGAAAGAGAGAGAGAGAGAGAGAGAGAGAGAGAGAGAAAAGAAAGAATCATTTTCCAACAAAGCAATCCTGCAAAGCGCGGAGGGAACTTCACCGAGTCAAGCGCAATCTGCCCAGGGGCGGAGATCACCGCCCTCCGCAGAAGGTCCCGCCACTGCTCATTCCGCCCCTTCCCCCACCTCCCCCGCCCGGCGCGGGTCCGCCCGCCTCGCTCCCGCCCCCTGCCTCGCCCAGGGCGCGCTCCCGGGAAGGGCCGGCTCGGGGCAGGGCGACAGCCGGCTAGGTCTGGCTGAGTGCTCGCGTCCTCCCAACTTCGGGGCGCCGGGGCGGCGGACCCCAGCCGAGAGAGCTAACGGCCTCGGTACCGCCCCCCGCCTCCCCTCGCCAGGCGCCCGCGGACCATGTTCTCCATCCCGCGGAGGTGGGGCGCCGGCAGCAGCTACGAGCGGGTCCCCGAGGGGCCCGAGGCGCAGGTAATGCTCATTGGTCCTGGGGGCCCTGGGGGAGGCGGGCGGTCTTCGCCACCCTGGGTGGGGAGGGGGGGGGGGAGAGCCGCCGGTTCGGGCGCTGGCCTGTGAACTGATGCTTTAGAGCCCCCGGTTTAGTAGAAATCACACACACACGCACACACGGACGGACACACACAAGCGCGCAGTCGTGGGAGCTGACACCAGCCCTCAGGCTGACGTGAACTCTGAACCATCAAGATCTCAGCCAAGGTGGCTGCTGGAGGAGAGAAAGAGGCTGCTTTGAAGGGGTGGAGCACTCCGCCGTCAGCAGAAACAAGCGTTTGGGAAAAGAATGAACGGACCTGGCATCGGGGAAGGAGGAGAGGCTGGGATGGGATTGCACACGCAGCGGCAGAACCCACCGAAACTGCAGGGGAGATTCGGCGTAAATACCCCGGGGTTAACTGGCAGGTGTTAACTGACCGGGTGTTGGGAGCCTGCGGTTGGGGCAATCCGGACACTGCAGACGCTTAACTGTGCCTCGCTCTGCCCCCGTGATTAACACGTGCTTCTTCCACAATAGAAGTCACGTGCTGGACCACAGAGCAGGGCCACCAACCGCGCAGTGGTGTGTTAGGAGTAATTTCCCTAACAAAAATGCCACGTGTTTTGTCCTTCCACTTCCCCTAACTTCCTCCACTAAGACTTTCTTTTTTTTTTTTTTTTAAGATTTTATTTATTTATTTGACAGAGAGACACAGCGAGAGAGGGAACACAAGCAGGGGGAGTGGGAGAGGGAGAAGCAGGCCTCCTGCCGAGCAGGGAGCCCAAGGTGGGGCTCGATCTCAGGACCCTGGGACCATGACCTGAGCCGAAGGCTGTCGCTTAACCAACTGAGCCACCCAGGCGCCCAGAACACCACTTTCAATATAGTATTTTGAATTGAGATTACAAAGAACTAGTCTTATTTCTACTAGCCCTGTTTCCCAAAAATAATGGAAGGTATTTTTCACAGGAGATGATTCCCTACAACCCTCTCAGTTTTTAAAAGATTTTATTTATTTATTTTGAGAGAGAGACACACAGCAAGAGAGGGAACACAAGCAGGGGGAGTGGGAGAGGGAGAAGCAGGCTTCCCGCCGAGCAGGGAGCCCGATGCGGGGCTCGCTCCCAGGACCCTGGGATCATGACCTGCGCCGAAGGCAGTCGCTTAACCAACTGAGCCACCCAGGCGCCCTCCACTAAGACTTTCTAAAGTCTTAGAAATTTTGCCCCTCACATAAGTCGTTCTGTAATTCTAAAAAGGAGAAAGAAAAATTCAGGTTCAGGGGATCTTGTTTTAATCCTGGTTCTTGTTAGTGACTCCAAGTGTCAAATATGACAGCATTCTTCTAATTACATATAAAATGAAACTATAAATGTTTTTAAAAGTAAAGCAAATTGTATGTAAAGTATTCTTTTAAAAGTCTATAAAATATAGATGTTGAATAAATCCCTTGAAAATGTGAAAGAGCTCCACCAGGACAATACACCTTTTTTTTTTTTTACTTTACAGGAGAGATGGCAGTTTTAAGCAGGGAAATGGGTTTCACATCACTGGTGCAACTACGGAAGTGGCCAAAGGCAGTGAATCACCAACTTAATAGGGTGGGAAATTATAAAACTCAAACAATTCTCTCACCCAAAATTGTAGTCAGTTCTTCCTGTAGGATTCCAACAATGTTTATATCCTTGACTATTATTCAACCTGGATAGCTTTATGGACCAGGAATCCATTTAGACAGGATTGAAAATACTGTTTTAATCGCATTTTCTTTTTGTTACTTCATGATGCCAATTTAAAAAAAAAAATAGTTGATGGCTTCAGAGCATATTGAAAACCTTATATGATTACATTTCATTGCTGAGACTTTATATTTTGACATAATAGATCTCAGACAAAAATCCCACCTACTTATAAGCTAAGAACATGACTTTCTTTCTTTTTTTTTTTTTTTTAAGATTTTATTTATTTATTTGACAGACACAGCGAGAGAGGGAACACAAGCAGGGGGAGTGGGAGAGGGAGAAGCAGGCTCCCCGGAGAGCAGGGAGCCCGATGCGGGACTCGATCCCAGGACCCTGGGATCATGACCTGAGCTGAAGGCAGTCGCTTAACCAACTGAGCCACCCAGGCGCCCCAGAACATGACGTTCTGATAGTTTCTAGGGTTGGCATGGTGACCTATGAATAGAATACTTCTAAATACTTGTGATTAGCAGGGGCCATTCATTCATCCCCCTCCCCCCCAACATGTTTATTATGAGCTAGCCCCTGGGCTAAACCTGAAAATATAAAGATGAATTGAATACAGTTTTCCGTCTTCCAGAGGAACTAAGTCTAGCAAGAGAGAAGTACCTGTCAGCAAATGTTTTGATAGTCAGGAAAGAGTGAGGGTACATTCAGTGAAGACAGTTCTGAAGAATCCCTTAAATCCTCCCTGAGGCATATGTTGAGATTGCTATGGTAACCCAGAACAAGAATATAAGCCCTAAAAAAAAAAAAAAAAAAAAAAAGAATATAAGCCTTGGAGGCTGGGATGGGAGGAAAGGAATTACCAAAGGCAGTAAATTTTTTTTCTTTCCCCAAAGGCAATAAATCTTAAATAGGATTGAAGTACAAGTGAGAATTAGCCAGAAGTGAAGTAGAAGGATGTGGGCAGGAGGAAAGATATCTCAGTAGCTGCAGCGTGTAACAGAGTTGAGAATGTGGAAACACGACTGGAAGATACAATGGACTAACTGGATTAGATCCTATCTCTTAAACTTCTTTAAGTTTCTTAAACTCTGGGCCTTAGTTTCCTCCTCTGTAAAATGGAGTTGACAAAAGTGGTTTCACCACAAAGACATATATATTTATATAATTTTATTTATTTATTTGAGAAAGAGAGAGGAAGCATGAGCAGGGGGGAGAGGCAGAGGGAGAAGCAGTCTCCCCACTGAGCAGGGAGCCTGTCGGGGCTTGATCCCAGGACTTGAGCCAAAGGCAGCCGCTTAACCGGCTGAGCAGCCTGGGAGCCCCACAGACATGTTGTATTTAATGAGATAATACACTTCATACAGAATCTGGCACATAATAAGTGATTAAGAAACAAATTATTTTTGGTTTCTGGATGTTTTCCCTTCCCCACGAGGCTGTCCTTCCACTTCCCCTAACTTCCTCCACCAATCCCAGAACCCTGCTCCAGTATGCACAAAGGAAGCTCCTGAAGTTAGGGGTTATGAGATACTGTTAAATGTAGCAGTCGCACAAACCATATCCTCGTGGGACCACATCTCAAGGTTGAACCCAAGGAAGATTGAAAGCAAAACACTTCACTAATCCTGGACCCTGGCTATGCTGTGGTCTCATGGTCTAAAAATTTCCTGCTCCATCATCATCCAGAAATAACAGGACCTCTGTTCAAATGAAAATTGCCCTTAAGTCCGCCGTGTTAAGGTATGTTGATAGGACACCTGCTATACCTGAAATGGTAGATAAGTATAATAGATAAGAAAATGGACTAGAAAACAAAGGCCTGTAGTGGCCCTGGGGCAACAAGGGAAATGGGAAACATTGGGATCAGTTCGGTCTGCAGACCAGAAGTGATGTCAGAGTGAGATAAGTGAATTAGAAGGATTGAGAAATGTTTAATGGAGAAGATGGGAGTAAATTAAGACACTGAAAGATACTCTTGTTACGGAACTTGGACTGGATCGCCTGACGGAAGAACCAAGCGGCACTCAGAGATCTTGGAGGATAGGAGGTTTATTTAACGCCGGGGAGCTCAGAGGAGAGTGATCTTTACTTTACTTTATAGCAATATATCAATAATGAACTCAGTGAGACCCATGCTATGAATTCAGTATTTATTGAAAAGTCATTTGTATATCCTTGGTGCTTGATAAGGCTAATTACCTTCACCAGATATTTTACCTATCTACTGTAATTTTTTTCTGGGAGGTAAATTTGGAATTTACTGTGATAAATTCAGTGTAAGAAGCCTGGCCCACATCTAAGGAGGCTATTTACCAAAGGACTCAAAGGGCTTCATATAAGATGCTTTCTTTTTTTTACTTAGCTCATGATTCTCTGGATCAGTTGAGTCATGACCTGGTTTGGGTCAGCTTGGCTGATCTCTGCTGATCTCTTTCAGGCACTAAAGCCAACTGGAAAGTTGGCTGGTGACAGGATCGTCTAGGACTAATTTACTCCTATGTCTAGTACTTGTTCCAAGCCAGGATGACAGACCTGTCAGATGAGCACCTCAGTTCTCTCCTATGGGGTCTCTCATCCTCTAGCAGGCCAGCTCAGGATCAGACACATGGTGCACTCAGGGTTCTGAGCACAGCAAGCCTCTCGGCACTTAGAATTGGAGCTCTCTTGGTGTCACTCTTGTGGCATTTTCATGATCAAAATTTTCAAGGGGTGGAGACTAGCGTTTACCTCTTGATGGGAAAAGCTCCTAAGGATCTGTAGCCATTTGCAATCTGCCACAGAAATACACGTGTTTTGGAGGTGAATACGATCTCTGGTTTGGTGGTAAATTATCAAGTTGGCAACTCCCTGTGAAATAATTTGTGACTTGCAGGTTAATTCAAGAATTTTCAGAACATTCTCCACAATATGTGCACTTATTTTCCAAGTAATATGTTTGGTAATAGTAGTGATGATGATACAGTTCACATGTATGAGTTGTTGTTTTGGGCCAAGTATGATGATGGTTTTACATCTGTCACTGCATTTACTTTTGCAACAATAATATAAGGATAGATAGCAATTGAGTAAATGATTTATAGTAGTAGATCATTTGCTGTAACTCAGAGAACAGATGTGGAGTGAACAATGTTTTCTCAGGACATTTGCTGTATAGGTTGGAATTTTGTTGCACAGATTCCTTCTAGGATAAGAATTTTTTAAAACATAGTGAACACTTTATGTATGAGATCAGAACTGGATTAGAGAGGGTCAGTGCTAAAATTGTTAAATATGGGACAATTTCTCATAATGAACTTTACTCTGGTGATCAGTTTTACTTTTTAAAATATAGACATTGGTGCTGACTCTAAAAATATAAAATGATTACTTTTGAGGCCCTTTTAAGCCCTTCTTTTGGTTGAACTCACCAGGTCAACAGGAAGAATTTTATGGTAATGTTGTAAACTCCCAAAATAGTATGTAATTGTGATAAATAAATGTTTATATATTTATACCTTTATACTAAAATATGTAATTAAGCACACAGATGTAAACCAAATGCCTATTATATTCTCGGGCGCCTGGGTGGCTCAGTTGGTTAAGTGACTGCCTTCGGCACAGGTCATGATCCTGGAGTCCCGGGATCGAGTCCCATATCGGGCTCCTTGATTAGCAGGGGGTCTGCTTCTCCCTCTGATCCTCCCCCCTCTCATGTGCTCTCTCTCTCTCTCATTCTCTCTCTCAAATAAATAAAATCTTTAAAAAAAAATGCCTATTATATTCTCTTATTTTTATACTTTTAGAAAAAAACCCAAAACTATCTTTAATTTAGTGATTAAAATGTTTTAAATTTAGCCTATATAGAGAGCTAAATTATGTATGTATACATAAGCAAATACATACATATATACACAGTCATAGAAATTCAAGGAGATAGAGAGAGAGAGAGAGAGAGAGAGAATGAGAAATAGAGATTTCAGAAATGATTTCCCTTTCCTACATGATTTCTTGCTATGTAAGCAGAGTCATAATGATAATGTTGGGAGAAATCTTAAAATGCCTCTAGTCCAACCACCATTCTCATATCTTAATTTTATTCCTTAGGGATTATGATAGCAACATAGCTGCAACTATTGGTAGATGAAATTATTTCATGTTTACTTTTCCACCTGTTGACAAAGATATTTCAAATTTGAAATAAAGGCATATTCTTCATAGACTACTTGTTATATTTTTCTTTTTAGAAATGCAATCCGGAGAAAAGTGCTTCATTCTTCAGTAGGATGACATATTCCTGGTTTAGCAGGTAGGAATTGTACTAATTTGTTTGCAGCATACCATTCTGAGGAAGATTCCAAGGAAAATGACACCTAAATGCTATTCCTCCAGTCTAAAGCATGCATATTTTTCTAAATTGACTTTGTTAAGACTTTTTTCTTATTTTATTACAGAGAAATCACAAGACAATAACATACTAAGTAGTTCCACAGATAAGATTGCTAATACTCCTGCAATATGTCTGTCCCTTCATAAGATTTGTAACCCTGTCAGGACTATACAAGGAGAGAAATTTGAATTTTTTTTTTTTTAAGATTCTATTTATTTATTTGAGAGAGACAGAGGAAGAGAGAGAGAGCACACACGAGCAATTCGGGGGGGCACAGAGGGAGAGGGATAAGTGGAGAATCTCAAGCATACTCCGTGCTGAGTGGGGAGCTCGTGGCGAGGCTCCATCCCATGACCCTGAGATCATGACCTGAGCCGAAACCAAGAGTCAGGTGCTTCACTGACTGAGCCACCCAGGCACCCCAGAAATTTGAATTTTTTTTTAACATCCAGTATATATGTGCATATAATTTTACTTAATTCCCCCCCCAAGTCTTATGAGATAGGCATTTACATATAAGAAAATTGAAAATTGAAGGTTAGAGAAAGGAATTAACTTGTCCATTGATACCCAAGAAGGAGTGCACCAAGTTGGTGTTGGAAGTCAGTTTCTTTGAGTCCCTGTTTCATGCTTTTTTTTCACTTTGATAGTCTACTCTTTACTAGGAATGCTCCCACAAATATGTGCGTGTATATATATATACTGCTATTAAAACACATACATAGTCATTTTTATAAGACATATAATGTGGTTTATCTCACAGAATAGTTCATCTATAATGTGTGATGAGGGCTTTAACCCAGAATTAAATCATATTAAAAGAGAAGAATTGATTTTTCCAATTTTATAAATTCAGAAGCTTTCTTTAGATATGTATTTCTTTCCCCCATAACAGATTATGATACAAAAAACTATTATCTTAACTTTATGCCCCTTGTTTTAGGGTTAGTAGAAACAAAATTGCCCAATATGATCTACAAATATGCTCTCAATAGTAGATGAATGCTTAAAAAAAAAAAAAAAAGAAAAGAAAAGGTTGATCGTGTGCTGGATGCCCTGCATTATGCTAACCTTTAAGAATGCAGAGATAGGGGCACCTGGGTGGCTCAGTCGTTAAGCATCTGCCTTTGGCTCAGGTCATGATCCCAGGGTCCTGGGACTATGTCCCGCATCAGGCTCCCTGCTTGGCGGGAAGCCTGCTTCTCCCTCTCGCACTCCCCCTGCTTGTGTTCCCTCTCTCGCTGTGTCTCTCTCTGTCAGATAAATAAATAAAATCCTAAAAAAAAAGAATGCAGAGATAAATGCCCTAGTTCATATCTTCTAGGAATTCATAGATTTAGAAAGATTAAAAAGTATGCTGTCAATTACCCAAAAAAGGCAAAAGGCAATATAAGCATGATAGAGAAACACAGTTTTCAGGAATGCCGTCTAACCACATTTGCACAGTTAGGGAATGTTTTACAAGTAATTAATGTTTGAACCCAACATGTAACAATGTAAGAGTGAACCAAGTGGCATTCCAAGTTGAGCAAATACTGTATGCAAACCAGAGAGGCAAGCGTGGACTGACCCCTCCCACACTGCAGCCTGTTGACGTGGCAAGAGATTAAGCAGAGTGTCCTGTAATTCTTGCTCGCACTTCAGAAAATCCCCTTTGCAGTTGTGTGGATATGGTATGTACCAGGTGAGAATGGAGACAAAGGGAGTGGTTAGGTTCTTCAATTATGCTGTAAATTTATGCTTATGGTCTGAACTATGGTAAAGAGGATGAAGAGGAAGGAACAGATTCAAAAGCTAATGAACGATTAGATAAGGAAATTGAAGAACTGGGAAAAATGTTTATCAGTTTCTGGCTCGGATAACCACCCGATTCAGGTGTGGCGGAAAAACTATGTTCAGTTTGGAGAAGCTTCAATTTGGGATGTCTGACTCATCCCCATAAAAAATATCTAATAGGTGTTTGGATATATAGGCTTTTGATCTATTGATACGGATTTGGGAGTCATTGACTGTATGTCAGTCGTTGAAGCCATGAGTATGAATGAGATCATCCAGAAGGGAGAGCCTATTGAACGGGATGAGCAAACAGAACATTGAGAATCCTCAGTATTAAATGGTGAAAGGAGGGGTCATCTACCAAGGAAGCTAAGGAAAGGCATTCCGAATGTAGGAGACAAACCAAGGAAAGAGTGTGTTTGAAAGCTAAGGAAACTGTCAAAAAAGGAGGAAAATAAGGTGGTCAATAGCACCAAATACTGAAAAGGGGTAGATTAAAAAAAGAACTGAGTATTCTTCATTGAATTTGGCAATGTAAAGGTCATTGGTGATTTTTATGAAAGCAGTTTAAGTAGAAAACTGATATACTTGCTGAGCAAATAATTGGGCAGAAGCAAATAAATTGCATTAAGTTGTAAGAATTTCAAGTTAACACAAATCTAAGAATCACTTAAAGAGGATGGCAAAAATTTTACATCAATATGCTACATTAAGTTACACACTAGAAAAAAGAATGATTAAATAGGAATTATGTAAATGTGGGCTATTTACATTTAATGATCTTGATTTTTCAAATTTGTATATGTATAAATATATTTTCCAAACCTGAGTTATATTTCATTCATGTGTTGAGAGGAAGAGTGATGTCTATTCTGGCTTTAAAAATTTCAGACTATCATTTTTAAGTCACAGGATATCATAGAATTTAAATAATGCAAATAAAATTAATTTTAAGGAAATGAACTTTTAAAACTTTATCAGACTATAAAGACTATATGCATTTATTTTAAATATTACAAACACCATTTTAGGAGGCCTAAAATATGAGCTGAAATTAAATTTAATAAGCAAGATAAGGCTTAGCAAATTTTAAAATATAACAACTCAATGTCTTGAACAAACCAATAAGCTGTAATTGTTGACTATCACATTTATTTTCTGTTTAGATTTAACATCTCAGAACTAGATAGGAAATATTTTTATAGCATGCTGCTATCTGGAGCTGTCACTGGCATGAATCTAATTTGATTTCTTATCTGGTAATTAAACATTTGCAGCTAAAATATAGCTATTGTTTAAGAGAATGTCTCTTTGAAGACAGTGGTTAATTGTGTTCTCAGATCTTTTCTTTGAGTTACAGAATAAAGTCAGAAATTATTTCCTAGGCCAAATTCAAGCTCCCATAATTATATGAATAATCCAATTAAAATGTGCTCAGATGATACAAATAATCAGGGAATTATATGCTTATGATCCTTAATTCCTAAGGCAGGAACTGTCTAGATAGTTTTGATGATCAAATAATTATGAAGCCTTTATTAGCAAATATAATCTGTCATCAGTGTATAATAATCATTGTCATAGAATAATCCCCTTGACATACATGGGAAAATCTAGTTAAAGTTTTTTTTTTTTTTTTTAAGATTTTATTTATTTTTTTGACAGAGAGACACAGCGAGAGAGGGAACACAAACAGGGGGAGTGGGAGAGGGAGAAGCAGGCTTCCCGCCAACACGGAGCTCAATCCCAGGACCCTGGGATCATGACCTGAGCCAAAGGCAGATGCTTAACGACTGAGCCACCCAGGCGCCCCTAGTTAAAGTTTTTAGAGGTCACAGTTGAATCACTGTTTTAACCAGGGATACACTATTCAGTCTGTCCTCCCTTTCCTCACATATTAATAAAACATATATTACCTATGTCGTATCTTGTAAGTTTTGGATAGACTGACCCTTTGCCTTTTCCCATAACACAGTCACCCCTTTCCAGAAATGTTTTAAAAAGTGATTAACAGTAATGAAATTGATGATGCAACTATATATCTGTTTTCCAATGTTACTCATCTACAAAATTTATATTTCATCTCATCTTCCTAGCGAACTGCTACTGGTTTGCTGCTCTTAAGATCAGTTGGATGAGATCTTTACTCACACTTGTTAATGTCAGTATCAAATATACTCAAAATTCTCTCTAAGATCACAAAATTGAAAGCAGAGTGGAATATTACACTTAACGGCATTGTCTGCCTTTGGTTAAGTTAGCCTTGGTTTATGTCACATTTAAAAAACTGACCAGTCTCTGGAGTTCTTGGTGTTTAACCACCTGTAATAATGGGAAATTAGTACTGCTCTACCTCTTTTAGAGAGCTGCGAGGATCAAATTAATTTAACTGAATGACCTTTGAAAAGAAGTATCAGTCTAAAAAATACAAGATGCATGCTTAGGAATCAAGTCCACAAGTTTATGGGACCTGGTGCATGCTACATTCCCCTTATTGGGACAGTCAGCTCTTGGTCCCAGTTCTTCCCAAAAAGCTGCCTCATCATTTGCTTTAAAAAGAAGCACTCCTTCCTCTTTTCCTGGATGCTTATGTGTGATAGAAAGACCAGCCAGGGTGATGAGAGTATTTAAATTTACCAAGGGAGAGCAAAAAGAGGAGGAGGGAGCACACACCTGGGAAAAGGCAAGTCACAGTAGTTAAACAGCTGAACCACGGGCATCACAATCAATTCATTTGAAGTGTCACTTTTAGATGCTGCATTATTTGGAGACTCAGCATGAAAGCCAGGGGTCACTTATCCCCATGAACCAAAACCGCTGAGTTTTTCACAGTTCTAACTCAAAATGCTGAGGCAGTAAATGTTATTAAAAATGCTTTTGTGAAAATCAATGCAATCTTATTTTGAAAATGAATATTTATGGGCGCCTGGGTGGCTCAGTTGGTTAAGCGACTGCCTTCGGCTCAGGTCATGATCCTGGAGTCCCTGGATCGAGTCCTGCATTGGGCTCCCTGCTTGGCAGGGAGCCTGCTTCTCCCTCTGACCCTCCCCCCTCTCATGTGCTCTCTCTCTCTCTCATTCTGTCTCAAATAAATAAATAAAATCTTTAAAAAAAAAAAAAGAAAATGAATATTTATTTTGTGGAATGGAATAGAAAGACTTAATATGACATAAAAGTAGTTTATTGCTTAATATGTTTTTGAAAGTGCACTGCAGGAAAATGTCCAGGGTATTTGAGCCAACAGAAACATGATTATTGAAGGTCCTTTCTTACTACTTTTAAACCTTTTTGTTAAATGTGAATTGTAATATGATATTATGTAGTATAATAAAAGTGAAATTGAATCCAGTGCAGACTCTGGTTACCATAGGGTTTAAATCCATCTCAGGGTCAATCAATAGAGATTGTTCAGTAATAATGACAATGAAACCAGTCCCAGTGTGGAGTAGTGTAATACTTTGTTATGGTCTCTTGGACTAATAATGTACTTTATAATGGAAAGAACAAAAACTATTGAGTCAAAAGGCCTGGGTTTAAACATGGGTTTAATTTCTTCCTGAACAAGTCCTGTCACCAAGCTCATAAACTGAGCATATCTGAACTACATCACTTAGGAACTTGGCTGGCTTTTATATCCTTTGGGTAAATACCTAGTAATGCAATTGCTGGGTCCTAGGGTAGTTCTATTTTCAACTTTTTGAGAAACCTCCATACTGTTTTCCAGAGTGGCTGCACCAGCTTGCATTCCCACCAACAGTGTAAGAGGGTTCTCCTTTCTCCACATCCTCACTAAGTGAAATAAGTCAGTCAGAGAAAAACAAATACCATACCATATGATTTCACTCATGTGTAGAATTTAAGAAACAAAACAGATAAACATATGGGAAAGAAAAAAGAGAGAGAGAGAGAGAAGCAAACCATAAGAGACTCTTGCCAGAGAACAAACTGAGGGTTGATGGAGGGAAGTGGGTGGGGAGTGGGCTAAATGGGTGATGGGTATTAAAGAGGTCACTTGTTATGATAAGCACTGGGTGTTATACGTAAGTATAACTAATCACTAAATTCTACTCCAAAAACAGATATTACACTATATATTAACTAACTAGAATTTAATAAAAATTTGAAAAGAAAAAAAAAAAATCAAGGAACATATCAAGCAACAGAGTAGCCAAATAATAACAGCTGAAACAAATAGGTATTTATTTTGTTGTTATTGGGCAGAACGCTAGGAATAAGCGGGTAAACTATGTTATAAGGGGCCCAGAATTTTTCTCTTTCCACTTCCCTTCCTTATTATTTGGCATTTTGCCGATGGTGGCAAAGTTGGCTTCTCTATGTCAGAGCATTATACCTCCAGTGCAGGCAGAAAGGAGAAGGGGAAAGGAAAAAGGAGGCAGAACATTTTTTCCTCTTGAAGTTTTGTGCCTCCTTTTGAAAAAGAAAGTTCTCCTCAGCAGACTTGTGTTTAGGTATCCCTAACCGTAACTGAGTTAAATTATTAATGCTTAGCAAAAGATACTGAGATTACCAGGACTACTTTAGACCAATCTATAAGTTATGACTCTGTGGCTGGGATAAGGACTTACCCTGAGTTTGAGAGATTTTCACCTGAATAAGTATCAGATTCCTGGTGGTAAGAAGATGATGGGGCAGAAGGATGGCTGTAAGGTAAGTATAATTTATTGTCTGCCACAACATTTGTTGTGTAACTAGACCATGAATCATAGTTTGCCAGGGACAGTCCTGATTTAGACCCATTGTTTTTGCATAATTATTCACAATGTCCTTTGGGGTAAACTCACTGAATGGGGGAGAGTGGAAGTACTGAGACGCGCAGTAACTTGCCATACTTCTTTTTTTTTTTTTTTTTTTAAGATTTTATTTATTTATTTGACAGAGAGAGACACAGCAAGAGAGGGAACACAAGCAGGGGGACTGGGAGAGGGAGAAGCAGGCTTTTGCCGAGCAGGGAGCCCGATGAGGGGCTTGATCCCAGGACCCTGGGATCATGACCTGAGCCAAAGGCAGACGCTTAACGACTGAGCCACCCAGGCGCCCCAACTTGCCGTACTTCTTAAGGCATCTTAAGAAACAGCACTGTCACACTGGCTCATATTCTGTTGGCCAAAGTAGGTCATATGGCCAAGGCTAAAGTTTATGGGGCAGAGACAGGTACTCCACATCTAGTTGGACAATTTGTAAAGTGAAGTGGCAAAGGGTATATAATGTCCCAGTGGAATAGGAGAAGTTGCAAATGCAGAGGTTGGATCCATTTCTCCTCTGATACAAGACAGAGGAGTTGTAGTTTTTTTTTTTTTTTTTTTAAGATTTTATTTATTTATTTGACAGAGAGAGACACAGCGAGAGAGGGAACACAAGCAGGGGGAGCGGGAGAGGGAGAAGCAAGCTCCCCGCTGAGCAGGGAGCCCAACAGGGGGCTCAGTCCCAGGACCCCAGGATCATGACCTGAGCCGAAGGCAGATGCTTAACCATCTGAGCCACCCAGGCGCCCCAGGAGTTGGGGTTTTGAAGTGAACACCTGACTGTGAAAGTTAGCTATATAAATTTCAGTAAGGGAGGTAAAGTAGTAGGTGCTTCCAATATGAGATGAGTAAAGGAAGTTAGTGTTTCACTGAATAATCCAAGTAATTCTTCTAAAAGCTACAAGTGATTATTGCACATTGTTGAACTGCAGGATATGTTGTATGATTTTTCACATTACAATCTAGTCATTGCATCCTGATTTAAAAAATAATTTATAAATCAAAGAATAAGATAAATGCATGCAAAATTATTTTTAACTTGATTATTGGTTTTGCTGAATTGTTTACCTTACTCTTTCATTTTTAGAATAATTGTTTTAGGCTATAAGAAACCTTTGGAAAGAGAGGATCTTGTTGAACTAAATGAAAGTGATTCTTCCTATATTGTGTGTCCCATCTTTGAAAAACAATGGAGGAAGGAAGTTTTAAGGAATCAAGAGAGGCAAGAAGTAAAGGTAATTAATTCTTAAAACCTAAGTACCTAATTACTACCTAAAACTAGAAAGAGGTTCTCCCAAACATGAGATGATATTATTATAAATTTAGAAAGTTCTTAAAATAGTGCAATGACAAGCCATTTTCATAAGTACAGTTGGTTGTTATTGCAACGAATTTCTGTCATCAAATTATGCAGCAACCCCTCCCTTTAATATCAGGAACAATGTGTTGATATGTTATCTTTGGCTTTTTACCAGTATCTTTTGCTCAACTATCATGGCAAAGATGGGTTCGATATCTCATGGCCTCATATCTGTTGGTCCAACTAATAACATGGTGACCAAGAGCAAAGCTTATGGAGCAGGGATGGTTACTCCTTATCTATCTAGTATCATATATACACACATATATATCCTCTTTAGAATTCCCAAAAAGAAAATACAATTTGAAGATAAAATTGTATTTATATTAATTAATTACATTAATGAAACAGTTTCAGCATTCACAAAATAAAATAGAACTGTTTCTCTTGCCCATTTATACCACGTGGTGTAAATAATACCAGGTGATCTGAAGACATACAGTTCCAATGATATAGGTCATATTTTCAAGTTTAACTGAATTTATCCCTTCTGACCTTATTATCTCTGGAGTACAGTACTAATTTTATGGTTGGTGTATATATATATTTCATTTTTTACCTCTATTAGCTCTGTCCAATTTTCTCACTGTTTCTTATTTTCTTTCATTATGTAGGCATCCTTTCATAAAGAGGCACATGCCAGGAAACCATCTCTGGTCTATGCATTGTGGAACACCTTTAAGTTTGTCCTGATTCAAGTTGCTTTATTCAGAGTGTTTGCTGATATTTTGTCCTTCACTAGCCCACTCATAATGAAGTAAGTTGTAGTTTTTTTTTTTTGTTTTTTTTTAATCTCCCCACAGGTAAATGATAAGCAAGTGTTCAACTCTCAAAGTTGTACTAAAAAAGAGTAGGGAAGGTCCTTATTGCAAATTTTATGTAGGATATGGACATTCTGTTAGCTTTGCTATAATACAAATGTGAATGATGGTAATATAGTCAATATTTACTGAAGTCAGCCATGTACTAAACACTGTTCTAAAATCTTTATATGAATTATCTTATTTAATCTTTACAACAATCCTATGAGACGGGAAATATTATTACACTCATTATCACGATGCAGAAAAAGAGGTTCAAGTAATTTGCCTAAGTTCACATAGCTAGAAAATTCCAGAGTTATGATTAAAAGCTAGGAAGTCGGTCTTGAATATATATTTAGAAAATGAAATGATACATACCCTTACTATTTTTCTTAGCTGTGGCCTTTTGGGAGTTGAACTTTATCAACCAGGGTAGTAATATATAAATATAAATAAATATAAATGCATACATATATATATACACACACACACATATACATAGAGACATAATGTTTGAAGAATTTCCTTGATATTTCTTTAATATCTATATGCAAGGGTTTTTTTGTGTGTTTTGTGTGACCCTACTGAGAGAGGACTTTTGGAAGCCTGTGTCTATTTTCTCCTGGACCCATGTATCTTTTCTCTTTGTTGATTTTTTTTTTTTTTTTTTTGGTATCCTTTCAACATAATAAGTCATAGTCATTAGTATGACTAGATGCTGACTGTTACAAGTCCTTCTAATGAATCATTTAACTAGGGAGTGGCCTTGGGGATCCCTGACAGCTATCTAGCCAATCCAAAAAGATTGTGTGAGTAATTGTCTACATAAGCCTGGAGTTAACAAAAATATTGGCTGAGGTAATAAACTGAGGAACTGTTCCAAATTATACTGGGTATGACAAACTGTTTTTCTGGATGAGACCACCTTAGCATGGATAAGGAGAAGTAAAGACATCTATAGACAAACAATCCAGCTATTCCAATTTGTGGAGTTAGTGAAGACAGGGAAATCCACCAAAGGGCAGTGAGAAGGAGTGCTTAGTGCAGAGAGAGGAAAACCAAGAGAGCATGGTGTCAGGGAATCTAAGGCAAGAAGGTGATCCTTTGTTGTCAGAAAATGTGCTCCTGTCATTTTTCACTCCAAGGTCTGTTTGGCTCCCTTGTCTGTGGAAATATAAGCCAAATGTCTTCTGGATTAAAACCCCCCCACAGACAAGGTAACATACCTCTTCTTCCCCTGCCTCTGCCTCTCACCTTTGTGTATCACAGCTATTTTTAAGGAGTTGCCATAGAGTTCTCTCACCTGTGGCCAGAAATCTCTCTCTCAGAAATGTATTGACCAGCATCTTCCTTTCCTGCCCTCTTCTGGTGATCTGTTGCTGTAGTATTAAGATTGTCAAAGTTTAGTGGCATAAAACAATGATCATTTTATTATGTTCACACCAAAATCTATGAGGCAAACATGATAACCACTAAGCTACAGAAACAAGGCATGATTTTATGGATCTGAACTTCAGAGAGGGATGGATTTTCTTTGATTCACCATGATGGGGGCCCTAGCTGATTAGCTCGGCAGGCAATAGCTCTAGAAGTTCAAATAGAGACGAATGTTTGGGGCCTTGTTTTTTTTTAAAGATTTTATTTATTTGAGACAGAATGAGAGAGACAGAGAGCACATGAGAGGGGGGAGGGTCAGAGGGAGAAGCAGGCTCCCTGCCGAGCAGGTTGCCCGATGCGGGACTCGATCCAGGGACTCCAGGATCATGACCTGAGCCGAAAGCAGTCGCTTAACCAACTGAGCCACCCAGGCGCCCTGGGGCCTTGGTTTTGGCTGTCAGCTGGGTTATCTTGGTTCTTTTTTATGTGTGCTGGTGCTGGAATGTCCACAATGGCTACTTAGCTTACATATTCATGCCTGGGCTAAGATAGCCAGATATCCATCTCTGTCTGTCTGTCTGTCTCTCTCTCTCCAAGCCTCTCCAAATGGTTAGCTTGAGCACAGAAGTCTCAGAGCAGTTGAACTTCTTACATAGCAGCTGGATTTTTTTCAGAGTGAACATGCCAAGAGGCTCAGACAAGTCTTTTTATGATCTAGGCTTGGAAGCCCCAGAATGTCACTTCTGCAACATTATTTTGGTCAAGCAAGCCCCTAAATCAGCCCAGATCCAAGGGGAGGAGACTTAGAATGGTTAGGTTTGACTTCTGAGTGGAAGGAGTAGCAAGAGATACCCAGCCATTTTTAGTCATGCTCTGATTCCTAGTTTTCAATGTCTACTGCTCAAAAAACTCATTCCAGAATCTCACTGTGGCCACTTTTTTTAAAAATAGCTATAGGTCATGGTAATTCAGTGTCTCCAAATATTTGCAGTCTACAGGGTGCTAAATAATTACTAAGTCCTTGTCTATGGGGTAAGGAATGGTCTCCCTAATTTTGTGACACACTTTTGTAACAGACTAGCCTGACCATACCTGCAAAATAGTAATGTCAATATTGCATTGAAATCAGTTGGTTGATGTATCTTTCTTCCTGCCTAAACTATGAGCTCCTCATGGTAACAGATTCTATGTTACTCAGTGTCGGTGTCCTTACTGCCTAGCACAGAGCCTGGCACATAGAACTCAAATACATTTCCTGAATGGAATACTGAATAAATGGGCTTATCCAAAGTCACACTTTTTCAAGAGATTCTGATTCTAGAGTAGCTGAATAACCTTAATATTTCCACATTGAGGATTAAAGGATCAGAAATAATTTTATGGGTTTAATGTTAGAATTTAAATAAAAACTTGAAACATAAAGAATTTTATGAGTTTACATGATCATAAACTGAGCCTGGGGGAGCTAATTTTATAAGCTAATTTTGAGATGTATATTTTTCCTTTTGATAAGGGAAATTACTAGAGACTACTACCTTTAAGGATGAGAATACATTGTTGTGTTATCATGACTCATATGTGTAGTAATCAAACATATAAAAATAATACTTTCATTAACATACTATTAGAAGAAATGTTTCTTGTTGATTCTTATGCTTACTCATTTTCCCCTTTTCTATGAATTTTATTATTATGTTAGTCAAACCAATGAGTGTTCATAAACGATATGAGGATTTTGGTTTTATGGTCTTCACCATTTCTTTTTTTTTTTTTTTTTTTAAGATTTTATTTATTTGACAGAGAAAGACACAGCGAGAGAGGGAACACAAACGGGGAGTGGGAGAGGGAGAAGCAGACTCTCCGCTGAGCAGGGAGCCCTATGTGGGACTCGATCCAGGGACTCCAGGATCATGACCTGAGCCGAAGGCAGTCGCTTAACCAACTGAGCCACTCAGGCGCCCTGGTCTTCACCATTTCTTGATCACAGATTATTTTTAATATTCCCAGATTTATATGTGTAGAACCACTAAGGTACCTGTTGATAGTCATTTAGTTGTTTGATTTTATGAGAAAGGAAAAAAGCCTAATTTGTAGATATAGCCACAATAAGAAGAATAGTGCACCTCTTTCAGGAAATTTAATTCATAGACTGAGAAGACATTTAGTAAGTTGCTCTTGTAAAAATAATTTGGTGTCCCAGTGGAAGGCATCTGATAGAGATCCACTAAGAAATACAGAATTTCCTGTTATTTCATGTAGGTGGGCTGTGGTATAATTCAGTACTGTCATTGAGAATACACAATGCTCTCAATAATTTTCAGTGACTAGAGGTTTTAATAGTAATTTTAGAAACACGGGTATATATTTGATTCCAAAGTACAATTCCAATAAAGTTAATCTCTTGAAGTACTTGGTTTATAAAGCAATTTGGGAAACACAATTGCTTTTAATTTTTTTACCCATAAGTTGTCCAAGCTGCAAATAAAATAGATCAAGGCTTAGACATTAATTTTTTATTTTTAAAAAATGTAAACTTTAAAAACATAAACTCACATAAAGAATGAGTTTTTAAAGTCAATGTTCTTAAAAAAAATTTAGATATAGTCTTACCTAATTACATGTGGCTTCCTTCTGGTTATAATCTTAAGTTAACTCAAAATGGCTGTTTACAATAACAAGCACATTTCTGCATTTCCAGAACTCAGAGTAAAAAAAAAAAGTACATTTCTAAAACATCTAATATTTTACTTTTTACCTATAAAATAAATAACAGGAACTACTTAAACCAATCAGGAATTGAGCCTGCAAAATAAATGACATATTAATCTGTAGTATCTGAGAGAATATATCCAAGTTGTTTTCACCATGATGTAGAGTATATGTAGACTTTTTACATTAGTATTATTATTAGTCACACAGATGCAGTTTAAAAAAAGTTGAGAGCATGTATATAATAATAACAATGACATAAGGCATTTTAACCAGTGTTTACAGTTGAAGGGCAATAAGCAACCAAGAGAGCTATGATTAGAACTATCCCCATTGTCTAGCTGTAACCCAGCATTGACCATGATCATCATGACCATGCTATTGCCAAACTTAGGAGAAAATAAGGGAAGATAGAGTAGAGAGAAACTGGATACGGATAAAAGTAATAAGAGGTGAGATATAATTCAGGTCTTTCTTTGAAAAAACTGTGCCATTCTGAGAGATTCACTACTTAACGTTCTGTCATGTTTCCCTATATTTAACAAAATGTATGATTATGATAAAAAAGAAGCTTTAAAGGTCTTTGTGTCTCAACTTGTATGATGAAGTTAGACCAGAGCAGTTAGTTGGTGAGATTACCATGTGAGAACTAGAAATTAACCGTGTACTCAGAAGCCTCTGAAAGTAACTGTTGATTCCATGTACTTTATATCATAATTGAATTAAAAATAAAGGGGGGGCACTGGGTGGGTCAGTCATTAAGTGTCTGCCTTTGGCTCAGGTCATGTTCCCAGGGTCCTGGGATTGAGCCCTGCATCATTGGGGCTCAGCGGGGAGCCTGCTTCTCCCTCTCTCACTCCCCTTGCTTGTGTTCCTTCTCTCGCTGTGTCACTCTGTCAAATAAATAAATAAAATCTTAAAAAAAATAAATAAATAAAAAATAAAGGGGCAGGGGGAAGAAGCCAAATTGGCAAGAAGAGAAAAAGAGCAGGTAAACATGTGAGTGTGTGTAACATTTTGACAGCATTTAACTTTCATAAGCATTTAACTGCTTTAGATGTTTAACATTTCTTACCCTTTCTCAATTTCTATATGACGTTCAGGCAAATGATCATTTTCTGTGAACATCGCCCAGATTTTGGATGGAGTGGCTATGGTTATGCTTTGGCACTTTTTGTTGTAGTCTTTCTGCAAACCTTGATCCTTCAGCAATACCAACGTTTTAACATGCTCACTTCAGCAAAAATTAAGACGGCCGTAATTGGACTCATCTACAAAAAGGTAAAAAATTAAGGAATTCTCAATTTGTAAATGGATTCTTTCCTTGCATACTTTAAAATAGGAGAGTACGTTAAAATGTTCCTAGGGTGCCCTTTGAGTGTACATTTGTTTTGCCTTAAAAGAACTTTGACTCATCAATGTTGGTTGTATTAATTTCTCTATAGGACTCTCTATAGTCCTTACAGCCCCTCCAACTTCCGGTGAGCCCTAATCCATGAAACTAGATGATGGTTTCTGTCTGCTGTTGTGTCACTGAACTCCTCCCCCCAAAGTGAATGGCAATGAATGTTTTCATGGTTGTCTATGTTTATGTATTAATAAAGTTTCTTCTTTTCATGATTATTTTCATTCTGCATACTACTTTTTTCTTCTTCCTCTGCTGACTCTACTTCACTTTCTCATGCAACAAAGCCATCTTTCTCTATATAATCATTATCTACTTCTGTTTCACTCTAAGCCCTGCCTCTGCACCCATCCACCCTTCAGAACAACCTGGCTGATTCTTATACCTGTGATAACACTGAAGTTCAATTTGTTCTTTCTTGAAAATGCGATTTTAAATACCACTTCTTTACCATCCAGAGCCTTTTATTTACATCATAATTATAAACAATTGAAGAGTTTCTTCCTTCCCGTAGTTATCACCTGAGTTAGTCAATCAAGTGTATTTTGCATTCTTACTCTGTACTCTTCTGTAGATTGTGGGCCCTTTAAGATTTGGAATAGAAACCTCTTTACCTATTGTACCTTTATCATCTGGGAAAGTGACTTTTATACATTTTTATAAAAGTTGGATGACTGAATAAATGAGTAAATGAGCCACTGCCTTCAAGAAATTGGGGGGAATTATTAGCATACATAATAAATGTGTGGAACTAAATGCAGGTTTTATAAGAGGTCAGATGAGCAGGAAATCCACAGTGATTGTGTGCAGTTAAAGAAGGTTTCACATAGAAAGAAAGACTTGAAATGGTCTTTGGGAGAGATGTAGAATTTGTATTAGTGGAAGGAAGTATTATAATTTGGGCTGAGCTGTGCATGAAGCATATAGGCCATTTGGCCATATTGGGCCAAAATGGGGGTATGGAATGGCCTTAGCCCAAATGCAGGGACATACTGCTATGGTCGTAATTCTAGAGGCTGTAAATTCCAAGAAATCCTAATATGGACGAAGGATATCAAGGAGTCTAGGAATCAGTTTAAATGTTAACACTTGTTTTTGATATACAGTCCATATGGAATAGGATTTCATTCAGTGATTAAAGCATTGGAGCTTGGGAATACGATTTGGATGGATTTACAAATACAAAAGAGTGGACTGCAGTAGAAATTAGAACAAGCTGTCAAATAAAAAAAGAAAATCAAGCATTGTGGGTGAGTCTATTACAAGGGCAGGGAGACCCCGGAGATAATAATGGAAGAGGTAACACTGACTATAGGGATGAAACCATAGATTCCTTAGAGAGATTGTTTAAGAACAAAGAGCACTCTGGATCAAAGGAGTACAGCAATCAAGCCAGCTCAGTAGAGCTTGCTGTATGGATTACCGTTTAATGCCAAGTCCATCAAACAAGCAGTAGAAGACATAGCCTTTGTTGTTATAACCTGTATTGATGCACTGAGATAGCATGTGCAGCTGGCACTGATGTAAGGCTGGCCTTTTTTCTTAGTCTCGTATCATACACCTGTTTTCCAGAGAGTCTATCTCTGTGGGACTAATTAGGGTAGTTAGATTTCCATTCTCTTTACGGGTTGTAGAATTCTGATTTTTATCATATTTAGAGACCTTCAGTATCCAAAATGGCTTTCATAGTGGCACCAGGTGACCCATATTAATCTGACATTGGCTCTACTTCATCAGGGACTTGTTACTAGAGTGGGGTAAACGTGGTCTCAGATCCTTTTCTTGGTGAGGAAGGGAGATGTTAGGACTTTCTTGTTCTCAACCCATCCACATGACTGCTCTAGTTTGGAATAGGAATATCATTTTTAAGGTTTGTGGGAAAAACATGGGCCCCATTCCACTTGATCACTTTAAGAGTTCATGAGTCTCAAAGCTCAGATTTTGTTACCTGTTAGCTCACAGGTGCAGGCCCCATGACAATTCTTGAGGACTAAGAAACGGGATATGCTTCAAAAGCAGCATCAGTTAGTCCTGGGTTTAATATGGGGAGTCTGGGGGAATTCTTCCACCAAACAGTAGAATCTTTGTGATTTTAAAAATGGGTAAAGGTGATCAGAAGGTACAAAACTTCTAATTAAACAATAAATGTCATGAAGATGTATTGTGCAGCATGGCAATTATAGTTAATAATACTGTATTGTGATGGGCACTTGCGTGGCTCAGTCAGTTAAATGTCTGCCTTCAGCTCAGGTCATGATCCAGGGTCCCTGGGTTCCAGCCCCGCGTCGGGCTCCCTGCTCAGCAGGGAGTCTGCTTCTCCCTTTTTCTCTCCCTCTGCCTCTCCCCATGCTTGTGCTTCCTCTCTCTCTCTCTCAAATAAATAAATAAAATCCTTAAAAAAAATACCGTATTGTATATTTGAGAGCTGCTAAGAGAGTAGATCTTAAAAGTTCTAATCACAAGAAATAAAACTTTTGTAACTATGTGTAGTGATGGATGTTAACTAGACTTGTGATCATTTGACAATGTCATTTTGTATTGTATATCATTTTGCAATGTATACAAATACCGAATAATTTTGTTACATACCTGAAACTATATATGTCAATTAAATATATCACAATTTTTAAAAAAGCGGGGAGGTAGGAGAAACAGGAGAGATTTGGAGCATGGGGTGCTGACAAAGAGAACAGGTTTGAGTTAGAGACCAAAGTATTGTTTTATGTTGAAGGAGGTATCTGAAAAAAAAAAAAAAATGAAATAAAGTAAAATAAAGCAAAATACAATAAAAACTTCCTGACTTCTAAAACATTTTTTTAACTAAACAAAAGTAATATATCCACATTATCCAGTTTGGCAGCCACTAGTCACATATGACTATTGAGCCCTTGAACTGTGGCTCTTAAGACTAAGGAAGTGAATTTTTAATTTTAATGAAATTTAATAACAACACATAGCTAGTTGCTACCATTATTGGACAGTAGTGCAGTGTCTAAACTGTCTATATTTGTAGTTTAAAGATTTGTTCTTAACCTTAATTGGGATAATTCTAAAATGCAAGAAAATTAATAAAATTTAGTACATTTAAAAAAATAAAAACATGTAAGTGTAGTCAGGAAGAGGAGAAGCAGAATCCTAATCCTGCACTTAAAGTCAGAAAGAGAATCCTGGCATACTTTTTTTGCATACAGAAGAACTGAAGAAGAATGAGTTCTTATAAATGTTATGAGGGTCCGCCTTTAGGTCCACCACATCTCTTTAGAAGTATAGTAACTGCTGGTTTAGAATCACTGGGTGAGGAATTTTTAGGACCCTTCCAGCTCTAAATTATGTGATTTCTATGACTTATAGCTAGGATGGTCAGGAAAAATGTAATGATTAGTATTGCATAATACTGCATGATTTAAGTCAGAAGGATGAATTGCACGAGGCAAAGACTCTACTGTGGAAATACATTGTGGGAGAGAGTACACAGATGAATACATGGCTTGCTCAGAAAATGATGAGTAGATTAATTTAGCTAGAGATAGTATTTTTATGAGTAGGATGGTGGGGAGGGGTAGGTTGGTAAAATAGAAGGGATTGCAACTCTCTTTTTCAATAACTTGAAAGATACATTGTAAAAACGGACTTTAATTCTAGAGGAAATTGGAACTCATTTGAGCCATAGGGTAGACGGATGATCAGGAGAAACTAATGAAAATAGATAGGGTTGGAAATAAGGAGTAACTTAGAACTATTTCAGTAGTTCTGGAGATAAAGATATGAACCAGGACCATGGCAATGAGTCTAGAAAGGAACAAATATATAAGAAGGAGAATGTGAAATTGCAAACAGGTTTCATCATCCGATGATAAAGTGAGATATTAGTGAGTTGAGTTCAGGGATAATTCAAATATTTCCAGTCAGTAAGAGAGGTTTTTGAGGCTGGAGCCTTATCCGGTTCATCTTGGTCTTGTTAGAGTATAATTCAATAAATGAAATCAGTGAAGTTTTAGGAATTGATAAGTCACATAGTTGTGCCGTGTGTGTGTGTGTAGACTAGGTAAAGAAAATATTGTAGTAAAGAAATCTCAAAATTGGATGAAATTTAAAAATAACAGAGTTTTGTGTAAGTGATTATGATTAAATATAATTGTAAATGAAAATTTGTTAATTGTCATTTTGATTGAAGAGTATTTATAAACTCCCAACTTTTTATACGGTTTTAGATTTTACAGTTGATTTTTTTTTCTTTTTACCTCACTCTGGCTTTCTCTCTTTTATCTCTTTAAATAACTCTTTACTAGACAATTCTGGAACATGTTGCATCATCCAGTATAATTGTGGTGACATATTGCAGTATTCTTCCAAATTGTTTCATATAACAAAGAGGCAGTTTAGATTGTATAATTTAGCAATAAGCGGTAACTAAATTCCCCCTCATGGCTTGTGAATTTTGTCCCTTACAAAAAGGTAGAAGTTTATTTGGCAGAAAAAAATATTGAAAGAGAAATCAGTGCTCCTGATGTTGAAAATGCCATGCAGGACAAGATCCAATTATATAGTGCCCTTTAGTCTTTTCCTTAATATTTTGAAAGCAATTAATTTTTAAAGAAAATTTTCTCTTGTCTACTGAAGAAAATATGTGTAATGCATAAAATAGGAAAGAGAAAATGGCAGCCATTCATAATTCTAGATTGCAAAGATAAGCATTGATATATTTTCCCCTAACATTTATTTTACCTGCATAATATATATTTGTAATACACTGTTTTATAATCTGTTACTTACTTCATAATATATCATGACAAAACATATTGACAAAATACATTATTATATGATTTCTTTATGATTCTTTTTTGTATTTAATCTGTTTGAGGGGGGCGCGTGGGTGGCTCAATCCTTTAAGCACCTGCCTTTGCTCAGGTCATGATCCTGCTCCCTGCTCAGTGGGGAATCTGCTTCTCCCTCTGCCCCTCCCCCTGCTCATGCTCATGCTCATGCTCTTTCTCTCTCTCTCAAATAAATAAATAAAATCTTAAAAAAAAATCATTTTGTTTTTAAGTACATTCTTACATATAAGCATAAATTTAAATAAATGCATAGCAGAAACTTCCGTATATATATTAAACTCTTTTCCTACTATTGTCATTTTTTTCCCTATTTTGCTTTCCACCTTGCTTACCATCTTCACTCATTAATACATATGGTTCACTCAATACATATCAAACTACCTTTTCCACACATTCTTTATAACCATTGCAACATTATCTTCTGATAGTAGGTATGACAGGTAAAGCTACTGCCAATCCCCACCTCTTGCCCCACCATTTTAGGATAACCTGTTTTATTTTGATTTTTCTGTGTTTAGGTGCTTGTAAGTATTTCTTTTTAAGGATAATTTTAACATTATAGAATTTACAAATTTCACCATGCTAAGAGGAGGTATACTGTTTTCTAATTAGACTGCTACTTCCTAACTGCTTTTGGTTTGAAATCTTTCCTTCATTCAGAGAGATTGTCTTCTAATTTTTTCTTTAATTATTTCTTCTCATTCTTTGCTTGTAAAGTAATTGTGTTATGTGTTGTGTTTTGTGTGTGTGTGTATATGTGTGTGTGTTGTTATGTTTTATCTGTATATATAATACACATATATAATAAACACATAATATACATATATAATAAACACATATTAACATATCTGTTGCACTCTGTTGCTGTTTTAAGCACTATTATGTGCATAGAAATAGATAAACAATCAGTTCTAGATATAGAGGTAGCTGTAGATATAATGCTCGTGTGTGTGTGGGTATACATATAATATAAGGAAACTTAAACTCAGAACAATGAGTAACTTACCCATTGTCAAAGAGTTATGAAACAGAGTAACTGGCCCTGAACCCAGGCATTCCACTCTAGAAGTTGTGTTATTCATTATTCTGAATTTATAAAGAAATATAAATGTAAATATATTAATATTTATATTAATATGTTTATGTAATATATACATAAATGTGTATACATTTATGTCTTTTTAAAAAAATTTTTTATTATGTTATGTCACCATACAGTACATCATTAGTTTTTGATGTAGTAATCCATGATTCATTGTTTGCGTATAACACCCAGTGCTCCATGCAATACATGCCCTCCTTAATACCCATCACCGGGCTCACCCATCCCCCCACCCCCCTTCCCTCTAAAACCCTCAGTTTGTTTCCCGGAGTCCATAGTGTCTCATGGTTCATCTCCCCATCTGATATCCCCCCTTCATTTTTCCCTTCCTTCTCCTAATGTCCTCCATGCTATTCCTTATGTTCCACAAATAAGTGAAACCATATGATAATTGACTTTCTCTGCTTGACTTATTTCACTTAGCATAATCTCCTCCAGTTCCATCCATGTTGATGCACATGTTGGGTATTCATCCTTTCTGATGGCTGAGTATTATTCCACTGTATATATGGACCACATCTTCTTTATCCATTCGTCTATTGGAGGGCATCTCGGCTCCTTCCACAGTTTGGCTATTGTGGACATTGCTGCTATGAACATTGGGGTGCATATGGCCCTTCTTTTCACTACATCTGTGTCTTTGGGGTAAATACCCAGTAATGCAATTGCTGGGTCATAGGGTAGCTCTATTTTTAATTTTTTGAAGAACCTCCACACTGTTTTCCAAAGTGGCTGTACCAACTTGCATTCCCACCAACAGTGTAAGAGGGTTCCCCTTTCTCCACAACCTGTCCTACATTTGTAGTTTCTTGCCTTGCCAATTTAACCATTTTAACTGGTGTAAGGTGGTATCTCAATGTGGTTTTGATTTGAATTTCCCTGATGACTAATGATGTTGAGCATTTTTTCATGTGTCTGTTAGCCATTTGTATGTCTTCTTCGGAGAAGTGTCTGTTCATCTCTTCTGCCCACTTTTTGACTTGATTATTTGTTTTTTGGGTGTTGAGTTTGAGAAGTTCTTTATAGATCAACAGGAAGAAATTGACAACCTGAATATATATTTATATCTTGTGTGTGTGTGTGTGTGTGATTTCCTGAAATTTCTCCATGCTTTAAGTCTTTTTAAAAAGTCATTTCATTTTAAAAATATGTTCTCGGGGCACCTGGGTGGCTCAGATGGTTAAGGGTCTACCTTCAACTCAGGTCATGATCTCAGGGTCCTGGGATCGAGTCCCACTTCCTCTGCCTGCCACTCCCCCTGCTTGTACTCTCCCTCTCTCTCTCTCTGGCATATAAATAAATAAAATCTTTAAAAAAAATATGTTTTCTCTAATTTCTGGGAAAAGTTTTTGAACATATCTACTCATAGTTTAAGAATTCCATTTGTTCTAATATCCATTTGGATTTTTGGTGCCTCCATTACATTTTTAAAAATTTGACAGTTGTGCTTTTAATTTGAAGTAATTTTTCTATTCTTACTCATTTTTAATCGTTATCATGTTCTTTCACTATAAAGATTACAGAGAGATATTCATATATTTTTTATGTTTCTTGTGATATGTTTTTTCCAATAGGAGGTCATTCATTTGATTCCTTGGCTAATTTAGCTACTTTGAACTCTTCAATCTGCTAGTATTTTCATAAATACTAAATACTATTTATCTTTTCCTTCTAGAAGTATGAGAGGAAATATGTTTGTTTATAATTATAAGTTGCTGGTGGATTCTATTAGAGATCAATGAACCTCTCTGAAGAAATGTTAGAGACTTAATGAAATGAGAGTTCCCGTGCTTGGATTTCCATTGTTTCACTTGGCTGCATTGGGTGGTCAGTAACGTATCAGGAGGAGGTTAAAGAGCTACCTTTGGAGGAGACATGGCTAAAGCTTCATTGTCGTAGGGACTAGTATTTTTTCCTTTTTTCTCTCTTGTGGCAGTAGTAGTCATTCTGGTTTTTTTTTTTTTTTTTAATTTTATTCTTATGTTAATCCCCATACATTACATCATTAGTTTTAGATGTAGTGTTCCATGATTCATTGTTTGTGCACAACACCCAGTGCTCCATGCAGAATGTGTCCTCCTCAATACCCACCACCAGGCTAACCCATCCCCCCACCCTCCCCTCTAGAACCCTCAGTTTGTTTTTCAGAGTCCATCGTCTCTCATGGTTCGTCTACCCCTCCTATTTCCCCCGCTTCATTCTTCCCCTCCTGCTACCTTCTTCTTTTTTTTTTTTTTTAACATATATTGCATTATTTGTTTCAGAGGTACAGATCTGAGATTCAACAGTCTTGCACAATTCACAGCGCTTACCAGAGCACACACCCTCCCCAGTGTCCATCACCCAGTCACCCCATCCCTCCCACCCCACCCCCCACTGCAGCAACCCTCAGTTTGTTTCCTGCGATTAAGAATTCCTCATATCAGTGAGATCATATGATACATGTCTTTCTCTGTTTGAGTAGTCATTCTGTTTTATCATCAGCACAGCTGTCCCCCCTTACTAGTCAGTAACAGAAATGTTTCCAATTTACTGCATGAAATTTAAATGAGGATTGAACACTGCAGTAGCCATAGCGCTTGGGGGATCCTGGCACCTTGTGAACCTCCCAGGGCTGACCCCGTGGCCTCCCCCTTTGCATGAAGCCCTCCTGCTTTAAGCTTCGGAATGTTAGAAGAGGTCCACTGAAGCCCCTGACTACTTATTTTCCACATGAACCTTTTATTGGGGGGTGGGGGTGGGACTTTGTATTACCCATTTATTGAGAAAACAGACTTTGAGTGCCTCCTGTAGTTTCTCATTTACTCTTGCTTGTTCCACCTCTCTATCCTGTCTCTTTAAATCAGTGTAGTGGAAATTCCTTAAAATTCTTGGCATATGAATGGAGTTTTGCCTGGCTTCCAGTACACATACCAATTCTCCACGACTTTGACAATTTATTTATGCATTTCACTGGGAATTTTAAATGGGTGGAGAATTTAATAAATGAATTTCTGAGATCAACCTTAGTAAGAGTTACCAATAATTAAGCTTGGGAATATTGAATTCAATATCCAAATATTAAAATAACGTGCACAGGAAGTGAGAATTGGGCTTTGGAAGAAAAGATATATTTCCATCTGCTCGAAGAAGCCTTTCCAGTATTTTTATCTCTCTAAATTCCCATGGCCCTTCTTAACTATTTTTATGCTTACAATCATCCTGTGTGGGAGGTATATGTGGGTGGGTGGGGGGGTGGACTCCACAACCAAATTATAATCTTCTTGAGAATTGGGACAGTGTCATTTTTAAATTTTCTAGTTTCAAGCATAGTACATAGCATCAGTATTCATTAGATATTTATTGGATCACTTATGTACTTTGTACTGATAAAATTTAGAAGGTTTAGCATTATAGGGGTGCCAGCGAATAGAGGGGATCCCCAATGCTAGAAATCTAGAATAGATTTTTTTGTGTGTGTGAGTTCTATGCCCAATGTGGGGCTTGAATTCATGACCTGGAGATCAAGAGTCACATGCTGTCCTGACTGAGCCAGCTAGGTGCCCCTAGAATAGATTTCTTTTTGCAATTTTGTAATCGACAGCTTGTAGAGGGCTTTTGGTGAATATATTTGCTTGAGAATCCAAATGTTACTCTCTACCAATATGCAGTGAAGTTTAAAACTGTGTGTTTTGATCAGTAATTGTATTTTTCTTCATCTAAAAGCATTTTTAAAAGTTTCAGTATTTCATAATCCTAACACATAAATAATCTTTTAGATTTTCCTAAATATATATTGAAAATTGATATTAAAAGTTACCATTGTTTGACGATAAAGATGCCCCACGGTCTACAGAACTCTTTAAATACTTTGCCTCTCTTTTTTCAGGCCCTACTTTTATCTAATGTTTCTCGAAAGAGGTTTTCAACTGGGGAAGTTATTAACTTGATGTCAGCGGATGCCCAGCAGCTCATGGACTTGACAGCAAACCTCAGTCTCCTCTGGTCAGCCCCTTTTCAGATCCTGATGGCCATGTCACTCCTTTGGCAAGAGCTGGGTCCAGCTGTGTTAGCAGGGGTAGCAGTCCTTGTGTTTGTTATACCAATAAATGCTTTAGCTGCAACTAGAGTAAAAAAGCTAAAGGTAAGAAAAAGACTGCCTCATGTTACATATGTCAAACAGAAGCTGAATTTTCTGACTGGAGTCGACAGTAACCATCTAGTTAATTCTGTACATGTGGAAATAATCCAGATTTATCATTCATTCGTTCATTCATTCAACCAGTATTGATTGGACATCTGTTCTGTGCCAAAGTACAGCAGTGAGGAGATCTGATAAGTTCCAGCTTTCATTAAAGGAGACAGGCATTAAGAAATAAATAAAGAACATAATGCCTGGTGTTAATTTGTATACAAAGAAATATAACTTAGGCTAGGGTGATAGAGTAACAACGAGAGGGCCATTTCACATACAGGGGCAGCAAAGTCCTCAGGAAAGAAACAATGTATCAGCAGGATAAGGGAGGAATCCATGTGGATGTCTGAGAAAAAGATTTACTAAGCAGAAGAAACAGTGTGCACACAGCCTGGAGGTAAGGGTATGCTCATTTTGTTTGAAGAGTGGGCCACGGTGAGCAAGGCGTGACTGCATACAGCAAGTAGATAGTAAGTGCTTAACTGAATTCATTTAAATATTCTTCCTTTACATTCAGTCATTCATCTTACTATCAATACATTTTTTGACATCTGACATGTACCAGACAGTGTGCAGTATGCTGTACTGTAGGGAAGGAGAGACAGGACACAGTTCACTGCACTGAAAAGCCACGCACGCTGTCAGGGGAGAGACAAATGATTTCACGTGTTAAAGTAACCACACAGGTACAGGTGTACTGCTTATGACACTTATTTTATTATTTTAAATGGATCAAAGATTAATAATATCTATGTATGGAATAAGATCTATGTATGGACATGGAAATATGTCAATCATATGTTAGGGGAAAAAAGAAAGAAACATATGTATGTATGTGCATGTGTATATTATGCATATATGTACATAAATATCCTTAATCCAGTTTTTAAAATGTGAATATACCAATGCACATGGGTGTGATAGAGAGGCATAAATGAAGTTATATAGATATAGATATAAATGGACTTGTATAAGCATAGAAATAATCTAGAGATAAAGCACCAGTCTTTTAAGAATAGTTACCTATAGGGGCGCCTGGGTGGCTCAGTCGGTTAGGTCGTCAGCTCTTGATCTCAGCTCAGACCTTGATCTCAGGGTCGTGAGTTCAACCCCACACCCAGCGTGGAGCCTACATTTAAGGAAAAAAAAAAAAGTTACCTGTAAAGTAGAATTAGATGGAAAGAGGGGAGATTTTTCACTTATTACTTTAATACATTTAAGTGATGAAGGTTTATGCCTTGTTTTATATTTTTCTGAATTTTTAAAATTCAAATTACCAAATAATTACCAAAAAGATGACTAGTCTTTAAAGGTGAGAGCTAGAATATACCATATAACTATGAAATAATTATGAATTATTAACACACTAGTATTTAGAATAACAAGCTTGTTTATAATTTTAATAAATACTTTTAAAGTAGCTTTTTAAAAAATTCTGTATTTTAAGTAATTTAGATTCAAATATTTAGGAATGGAAATAGATTTGGGGGACCTTAATATAGGGCCCTAAAAATTTCAAAGAGACTGCAATATTATGTACAAATATGCTAAGCAGAAAATATGCCTTTAATCACACATAGAGTATTATGGATGTTAACTTGTAAATGTGTCCTTTGTTAGATATACAAATATTGTACTTATTATTATTTAAATCATAATTATGACAATATTATTGGAAGAAATCCTTAAGAAGCAATACGCAAGCAATGATAAGTATAAAATAATATAAATGTTAAATATTTGAATAAATATACAGTAATTACGTAAGATTTGCCAAAAAAGAGTCAGTATTTGAAAATATACATTTTTAAGGGGAGCCTGGGTGGCTCAGTCATTAAGCATCTGCCTTCGGCTCAGGTCAGGATCCCAGGGTCCTGGGATCGAGCCCCGCATCTGGCTCCTTGCTCGGCGGGAAGCCTGCTTCTCCCTCTCCCACTCCCCCTGCTTGTGTTCCCTCTCTTGATGTGTCTCTGTCAAGTAAATAAATAAAATCTTTAAAAAAAAAAAAGAAAATATACATTTTAATCACAAGTATTAACACTCAAGATAGTGTACTTACAATATACAGACCTTTATTTTTATTCCTGTGAGACTTCTCTTATAATATATATGTATTATATATGTAAATAATTGATAGAGTTTGGGGAATTTTATCCCATTTTAATAGAAGATGGATATTATTTTATTATTCAATTTTAAACAAATTACATCTAAATGAATATTATATTTTCTACTATTTTGTAAAATACACACCTTGCTTATATTCTGCTGACTACTTTTAAGTTTTAAAATATCTATTTATAACTAATTTTAACATTATCAATAGAATAATATTATATGAATATTTTTAAATGGTTTTCAACTAAATATTATATAAAATGGAGAGAATAGCCTATATTTTGAAAAATAGCTGTGGGCCATGTTAGTTAAATTATTAACAACCTTTGTCAAATATGCCTTCATTTTTTCCCCCTTGAATAGAAAAGCCAAACGAAGAACAAAGATAAACAGATAAAACTACTCAATGAAATCTTACATGGAATTAAGGTAATATACAAGGAATATGACTTTAATTTCACTATTTAGAATATAGCCATGTTAGTCAATAAATGAATTTTTATCATTCTTAATATCAAAGTAATTATATAATTGTATATAACATTCTTGGCAGAGTATTTCAGATTTCAGATGTATAGGAATCCTTCTTGCTAAAATAGTATTTAAATAAAACCAAATAAAATGCAGGTGTTTTCTCTTTGTTTCTCACCCAACAACTGAACACAAATATCCCAAAAGACACAAAATGTGACTTGTTTGAAGGGATTGGGTAGAAGAGATGGAATGAAGCAGGCAAGAGTGGCCATAACATCATCTTCAGTGTGAAGGCAGATTTATATGGGGGAATGATGACATGTGATTTAGGTTCTTTTATGTGGAATAGAAATGATCATACAAATGTGATTCTGCAAAAGGTATGTTATAAATTATTTGTTCCATAGGAAAGCTACACTCCATGCTAATATTTTCTCTATGATAAAAGAGTGAAACCAACCTCATGAACTTTTAGATAGATGATAGAGATTCAAATCCTGTTGCACCTGGATTATGCTTTATCAGATGTTTCTAAAGGGCAAAATTTACAAAGCCCACATGGAATTTCCTTCTGGAATTGATAATTGCATAGGAAATTTCCTCTGTCTGGTGCATCTATCACTATAAACATAGGTTATGCCCATTATATGTACACATTGATTCACTTTAGAAATCAATAAAAATTATGCTGTATTGTGCTGTGTAGAACTTTCACAACATTGAAAATTACTAAAGTGAAAAACATTGTTAGATAAAAGATACCCTGAAAAGAGACTGATAATCATTTATTTATCTAAAATTAGGAATAGCCTTAAGTAGCTCTGAAATTTAACTCAGATTAAATTATTAAATAACTGAGATTATGTAATAGGGTCATACACTCCCAAAGTAATGTGATCCAAATGCATCTTGTACCTCTCAGTGGGTTAACTGATAACCCCTGTATTCATAAAAAGGACAGTAATGTATGTTTATAGGTTTTAAATATTGATACTCTTAAAAGGAAATTTATACTATTAGTAGGACTAGGACAATGTAGATAAAATAAAGAACATCTCCTAAAGATACGAGCAAAGTCTAAAATTTGAAATAGCAGTCCCAGCAGTGAATACACTAGAATACTGGTAGAGGACCAAGTATAGGCAAGTTGAAAGTACAGCATGGTTTAAAGGTATGGGGGGTCGGCATCCCAGGGGTAAGGATAACAGATACCATGGCCTCTCTCTGATAATGATAATAGCTACCATTTAGTGAACATTTTCTATGGATCACACACTGTACTTACCACTTTATATCTGTTTCCTCATATAATTCTTATGAACCCCAAGAAAATAATTTCTCATTCTCATTATCCAAACAAGGAAACAAAGTGTGCAATTAAGGGTCATGTGTAAGTTCACAGAGCCAGTGGAAGATTTTTAGGGTTCTCCAGAGAAACAGAACCAAGAGGATGTGTGTGAATATGTATATATTCCAATTTACAATCTCAAAACACCAGTCACCTTTCCGAAAATGGCTTCAAGTCCCATGCCATCAGTTTCCAAGAAATTGGGAGTCCAGGGAGAGGAGCGTAGCTATTAAGAAATGGGGAGTGGATTGAAGTGAGAGCTGGACCAGCAGGAAAAGTACGAAGATTAAGCTAAACGGAAACTGCTATGGAGTTCATGCCAAGAGCTGGGATGTTGCCAAAGTATGACTCAAGAATAAGCTATTGGTGGGTAAGAAGGACATAAGGCTGGAGAGAGATGGTGATTTTCCTCTCCCAGCCACCTACCCCATCCCCCGCAAAAAAAAGCCCACAATTCAAGGAAACATTTTGACTCAGCTGAAAATAGGAGCATTTTACTTTATGAGTTCACCATATTTTTTTTTTTTTAACTTTTACAATTGTGTGGGGGGGTATGCTGTGTATATTTGCATGTATGCATGTTTTTATTTTTTCTATGATATTGATTATCAAATAGTTATTGTCTGATTCCTTTACAGATCCTCAAACTTTATACATGGGAGCCCTCCTATAAAAAGAAGATTGTTGAAATTCGAGAGCAGGAATTGGAAGTTCAAAAATCAGCTGGGTATCTTGCTGTATTTTCTATGCTGACATTAACTTGCATTCCATTCTTGGTGAGTGCGTATAATATTTCCTGTTTTGATTTTCAAATTTGATTTGCAGATTCACCTCCAAATTACTTGGAATTGCAGTGTCCAAAGTGAAATCTATATCTGAAATAAAATTTTCAAGAAACGCAGTCATTGACTTATGTAGATTAGGGAATGGAAGTTTTAAAGAAGGGGAAAATATGTGCATTCTCATTGGTCTGTATTTTTTACACATAATAAGATTTTACTTCTTTGTAAATTTCTCACAGAACAAACATGTGCTAGTCTGTTCTTAAACAATATAACCTGCATTTCAGAGTTTCATTTCAGCTCTGGAATGTCTTGATTTGTGTGATTAATCCCTTTTAAGCACGACCCAACACACACCATATAGAGTTGGGAAGAGAATTAACATTCATTGAATGTTTCCTCTGCATGCCAGATAAGTTATAGAGACTGCCTTATTTCATTCTTGCAATAATAAGGCCTTTGCTTTTTTCATTTTACAATAGGGAATGGAAGTCCATTCTAGTTTGGGAAACATCCTCAAAGTTATAGAATTAATATTTGGAGGCAAATTGATATGAACTGAGGGCATTCTCCATCATACCGTGTACACATTAGGAATCCCATGCTATTTAAACTAGAGTATAAATTGCCTTGAGGTATGAAGCAATGAGTGAAAGCGAGAGGATAACAAAACCACATAGAACTGAAGCATCAGTTTTCTGGATTTTTTTAAGATTTTATTTATTTTCTGAAAGAGAGACAGCGGAAGAGGGAACACAAGAAGGGGGAGTGGGAGAGGAAGAAGCAGGCTTCCCGCGGAGCAGGGAGCCCGATGTGGGGCTCAATCCCAGGACCCTGGGATCATGACCTGAGCCAAAGGCAGACACTTAACAACTGAGCCACCCAGGTGCCCCTGAAGCATCAGTTTTAATCAAAGTTACCATTCCTGGTGGTCATAGAGTCAGGAGAAATTCCATATGTCTCTTTTGTTGGTAATTTAAAATATTGTTATTTTTATTTAAACAAATATGTGGGGATTATGAAAATAAAAGCAATATTTACATTTGGAATTCTTTGGTAAAAATGTCCAAGAAGCATTTGCTTAAGATAAGTCCTAGGTACATGATAGTCAGTACATTCTCATGCATATATGAACTTTTCTGCCTTTTCTAAATGAAACTTATAAGAGTAAATATAAATGTTATGAGCCATAATTTATTCATACTTTCTTCAGTTAATTTTATGACTCACAGAAAGTATAATCATTACATATGAATCAGAATGTATACACACACCATTGGAAAATAAATTTACGTAATATACCATCTTGAAAAAAAGATCAATTAGTATACATTTTATTTTATTTTAGTTTTTAAATTTATTTGTCAGAGAGAGAGCACAAGCAGGGGAAGCAGAAGGCAGAGGGAGAAGCAGACTCCCCGCTGAGCAAGGAGCCTGAAGCAGGACTTGATCCCAGGACCACGGGATCATGATCTGAGCCAAAGGCAGATGCCTAACCAACTGAGCCACCCAGGCACCCCAGTTAGCATACATATTAAATGGGAGTAATAACTCTGGTAAGAACACAGTGTCTTATAGAAGGGAGCTGGACCGCATGGTCTCAAGGATGCCATGGTCTAAGATACACAATTGTATGATCTGTATATCTTAGTGAACTGAATATTTATTTTATATTCTTCAGCAATCGTACTGAATAGTACTGAATTTTGGTAAACAACAATAAAAAAGGTTTTAAATTTTTCCCCTAATTTTTGGAACCTTAACTCATCCTGTCGTTAGCACTGAGTAATTGAAGGAAGGAACATGTGTCTATTTTTCAGGTGTCCCTGGTGACATTTGGCATCTATTTCTTATTGGATGAAGGAAACATTTTAACAGCCACCAAAGTGTTCACATCTATGTCTTTGTTTAATATTTTGAGGCTTCCTTTGTTTGATTTACCAATGGTAATCTCAGCTGTGGTCCAGGTACATCTGAAATATGCTTAAACTAAAAATCATTCATCTACTGGAGTCTGTGGTTTTGCACATTTTCTTTCTTTCTTTTCTTCATTATTTATTTTGCTTTTTGTGGTGGTTTTACACTGCTTTCAAAATTAATCTCCCTGAATTAATGCGTAATAGAAAACATTAAAGAATGGAAGGAATCATGTCTTCTTTGCCTATGCTTTTCTTCTATCAAAATGACTTAACTATTTTAATATAAGATTTTGTTTTCTTTGCTAAGTGTTAGTTTCTTTTATTTAGCTTTTTAAAAGCTGGGGTCAGACGCCATGCCGTCAAAAGGCTCATTTTCTGTTTTCAATTGAAAAATTTTTAGCGAGGTGCTTTCCATGGAACTGGATAGGAATGTTTTCCCAGGGTTCAGCAACATTTCATCTGCACTGAGTGAATAAAGCAGGGAGACAAGTGCATTGCTAATATCAGTCTGCCAACAAACCATGTATGAGGTATTTGGTTCAGCCTACCTTCACTGTAATCTCCAGTCTCTGGAGACTCAATACTATGAGTAGAAAGCTGCTAAAACCACAGGGAATGTGAAGAAGTGAGTTCCTTGAATCCTCTGCCCTGAGATTTTCTGTTAAATTTTTTGAATGTCAGGTTTGGATTGCCTGGATGTCCCCCATTGAATCCTTTTTCTCAAGTCTTTTAAACAAAGTGAAGCTTGACTTATTAGAACCCACTCTTTGATCTAAGAACTTTGCCTTTAAATTTTTATATTTGAATAAATAGTAATTTACAGTTACTTCATAGTAACTATAATAGTAATAATGATATTAAATTATATTATATTGAAATTATAGTAATAGTATATTATTTGAATAAAGAATTAGATAGTGAATACCAAGTAATCCACTTTTGTTACAGCATGCCTTTTTTTGTTGTTGTTATTTTACTAATAATGACCAACAGAGGGCATAGAAGTACTATTGATGTGAGGCTTTTAACATTTGTTTCAGAGCATTCTTCTCTTAAGAAAAATGCCATTCTTAGAATAAGTTTTGTTTTGCTTTTGAAATTAGAATCCAGCTAAAGGTCTGGTATCTCAAAGTGGTCTCCAACTCCTAGTGGTACATTTCTGCCTTCACTAAATAAATACAGAGAGCAATTATCAAAACAAAGAGAGAGAAGGAAAGAGAGAAGCAACCCTGCATACTAATATGATACACTTGGTAAACAAAACCATGGCCCAGTTTCATCTTATCCACTAACAATAGGTGTCTTCTAGCGTCGAGTGAATAAAAATGCACTAGAGATTTCATGTAAGTCAGTTTCGGAAAACAAAATTGATTTTATTTATCCTAATAGTAGCTAAGCATTTTGTAGCTATTTTACTGAAACCCAGTGTTATAATTGCCAGAGCTATCATTTAATATTCAGAAGCCAAATTCATTCAACAGTTCTGATGTTGTTTTTAAAAACTAATCTTTCTATAATTATTAAGTAGTTATTATGGCTTTCCTAGAGTGTTAAGAAGGAATTTTTGTTTCTTTTTCTCATGCCTTCCTGCATAAATGACATCTATTTTGATCTTTCATTCTTGAAGCTGTTCTTTCTTTTTAGGAATGAAATTATTTATAAACATTAGAACAATTCAAGCTATGCTTGCTGAATATTTAGTCAGTATCTTCAATTTGCATCACAAATTTTTAATCGTGCTGTAAGTCTTTTTAGTTGAAGTTCTACTTGACCCCCAAATAAATTCTATCTGTGTTTATTTTGATAGACAAGAATATCATTGAATCGTTTGGAAGACTTTCTCAACACTGAGGAGCTTCATCCTCAAAATATTGAAACAAACTACATAGGAGGTCAGCATTTCCTCTGCATTCAGTATTTATTTGACTTCCGGGTTGAAGATAATTGGCTCTAAAATGTATTTATTTTTCTTCTCAGATCATGCCATTGGTTTTACAAATGCTTCCTTCTCTTGGGATAAAACAGGGATTCCAGTACTAAAAAAGTAAGTCGTGGTTTGGGGAAAATGAAAAACAAAAATTTTTTTTAGCATTGAATTCTAAAGTGTTCCATATTTTTATTTCTTAGCGTTTTTAAAGGAAAAGATGAATATATTGAAATTTACAAGAATTTTCTTTTTTAACCTCTCATAATACCTTCTGTTTTTATGGATTTTTTTTTTTTTTTTTTTACTCTTGTTTTCTATTCATTTCCTCTGTTTCCTCTGCAGCATTTGTTGTTTGCATTTGGTAATGGCTGGGTATTCATAGAATAATTTAGTATCATAGGAATAGCAGCAATTTCAAGGACAATGCTCAGCACTCTAACTTATCTGGGAATAAACATTAAAAATGTAACAAGAACTTCCTATATCATCTCTCTCCTTTTCTTGTCATGCAGCTTGAACATAAAGATTCCAGAAGGAGCTTTAGTAGCTGTTGTAGGGCAGGTTGGATCTGGAAAATCATCTGTGCTTTCTGCCATTCTGGGGGAAATGGAGAAACTTACAGGAGTTGTTCAAAGAAAGGTAAAGCCAGCAATACATTCATTCCACATCTCCTAGTGTAATAGGCTATGGCCAACACATGGTTAGCGTCAATAAGAATTTAAATCAAATCAAATTGAAGATGCAGGTATTTAATGGGTATTTCTAGTTTGTAGCAAACATTTCAATTTCCACAAAAATTGATTAGCTATGGATGTTTTAGTAATAGCATTCTGTCCTCCAAATACTTTAGTGAATCATTTATGAATGCTTATGGTAATTGTTTGATGATATTAACTGAATTGCAACCAATTATAGAGAAACTAATGCAATTTATATTTTAATTTGATTTGGTTTCTAATTATCATTCATTGCAAAGTTACCTAAGTAATTACAGGCACATTTCTAAGAAGTCTTATAGTTGCTCAGGGGTAGGATCTTTGACCCAGAAAAAAAAAAAAAAGAAAAATAATATATATATATTTTTTATTTTATTATGTTATGTTAGTCACCATACATTACATCATTAGTTTTTGATGTAGTGTTCCATGATTCATTGTTTGCGTATAACACCCAGTGCTCCATGCAATACATGCCCTCCTTAATACCCATCACCAGGCTAACCCATCCCCTCCACCCCCCTCCCCTCTAGAACCCTCAGTTTGTTTCTCAGAGTCCATAGTCTTTCATGGTTCATCTAAATAATAATATTATTTTTAAATACTTTTAAATTTCAGCCCTTGGACTATGGAGAGGACTACTCCAAGCCTTTTGTTCTATTCTTAAAAGTCAATGGGAATAAGAATTCAACAGGTTCTTAATCAACTGTTATTTTTTTGAAACACTAGACTATCTGATGAGTTTTAGATTTAACTAACTCTTAGGTAAAATACTAACCTAATTCCTCCTTCTCACTTCTGACAAGATGGAGAAGTTCTATGGATGTGAGACCAGTTTCTTCACAGTTTTTCTCTCTAGGAAGAATCAACTCCAACTCTTTCATTTTTCTTCATAATATGTATTTCCTCATATCCTTATGTCTTTCCTGATTCCAGTCCTCTAATGATTAGCCCTTTATTTTTTCTTTTCTCTTTCAGTATTATTATTATTACTTATTTTAGGATCAACTATTGGTATCTGGGACTTTTTCTGATAAGATTATACTTAATGAATACCACTATTTAAACCTTAAGTATGCTGTCTTTGTACCCTTATGTTCTTCATAATGATTGTAGTCAGTCATTTGTCTATAGTTGAAGATGACTGTAACTTATCTTAGGCCAGTGAATATCCTTTAAAAATATGATTGTCATATTGACTTTATTTTCATTTATTTAGTGTCTTCAGCTATTTTTACCAAGCAGTTATTGCACACATACTATGTGCCTGGCACTTAGTACCAGGGAAACAGGCATGAATATGATATACCCCTCTTTTTACAGAGTTTATTGTCTAGTGAGGGAGATACTAAAATCAATTATGACAAGTGTTTAAATCAGATATAAAAAAAATGAATCAAAGTATAAAAAACAACAAACTCTGAAGAGTTAGAAAAATTATCAGATTTTTACTTGATCTTAAAAAAAATAATTAGGAATTGATCAAGATAAAAACAATATCAATTCTGGATTTCATCTAATGCATTAATGTGCAAAGACCTAGCCTGGTTCTTGGCACAGAGTCTGCTAGCTCCCTGTGAATTTTTATGGTTATTGTTATCTTTATTATGATTGTTGAAGCACTCATGGTAAGATTTAAAGATTATTTCTGATCCTTTGAAGGTTTGAAATTAAGAAAATGTTCATGGTGATGCAAGAAATTATAACAATGCTGTTACTAATCACAAGACAGAGAGGACACCCTTTGTTTATATTAAGCGAGAGTTGTGGAAGAGAGAAGATATTATCTGTCAATATAATTGACAATTTTGTCCTTTGGGAAGTTCTTTGGTCTAGAGCAATGGCAGGATATGAGGATATGGGGATAAATTATTTCCTAAAACATTTTTTTTTTTTTTTTAAGAGAGGGAGAGAAGGGTAGGGGAGAGGCAGAGGGAGAGGGAGAGAGAGAATCTTGAGAATCTTAAGCAGGTTCCATGCCCAGCGTGGAGGCCATCTCGGGGCTCAATCTCACGACCCGGAGATCATGACCCAAGCCAAAACCAAAAGTCATACGCTTAACTGATTGAGCCACCCAGGAACTCCTCAAAACATTTTTAATCCTGAATTTATAACTGTCATTCTTATCATCTCTAATTTAATAATAATAACGAACTTAACACTTAGTGTTTACAAGGTGCTTTTATGTTTTGTCTTTCTGTTCCTCAAGGTTTCCTATGAGCACTTTTTTGAGGCATATCATATCACAACATTCAACCTTCAGTCTCCTTGTTCTCAATATCAAAGGTTCACACCAGGCACCATTCATGCAGAGTTTTCAGTATCCAGTGTTCTTTAATGGAACCTTAGGGATTTGGAAGACAGTTTTTGAATTAGCAATATTCTATTATGGTTTCATTATTAAGAATAAAATGAAATAAAAACACATTTTCGGGGCGCCTGGGTGGCTCAGTTGGTTAAGCGACTGCCTTCGGCTCAGGTCATGATCCTGGAGTCCCGGGATCGAGTCCCGCATCGGGCTCCCTGCTCGGCGGGGAGTCTGCTTCTCCCTCTCCCACTCCCCGTTTGTGTTCCCTCTCTCGTTGTGTCTTTCTCTGTCAAATAAATAAATAAAATCTTTAAAAAAAAAACACATTTTCATTTGTATATGAAATTAAAATGATAATTATTCTAAAAATTAAAGGAAGAATTTATACCTCTGTGAAAATGGATCAACTCTTCTTCAGCTCCAGTCATACCAACACATCAAGTCTGTAGCTCTCAATGTAGTATTTAGTTTCTGTTTTATATTTTGCACCATTGTTCCTGTTCTTCAGTCTTTTTTTCAGTGTTTTTCCTCTGTTCCCCTTATCTTGCTAAGTATATAAGTGTTCAAAATCTCTATCACTTGAGAATTGATTTAATATTATTTTAATCAAAGGTTATTCAGGGTAAGGCAATTCAAGAGCAATTACTTTTGTGTTCAAGATCAAGTCAGATCAGAATTACATTGTTTGGGATCAAAAGCCACTCCATGTCTTACGTGCTCAACAAAGAAGAATTAAAAGTTAATCTTTGATTTTTAAAGTACCTGGAGAAATCAAAAGGCTAATAGTTACATACATATACGTAGGTTAGTAGGTCAAAAAGTACTTTAAGTGTCTTGTATTGTGTAGTCAAAATAAATTCTCTAAAATCAGTGTATGGATAGAGTCCATGGGGCAGATTGAAAGGTAAGTCTCTAGTTTAAATATTGTGGGTCCTCTCTAAGAAAAGGAGGGTTTATTAAAAGGATATATTATACAGTAAACTGTCATATATTTAGGAATCATTTTGAGTCATGAAATCATCAAAAAATAAGCATAGGAGCAGTGAGTGTGTGGAAGATATGGATGTGCCACCCAGATACCCTGTCTAGCAAGGGCTTGCCTCCCAGCCCTGGGAGTACACACAGCAAGTTAGCCCCTTTAGGGGTGACCTGCTGACAATGGCCTGGCTGAGGGCCCACAACTGAAAGCCAGGCCAATCTAGCCTAACATGGAACAACTCTGATGGGTAATACTCTATATCTCTCTAGAGGGTTGGACAAAGCTTTGTTGGATCTGGATCACGGTGTGACTTCTCCATCCACCCAATCCTCCTACCTTCTTTCCTTCCACAAGAATTGATCCCAAATAAACAACTTGCACTCCAGGCTCAGTGTTATGCACTAAACTGTGTTCCCCCAAAATTCATATGTTAAAGTCCTAATCCCAAGAATGTGACTGTATTTGGAGATAGAGTCTTTAAAGAGGTAATTAAATTAAGATATAATAGGGTGGGCCTTAATCCAATGTGACTGGTGTTCTTTTTTTTTTTTTTTTTAAAGATTTTTATTTATTTATTTGACCGAGAGAGAGATAGCGAGAGCAGAAACACAAGCAGGGGGAGTGGGAGAGGGAGAAGCAGGCTTCCTGCTGAGCAGGGAGCCCGATGTGGGACTCGATCCCAGGACCCTGGGATCATGACCTGAGCCAAAGGCAGACGCTCAACGACTGAGCCACCCAGGCGCCCATGACTGGTGTTCTTAAGAGAAGAAGAAATTAAGACACACATACCCACACAGAGGGAAGGCCATGTGAAGACTCAAGAAAAGGCAGTCATCCACAAGCTAAGGAGATAGACCTCAGAAGACGTCAACCTTGCAGACAACTTGTCACACTTCTAGCCTCCAGAATTGTGAGAAAAGAAATTTCTGTTGTTTAAGCAATCCAGTCTGGTATCTTGTTAACGGCAACTGGAGCTGACTAATACAATCAGCCTCTGCTTCCAGAAAACTCCACCAGAGACAGATAACTTTGATAGAAACTACAGTGAAAGCAAATAAGAAGTACAAAGTAACTCATTTGAAGGAGCCTCTATGAAACATGTATAAGATTAAAATGTAAATAGGATATACTTACAGTTAAGAAATAACCTAGTTTTTTAAAAATTCAGTTTAAAGTTAAAGCAAAACTGGACTGAATATGTTCCTTTAATGTGGTGTATGCAACTTTTTCTTTTCCCTTGTTAAGAGCATGTCTTTTATTTCTTCCCTTTTTAGGGTTCTGTGGCTTATGTTGCCCAGCAGGCCTGGATTCAGAATTGCATTTTACAGGAAAACATTCTCTTTGGCTCCATCATGCAGAAGCAGTTTTATGAGCAAGTATTGGAAGCCTGTGCCCTCCTTCCTGATTTGGAGCAGTTACCAAATGGAGATCAAACTGAGATTGGAGAAAGAGTAAGGAAAATATAATTTATCATATGCAGGAATAAAACTCCATTCAGCCGTGCTAATAAAATATTTATAGTCTCTTTCCTGAGGTCCTAGAGAGCCATACACAACTATAATCTTTTAAAAATCATTACAGAATTCCTATGAAAGAGATGGCAATATTAAGGACAAATAATTATCTGTAATTGACTATCTGGAAAACAGATTTAAAATCAGCAGGAAATTCTGTCGTTAGGATCTACGTGGGGGAATGAAAGCCCACCAACTGGATCATCAGCACTTTGTTTTCATTGCTGGCTCACTACCTAACGAGTGAATGGTAGTTTGGTTTTTTTTGTTTTTTTTTTTTTTACCCTGTGTCTCTTTGCACAAAGTCAAGCCTAGGACAGTAGCAACAGAGTGCCAGTCTCCAGTGGTGGCACCGAGGCCAGGTTCTAAAAAGGCTCAGGGACGATGCTGTCATTAATGTGCCTTCTCCGTGTTTGCTCATTCTTGCTTAAGAGGATCTTGTTTCCCATAGTCTTTGTTCTATTTTATTTTCATTGCATTAATGAATAGTCATTACGCTGCCCAGTGTTTTGGAGTTAAAACAAAACAAAACAAGATAGCGTGAGCCAAAGCATGAACCCCGAGAGATTATCTCCGACCCGTGACTAAAATCTCCATTAATTAAACATGAATGCAAAAGCAGCCTCTGCCTGCGATTCATGTGTGCTGTGAAGATGAGTAAATAATCCTTGCCAAGTGCTTCGAATTTCTGAAAAGAGAGCATAGCATTGTTAGGCATTTTTACCCCTGGCCCCCTGTTGTTTAATAGTCCTCTTATATAAATTGATAAATAAAATAGAGAACAAAATCATAGAAAGTGGGCATATTAAAAAAACTCTAGAATGAGGCAAAATTTACCTCTTACGTAGACTTATGTTGGCTTCACTCATAGTCTGTTACTTTGCAGATGTATTTTCTCAAGTTATTAAATAGATTTAATTTTTTTCCCCACCTCTCTTTTTTTTCTGGTGTCTTCACTGTCCACAGGCAAAATGGCACCATAGCTAAAATTATGCAGAAATGTGACTTCTTCAAACTTGTTAATACATATTGAATATTATGCCAATAAAGCCAATCACTAATAATAAGAAATAGTTGATAATATGTAACTAAAAAGAATCTAAAAAAGAAAAATTTTCAAAATATGAAGTATATATTTAATATAGGCATAAATGTTACTGCTGTTTATAACTTCTACTTTTTATTATTAAGTGTCTCCCAATCTGATGATATACTTTAAAATAAACATGTAGGGTGCCTGGGTGGCTCAGTTGGTTAAGCGACTGCCTTCGGCTCAGGTCATGATCCTGGAGTCCCAGGATCGAGTCCCGCATTGGGCTCCCTGCTCAGCAGGGAGTCTGCTTCTCCCTCTGACCCTCCCCCCTCTCATGTGCTTTCTCTCTCTCTCTCTCTCTCTCAAATAAATGGATAAAATCTTTAAAAAAATAAATAAATAAATAAAATAAAATAAACATGTAATTGAATATTTCAAAAGGCAATCTGTTTACAACTGTTAGGAGACACGCAAGATAACAAATGCAGAATTTTCCTCACTTTCCTTTATCTTTTCCTTTGGCATTCTTCAATTGACCATAAATATTTATCAATGTATTATTATATGCCTTTATTCTGCTGTGGGGTACCCAATGGTGAGCAAGAGAGCTATCACCCTGCCTTCAAGAGATTTTCAGTCTAGTGGATCTCTGCCAATGAAATTATCAGTTGTCCTTTATTAATATTAATCATCAGACAGTCTATGTGCTGGGAATGCAAGGATGAATTTAGCTCATAGTCTTGTGAGGGAGACTGATGTGGATATAGCCATTTCTGGCAATGGGATGAGTAAATGGAGCACCATCAGGACAGGAATGGAGGGAAGGAATCAGTTTACTTGGAATACTGGGTGGAAGATTGCTTTCAAAGAGGACTTCATAGAGTGAATAGCTTTTGAATTGAAAAGGGAAGATATGGGCTCCCTAGCAGAGTGACCAGCCTCTGCTAGTCTGGTTGGCAGGCAGCATTGGGAGAGTGGGTGATGGCAGATGAGATGTGGGCATCACAGGTGTTTAAACAAGGTGATTTCATAATCACAGGATATGCAGTGACAAGGCAGAGGATGCACTGGAGAGAGGAGTGATTGGGTGATGATAGTGAGGTTGATTGCATCTGTACTTGGTGTTGGATTTGTTGTAAATATTTTACATTCATCTTATTAAATGCTCATGACACACCCATGAGTTGGGGGCTATTACAATCACACACACAGAAGCGCGCACACACACACATATATATACACATGCACACATGTATCATATTACTTTATATATTTTTTTCATGCCTGTCTCCCCTGCTAAACTGTGACCTCCTCATGATAGAGGCTCAGTTTCATTTATTTCTGAATCCCAAGTGTTCGCGTAGCACCCAGAATATGGTTATACAAAGGAGGTATTTGTTGAGTAGGCGGAAGATGAGAAAAGCAAAAAAGCAATGGCATTTTATAATTAGAGGTAACTGGCTAAGTTCTGTGCTGCAAGGAGGGCTTTTAAGCCAGATCTATAAACACTAAATATAAAATAAATCAAGTAAATTGGGCCTGGCCCCATAATTCTCTATATGTGGCTGTACACGTCGACTTTAATTCTCACACGGAATGATGTATATTCCTTATTCTTGCTTCTTAGAGTTGTACTTTTGCCAACAAGACTTGTACTAATCTTTCTACAGAATAAAATAGGACATGGTGATTACTGCTTTGGTAATTTAGCTATTATTCTCCATTTTCTATGTGTCAATTTAAAAATGATCACTGGTGTCGGTATATGGTTGGCAGCCAAAAGTCTTATTTAATATTTCAGAGGCATGACTTTTCAGAGTTAGGGGATTGGAAATTGTTTTCTCCTTAATTGTTAGTATCTACTTTTGAGAGCAAGCAGTTAAGAGAAAGTAGATATATCTGTTAATTTGCACAAGTTAGTAGCACTTGGAAATAGGGGGTGGGGGTAGGCCTTTGGATTTTGTAATAAAGAAGGGTTTGAGGGTTAATCTTGAGTTGTTTTCTATCCATGCTACAGAAGAGAAATTGGATGTCACTATACGTGCTTTGAGATTTACACATTTTTGGTCTTGGTTTTTTCCTCCTGCTCCATCTGCAGGGTGTGAATATAAGTGGGGGCCAGAAGCACCGCGTAAGTCTGGCCAGAGCTGTGTATAGTGGGGCTGACATCTACCTCCTGGATGATCCCTTTGCTGCAGTTGATGTCCATGTTGGAAAGCAACTTTTTGAGAAAGTGATTGGGTCCTCGGGTATTTTGAAAAACAAGGTAGCCATAGTGTCACTTATGCTTTTGGGGGGAAAGGGGAAGATGATAATCTGCATAGCATTGTGCCTAAAATTCCAACATTTTGTTCATTTGTTGAAGTAAAGTAGTGATATTTCATATGAAAAAGGGGATATCATACTGACCTTTTTACAGATAAACTTTAATGAATATTTTTTAAAGTTTTTTTTTTACAAGTTTACTCTGACAATAATTTATGTGATTGTTACCTTATAGACTGATACCATACTCTAAGGGGATTTGTATGTCAGAATGAATTGGTTTTAGTTTACTTGATTTTTTTTAAATGGTATTTTCATACATAGCACTTGCAAAAAAAGTATTATTTTACTGATTATTTATTACTTAAAACTATGGTATTATTAACATAGCAGTAACAATTCAGCTCTCTTGTGAAAGGGCCAAGAAGAAAGGAATTAATATTTACCAAGTGCATACCATGTCTGACGCTAAATTAGTTCATTTAGTTCTTACAGCAAGTCTCTGAATAGGTATTATTATTCCTGTTTTACCTATGAGTGAACTTGGGACTCAGAATGATTTGATATGGGTAGCTTAGCTTAAGAACAGCAGAGATTTTAATAACATGTAGAATTGTTGAATCACTATGTTGTACCCCTAAAACTAATGTAACATCGTGTGCAAACGTACTTTAATTAAAAAAAAAAAAAAGAACAGCAGAGATTTTAAAAAGTCCGTCTGACCACAAGGCTGTACTCATTCCTTCATAATACGCATTTATAGACTTGTTAATATAAGGCAATCTGGAAAACATTAAATAAATGCATAAAATGTTAACGTATATATCTAAGTAAATAATAGATAAATGTCTTTACTTATTAAAATGAGCCCAAGATAAAAACCTCTGGTTCAATCCTATGTGTATGTGTACAATAATATGGAAAGACTTAAAAATAAATACTATGAATAAATACATCAGTCTCCTTCACAAGACTATGAGCTCTATACTTCCTCTGTTACCTACTTCATAATTTCAGGGTAACAGAGGAAGTATAGAGCTATATCTCAGTATTTCCTATATGAATTATGACTGGAATCAACACTTTATTGTAATGCTATAGGACCTTTAAAAAGTAAGCATGAATGACAGATATGAAATTTTTAAATTTGTTATGAAATTGATTCGTTTTTAATGAATGAAGACTACCTGAACCAGAGGGTTAAAACACTTGCAATCTTTTGTTTGTTTGTTTGTCTGGTTTTTGTCTAACAGCATATAATCATCCGTTGTGAAATACATATATGCTGCCTTTTACTGGTACCTACTGACAATTACACTCTGAAATAGTAAAAAAAACACACAAAAAACAAAAAATTGCAGCTTTCTTTAAAATAGATTATTTTTCCTTTTTTTTTTTTTGGTAACCCAAGAAATAAAACACTGTTTTTCAGACTCGCATTTTAGTGACACATAACCTCACACTTCTGCCACAGATGGATCTGATTGTTGTAATGGAGAGTGGCAGAATTGCACACATGGGAACATACCAGGAGCTGCTGTTGAAAACCAGAAACCTCACAAATTTGCTTCAGGCCTTCAGTGAACGAGAAAAAGGTGAGACACAATGAAAAATAAGCCTACGATGCCGTGTGCCTAGCCATTCCGAAAGTCCATTAATTGTGTGATTTCTTACAATGCCTTTTTCTTCATTCATCCTGCTTAAGTCAGGAGCTGGGCACCTTCCTTTCTCTAGAAAAGAAACAAACGTTAGGACACATCAGCTAAAAATTACCCTCATTTATGATTTTTTAAGCAAAATGTTATGCCCCAAGATCTGTTTGTTCATCTCTGAAATAAGAGATTAGATGATTTATAAGCTCTACTGCGGGTCTAGAATATAATGGGTCTAAACATTCTACTTTCTTTAAAATTAAGAACAGGGAGCATAAATCCATGTCAAATAAGTAATAAATATTTTAAACATACTGTTGCATGCTGAGGAGGAGAAACGAATAGACAGAAAAGGAATCTGAGGAAAGACAAAGGGGAATGATATTTGTCTTAACTTTTATAAGATAACAATTGAGTTTACCTACTAATTTTTGTTACTATACTCCTACCATTTTAAATTAAGATTATACATGTTTATGTAAATGAAGTGGTTTGATCCTTACCTAATTAAGACACAGGGATGTTTGAAGTCAAGTATTAACTTAATATTCTAGAGGTCAGTTATTTCCCATCTTTGAAAGTGTAGGGGCGCTTGGGTGGCTCAGTTGTTAAGCGTCTGCCTTTGGCTCAGGTCATGATCCCAGGGTCCTGGGATGGAGCCCCACATCGCATCAGGCTCCCTGCTCAGCAGGGTGTCTGCTGTTCCCCTGTTTGTGCTCTCTTGTCCTCTCTGTCAAATAAATAAATAAAATTAAAAAAAAAAAAAAGAAAGTGTAATGTGCGTCATCTCTTTTTCCATCTATAGATGCTTTCTCAGGTAGACCGCTATGATACTTGTCCTATAACTTCCCAGAATACCACTGAGAAATGACTATAAAATCAGTTACCTACTTCATAATTTCAGGGTAACAGAGGAAATACAGAGCTATATCTCAGTATTTCCTATATGAACTCCTATCCAATCGCTTCTCGGCCTTTTGGCTAAGATCAAGTGTGAACTCCTATCCACTAATCACTTTACACTGTACCTAGTTATAAAAGTCATAAAAATATGAAACCAGTTTATAACAGGATCAGTGCAATTTATTATTTGTTGTGAAATCAAAGCGATTTTGTTGATGTGTTTCTTTTTTTGGACCTAAGCTAATACACTTTAGTTATATACTACTATTTTTTGTCTTTCTTGTCTTTATTCCTTTCTCAAATTCAAATATTCTATCTGTAGATGCATTCAGAAATATCTGATGCATCATCAGATGGCTATGATCATTCTTTTTTTTTTTTTTTAAGATTTTATTCATTTATTTTTCTGAGAAGAGAGCACGAGCAGGGGGAGGAGCAGCAGAGGGAGAAGCAGGCTCCCTACTGAGCAGGGATCCCGATGCGGGACTCGATCCCAGGACCCTGGGATCATGACCTGAGCCAAAGGCAGATGCTCAACTAACTAAGCCACCCAGGAGTCCCAGCTATGGTCATGCTTAATAAAAGAAGCACCTTCTCTTCTCTTAATGGCTAACAATTTTGAAAATGATCTCTTATGTTCTTGGCCAAGCTAAGTAGTAATTTATGCTTACTGTATGTATAGGAAAGAGATGACTGTGAGTGTCTCCTAGGATGAAAATGTGGTCTGTCAGTTTTCTCTATTCCCAGCTTTTAGGTAGCTTCATGCTAGGCACATTACAGGTCCTCAGTAGCTGTTTTTAAACAGGTGAATCTGCTGGAAGCGTGTCTCCTCAGGAGTTAATGGGATGATTTGGAATGCTATGAGCCAGTGTATTTTTCATGTGGCAATTTATTTTAAAGGCCACATGAAATATAAGTTGTATTACTTTGGAAAATATAGCTCGAAAAGCAGGCAATGCATAAGTTTTATGGTCAATATTTAATTTACCATAAAATATAAACTGTATCTTTTGAAAGTTGTGGAATTTGCTCTTGTTTAAAATCCCAGTTTTTGGAAACAAATATCATGCCTTCTCTTTTATTTCTATATACCTTCTTATGTACATGAATCCTCTATGGTAACAAATGGAAAGCAGTATTATTCTTGAAGTCGGCCTGACATTAATAGATGTTACTACCTCACTGTCAGAAATATGCCAGAGTTAGAAAAATGCAAATTGAACTTTTTTTCCCCTAATGACTTCAATATTGTGTCTTCTCTATTAAAATTCAGGAAGGTGATGAGTAGAGATGATTTTTGTACTAAAAATATAATACATTTTTGAAAAAGGATATTTCTGGGATTTTGATTTTTTTGGATGCTGAATAAAAAAATGTAAAGGCTTTTTAAAGGCCACCATAAAATTACACCATGATGATACTAGATGTTAGATAGGTATTTGTAAAAGGTCAGTCATGTATAGTGTAATTCCCTTAGGGCCCACACAGAGCAAGGCAAAAGTAGAGTTTGATGATATAAACCACCCCATTAAATAATAGTTTCAAACCAGGTTACATTCAGTGTCAAGTTCTTATTTATTTATTTATTTATTTGAGAGAGAGAGTGCACGTGAGCACGAGTGGGGGGAGGAGCAGAGGGAAAGGGACAAGTAGACTCTGTGCTGAGCCCAGAGTCCTACACGGGGCTCCATCTCAACAACCCTCAGGTCCTGACCTGAGCCAAAATCAAGACTCAGATGCTTAACTGACTGAACCACCCAGGCGCCCCCAGTGTCAGGTTCTTATAGTGCTGCTCTTAGATCTGGACCAGCATGACCTAGTACTATACTCTACCTTGTTCTGGCCTTTCTTAGCTGCCTTTCTGGCAAGAGCCCAAGGATTGTGCCCATCAGGGGTCTCCTTCCAATCTTCTACTTTTTGAGTATTCCAGATATTTTGGGGTTCCAGAATTCTCTGCCCAAATAACATAAACTTGCTCCTCAATCCTATCCTCCCAAAGGCAGGCTAATCTACCGGCATTTGCCACTCTTTGGCCTGAGGAATTTTTTCTTTCTTGGAGGGATGGGTTAGGGTGAACAAAGCCTAGACATATGGGCTGGGGTGTCCCCAGACATGCAGCAGGTTGGGGTTGGGGTGGGAGAGAAGGGGACAAGGGCCTTTACTGGGACTACCTCACTTAGGACTGTTATATTTCCAAGGAACTCTTAGGATTTCAGACACTCTCACATGGACCTTAGCTTTCAGGTGGTTGGGAAGGTGTATTGGTTGGGATAAGCAATAGAACTTATTTATGATAAGTTGGTTGGCTCTATCTGTTACTGTTAAATAATTAGGAATATGGTATGTGGGCCTTCATTTATATTCTTGTCCTGGTACCCACCAATGTGAGGTGCAGGCCTGTCCCTGTGGGGCATTTCTTTTTCTTATTTGTATAAGTAGTAGGGAAAACTCACATTATATCTGAGAGCATTTTTATTGGGATTTAGGGGAAAAGGATTACCTAGACAAGGAGTGGAATTTGAGAAGTATGATCCCCAGTACTAAAACACCCTGTGATCTATCATTTATGTTTTAATTTATCTTCTTTGATCTTGAGTCTGTTCAAGAATTCTTTTAAAAGGTACACAATGCTTCCATTTTAAAATTCATGTTAACTTATGTGACACCAGAGTGGGAGTAAAAGTAAGCACAATTTTGTGGAAAAAACACTGGGCCAATTTTAGGTTGCCCCAGGCTCTAGTTCTGACTCAGAATAACTATGTGAGTCTTCATAGAGTTGACTTTACACCTCTGGTTCTTCCCATTTATGAAAAATGGGACTGAACTAAGTCTTTTTTTTCCTAGTGGCTGATGTGGAATTGAACAATGCACATTTTTATCATTCCCTTGCCTCCAAAACTACCTACGACTTAGCCACTTTTTCTTCTTTTCCTACCATCCTCACCTTTACTATTAAGGTTAATAACAGATAACTTAGAAAAAGTAGTTTTTATAGTATAATTTGGGTTTGGATACATCAGATCTTGGAGACTCCATCCAGCTCTGAAAAATCTACAAATCTCACCTTAAGGGGATATTATATTAGAGAATCAGTCAGAGGTGAGAAGAAAGGTCAATGAAGAAAGATATGAAGACTAATGATAAATTTACATATTTATAGGTTTAGTCTAGGCTACTTCTTTTTTTTTTTTTTAAGATTTTATTTATTTATTCGACAGAGAGATACACAGCGAGAGAGGGAACACAAGCAGGGGGAGTGGGAGAGGGAGAAGCAGGACTCCCACCGAGAAGGGAGCCCGATGCGGGGCTCGATCCCAGGACCCTGGGATCATGCCCTGAGCTGAAGGCAGACGCCCAACGACTGAGCCACCCAGGTGCCCCTAGGCTACTTCTTACCCACACTAATAATCCTGGTGATAGCTAGGAGGATGTCATGGGTAGTAAGTCAATATATTCACAACTTTTACCTTACCTTAATCCTCCTCGAAACCTCCTGAGACCGCATGGTCATGATTTTACAAAGATTAGGTATCTTGCACAAGTTAAGACAGATTGTAAGTGGCAGAATTTGAATCTGATACTACATCTGTTTCATGCGAGGCCAGCCAAACTCTTAAACGTTTTATCAAATGTGTAGGAACAAGTACACTGACTTGGTGTGAAGAGACAGGAAGGGATGTGTGACTCAGCTCACTCTTGTTTGTTCTGTCTCTGTCTCTCTCCCTTCCTCTCTGTCTCTTTGATAACTGTTGGTTTCAGTCAAGTCACTTATCCTATCTGAGTTTTATTTTTCCCTTGCAAAATATGGATAAGCTTAACTATTCTCTTTATCTTACAAGCTCATTTGGTACTCAAATGTAATGTATGTGAAAGACCCCTATAAATTGCAAATATATAAATTTTAAAATTATTATAAACTATAAAAATGAAAACGGTCCTTAGGCAGGAGGGGGCTGAAACATCTCCAGATCAAATTTTCATTCTGTTGAGACATGGAATACCATGTTTCGTAGAGATGGTTGATGTAAGTCAAATTTTTCCATTAAGGGCTATTAGATGTTTACTTCTAGAAATAAGAAAACATAGAATTCATAGAAGAGATTGTAGAAATTCCCAGGTCCAGTCCTTTTTTTTAAAGATGAGAAGTCTGAAATTCAAGGAGTTTAAGTATTATACTGTAAAAAAAAAAGACAAAACTCAGCCAAGCTCTGAGAAGTTTCCCATCAAATTCACAAGCAGTAACTTGAACCTCAATCTTATAGTTCTAGATGTGAGACCTTGGTTTGTGTGACCTGCTTAACTTCTCTGTGCCTCAGTCTTTTCATCCCTAGAATAAAGGGATAATTATAGTATCTTCCTCATAGGGATCAAGAATATATATATATACATGTATATATATATCATTTAGAAAAATGCCTGCCATATAGGAAGCTATTATTAGTATTAGTGACATTAGAAAGAACATGACAGAGATTTGGGGAATTTACCATTGTGTTTCATTAGTAATCTTCATAATAATCAAATTGTCTATAAGGCTTCATTAAATTGCATTTTTCTTTTAAAGACTAGAGTCATGTTCCTCTTGGGCAAATACCTAGCCATTCTGTGGAAGTCCAAAACAAGTTAACACTCCTCTCTAATGTCCAAAAAAATAATTTGTGTAGGCTTTTTCATTACAAAATCTTAGTTTTAGAAGATGTTAGAAGATACTTCAGGTGAAGGGGAAGTAATGGGAAAAATGAAAGGGCTCCCTGTATACCTGTGGATCCAGAACCAAAATTTCTCCAACTGGTATAATCTTTCATCATATCTCTCTATATTTTATGCATTGTTTGCTTATATGTATATGAAAGCACTTACCATCTTCCTCTCCAGCTCATGCTTTAAAGCGAGTCAGTGTAATCAACTCCAGAACTATACTGAAAGACCAAATCTTGGAGCAAAATGACAGGTGAGTATTAGGATAATACCAGGCTCACTGGGATTATGAATAATTAATTACAATCCTTTTAACATTTAAAATGTTTCCTTTATAAAGGATCTACACATTATAATGGCTACAATATGTACTTAGTGGTCTCCAGGTTTTAATCTCTAAGTTAGATGGATGTGTCTAAGGTTTTAAGAGAGATGGATGTGACTTAGTTTGGGACATACATGCTCATTAGACTCTCAATAACTTCTAGACAAATTCTAGTAGCAGAATTGTGTGTGTGTGGGTGTGCGCCCTGTTCCCAACCCATAACAGTCATACCCACTGCTGATGTGAATGTGAAATAAGCTTTAGATGTGAGAATTCTACAATGGACTGGTATGGGTATCAGGCCAGGATATGTGACCTAGAAATAGGGACTTGGTGTAGGAATTGAAGAATCTGTTAAATGAAGCAAGAGAGAGGGAAAAAAGAAGAGAGGGAGGGAGAAGTGAGGGAGGAGGTGGGGGAGAAGGTATGAAGGGAAGGAGGGAGGGAGGAAGTGAAAGAAGGATAGGAGAAAGTGAGAGAAATAAAAATCATAAAACATTGACCCTGATTGGATTTTGTTATATTATACTTCTTTTTTTTTTCAAAAGTGACTAAAATGAACAGTAATTAAAGCAAATTACCCTAATCTGTTACTTGCCCCAGTATTCCCCACAGCAGTTGCAAATAGGAGACTGAAAGAAAAAAAAATAGGAATAAACAGAATTACAGGGAGCAGCCACTCATCAAAATTGCTAAAATGGAGGATCGGGATGGATTATAAGGAAGCAAGCACTTTGGGTTCCATTGGCTCAGAATTTTGTAGATTTGACCTTGAATTAAAAAATGGACCTTGAGGGCACCTGGGTGGCTCAATCGTTAAGCGTCTGCCTTCGGCTCAGGTCATGATCCCAGGGTCCTGGGATCGAGCCCCGCATCGGGCTCCCTGCTCCTTGGGAAGCCTGCTTCTTCCTCTCCCACTCCCCCTGCTTGTATTCCCTCTCGCTGTGTCTCTCTGTCAAATAAATAAATAAAATCTTTAACAACAACAACAACAAAAAACAGGACCTTGAATTTATTTATTTATTTTGAAAAGAGTGGATATTCCTAAGGATGTGTGGATGATGTGGATGTTGCAGGTTTGAGTTTTGCCTCTATATCAGAATCAGCTGAGCCAGTAGATCAACTAAATCATTGTCCCAGATATCCATACAACTTGCTCACCCACCTTTTGCAGGTCTTTGCTCAAATATTACCTTATTGATGAAGACTTTGGGTTTAGCCACCCTATTTTGTCACAGTCCTCCCCAACCCCTTCCAGGCTTATTTTTTTTTCTTATAATCCTTATTAATTTTCAGTATACTGGAGAATTTATTTACTTTTATTTTGTCTTTCACTTCTGGGTTTTAAGCTTTATAACAGCCTAAATTTTTGTCTATTTGTTCATTGCTTTATTGTCATCTAAAAAGTTTCAACTAAACACTGAATAAAAAGCTGTGTTATATGTTATAATAACATATAAGCTGATGTTCAATAAATAATTGTTGAATGGATGAATAAGTAACTGAATTCTGAAAGAACGCTCAAGGATCTTTTAATTCATCATTTATTCTATTTTATTTTTTTGACCATTATGACATTACCTTTCATTTAAATGAGTGTCTGTTTTTAAGGATCCCCAAGAGAAGTGAATCTAGAAGCAGTGAACCAGACTTTGAAATTCATGTGCTATAGGATCTAAGCATCTCTAATCCTTAGGAGAATTTTCACCTGTGTACAGTTTCACCATGTAGTCAATATGTAACTTGTTTAAAAGCTTAGACCTGGGACACCTGGGTGGCTCAGTCGGTTAAGCGTCTGCCTTCAGCTCAGGTCATGATCCCAGGGTCCTGGGATCGAGTCCCGCATCGGGCTCCCCGCTCTGCGGGGAGCCTGCTTCTCCCTCTGCCTCTGCCTCTCTCTCTCTCTATCTCTCATGAATAAATAAATAAAATCTAAAAAAATAAATAAAAGCTTAGAACTTAAAAATCAGTAAGTATTGTTGTTAACTTAATCATACCCTTCTCTCTATAATAAATCAGTTGTCCTTATTTATAAAATCATTGTCAGTCACAATATCTAAATTGAACCCCTTGAAGTTTTTGTGAATCATTTTTGGAAAGTTTCTTCTTGAAACAGGAATCCCAATCCTTATAAAAATTTATTTACAGAATTGATTTCTAAACATTTCTCAACTTATGGAGGCTCAGACTGAAGCCAGCATTCTGAAACTTACTTCTCCAGTGATTGAGTACATTGGGAAGATCGCCTCAATTCCAATATGTTACATTCTTGTCAACACAACGAGCATCAAGCTTACTTCTTAATAACTGCGATGAAAATGTTATTGGAGGTCCATGAATTCCCCCATGCTGATCTTTTCTTGTTTGTCATCATAGTATTTAAATCATTTTTTATCTTGTGTTTGAGAGACCAGAGACCTATTTCAATTTTTCCAAAATATGTGCATGTTTGGCTACTTCCTATGTATTTCCTAGTTTATTATTTTCTGTGCTACTTCTCATCTTAAATTTCATTTTTTATCTGCTTTACTGTTTGGTAAGATAATATTACATGGAGAAAATTTTCCTGACTTTTTAACCTAACTTTCTATTTTTTAGAATTATCCAATTTCCACTTAGTGCAGCATTAAGATAGACTAGGGGCTGGAAGATACACACAGGCAGGAACTTTACAGCAGTTAGAGAGTCTCTACAACGGGACGTACTGAGATAGAATGCAGTGATTCTTCCTCATGGAAGAGTTAGTTCATGGGGAAAGTGGCTAACTGCCCATCAGGAGGGGGGTAAAAAGGGAGTTGGACTAAATAATGTCTGAAATTTAAGACTTAGAATTACTTTATGACACGTTAGTTCAATTCGCTAATAGGGACTAAAATAATTTGAACTGTTTCTACATTATGCTTTTCACTTCCTGATTTAAATTTACATGGTATATATTAATTATTTTATTTCTTTAAATATTTATTAATATCTTCCTCAAATAAAATAAATCAGGAGTGTGATTTCAGTATTAGACTGCCCCCTTCTGTCTTTCATGTCAGACTCTTTTAATCACTTTAATCCTCCCATACATATTCCATACTTTGCAACTGCATGCGCAGTTCAGGGATAATGGTTTCAGTATGTTAATTTTATATCTTTTACACAAAAATATGCAGACGGGTATTGTGCCAACTTTCCTGAGGTTTTCTGAAGGACAACACAAGACTCATTTTTAAAACTTCTTTACTAGCATAAAATAATTTGCTCTTTTAAAATTCAGATGGAATCTGTTATTCACAGTAGAGTGCCCAGAACCAAATGCAGTATTTTTGTGGAAAAAGAATAAGTAACATTGTAGTTTGCAGAAGCAATGCCCTCCTCTATGGTGTCCAATAAATTCTCGGTCTTTGTTAGTTATGCCTAATTAGGATGCTTTAATTCCCTTTTAACAGTTGGGTTTCATAGCATTTTATATCCAACTACATTAAGAATTAATTTTTTGGCTTGACACCAATGCTGAATTTGCTTATTCAAACAGAAGCCATGCCAAGGGCTTGACGGATGATGACAGTAATTAACCCAAATCGTATACCAGGAGCTGTTCCAATGAAAGTGTCTGTTAAATAGTGTGTCTTTTCCTGATGGTGAAGCTGATTCTACAAAGGCCATGTGTTACAACCTCCCACAGAATGTTTCTTGACATTAGTGCCAGGGATAGAAAGGGAAGAGCCACCAGACTGATCAAATAAAGCCTTTCTTATTCTGGTAAATAAAATGGAAAACATGGAGAAATGGGGGGAAATTAAACTCAATTCAGAACTTAACATACCCCATGCTCCTGTGTCCCTACAAGGAACAATGAGAGATGTGTAAAAAGAATGATCATTACAGCAAAAAAGTAGGAACAGTCTACAGCCACTAGAACTACTGAGTTTGTTAAATGAATCTTAATATAATAAAATGAAAAATATAATGCAGTTATAGAATAATATTTTAGGTTCCTTGCATACTGAGTTACAAAGACCATGTATAAAGTTGTTTAAAAGTTGAAGAATGGTTTTAGAACAACATTTGTATTATGATACTACACACATGTGGAGGAAAGACTATGGCAATATTCACAAACATGTTAGCACCGAATGTCTCTGGAACATAGGATTATGAATCTTCCTTCTCCTGCTTCTCTTCTTCCTCTTTTTTTCTCTCCTCCTTTGCCATTACTTTTCTTCATGCTGTTAGGTATTTTCCAACTGTTTCTCCAATAATACAGTTCTAGAGGAATTGACACATACCACGTGATTGGTTAGAAATGTACCAAGATTGAGACAGAGGAAGTGTTTGTGGCCCTTTACAAAGCCAGAGAAAGCTTTAAAGGAGGTAGGAAAATATCTGGTTCAGTTTAGGGTGGTATGGAGATGAACAAGCAAAGAGATGAAGTAAGCATGTTACTGTAGAGATCTGGAACTCAAGGGAGAGGTATGGACTAGAACAAGCAATTTGAGAGTCACCCACAAAGAAGGTCATTGAAACTGAGTGAATGAGATTACTCAGAAGAGTGTGGAGCATACAAAGGAAATAGAGTTGGCCCTTGAACAGTGTAAGGGGTTAGAGCATCAACAACTCCAAGCAGCTGAAGATCTGAGTATAACTTTTGACTCTGCAAAAGCTTAACTACCAATAACCTATAGTTGACCAGAAGGCTTATTGATGGCAAACAGTCAATTAATACATGTTTTGTATGTTATATGTATTATATACTGTATTCTTACAATAAAGTAAGCTAGAGAAAAGAGAATCTTATCAAAAGGAAGATACATTTACAGTACCATATGTATATTTATTGTAAAAGAAATCTGCATATAAGTGGACCTGTTTAGTTCAAGCCTGTGTTGTTCAAGGATCGACTATAATGACTAGAATTGAGCCTGAGGAAACATAAACATTAAAGAGAATACAGAGAAAGGAATCTAAAGAGAAACTCACGGAGGGCCAGAGAGGTGTGAGAAAATACAAATTCATGGTGGTAGGGAAGTTAAAGGAAATGTTCCTTAAACAAGGGAGTGGTCAATGTTGTTAAATGTCATGAAGAGTTTAAGTGAAATATTTTTTAAAGTATCCCATGGATATAACAATAAATATTTTACTCATTTCATTCAAGGCACCATTGATGGAAACTCTTCCAGCCAGGTGCCAGACAGTTGAAGGAGGCAAAGTGGTTTAGCAGAAAAATGTTTGGCTATAAAAGGAAGGCAAGAAGTAGGATGGTAATTGACGAAAGACATAGAATTGAGAATAGTATCATTTTTGTGGTGATGGTTTTAAGATGAGAAGAATGTGTTATTCTCTATGGGCTGATGGGAAAGAGTCAGGAGTAGGGAGGAGAAGATGAAGTTTAGAAAAAATTGGGAAGAACTCAGAGTTTCTTAGATTTGCCTTAAGATGAGAATCCCTTGGATCATTTGTTTGAAAGGCAGGTTTCTAGTGGGGGAAATCCTATAATCTGTATTTCTTTTTTTTTTTTTTAAGATTTTATTTATTTGACAGAGAGAGACACAGCGGGAGAGGGAACACAAGCAGGGGGAGTGGGAGAGGGAGAAGCAGGCTTCCTGTGGAGCAGGGAGCCCGATGCGGGGCTCGATCCCAGGACCCTGGGATCATGACCTGAGCCGAAGGCAGACGCTTAACGACTGAGCCGCCCAGGTGCCCCTATAATCTGTATTTCTAACAAGTACTATCAAGTGACTCATTGACAGGACAGTGTGGAGACACTATAGTTAATAAATGTGTTTTGAGGAAATGGGACAGAATGGGATTCAGATCATATGGTTATTCTTGATCTGAGGAGAGAATTTCCTTTGTTTGCTGTAGGAGAGAATTAGAAAAGGCTGCATAGAGGTGCATGTAAATGTAGAGATTTGGTGACTGACTTTCCTGTCTGCCCTTACTTTCTCCATCAAGTAGGATGTGGGGCCCCTTCTGAGAGTCATGCAAGAATTTCTAAGCACTATTAAGAGCCCAGGTAGAGGGAAGATGTTAATTCATGGTGGAACCAATTTACAGAGCTGCATGATTTTTTTTGAAGCAAGTGTGATGAAGATTGACATGTGAGTTCTAACATGGAGGTTTAATGGAAAGAAAGCAGAGCCTGACAGTTCAGAATATTACCACAGTTTGGATAATGTAATCATGGAGTACAGGCTGGATAATGAAGTCAAAAGAGAGACGTAATAGGTTTGCCTGGGACTGAGAGTTTCTTGGAATATGGGACAATCAATGCTAAAATCAGGAATATCTGGGAAACTAGAATCATTGATCATCCTAGGAGAGCAAGGATGGTAGGAAAGTTGGATTCAGGAACTGGAAGTCTAGATGGAATTAAAACCAAATGTAGTGAGAGTTATTGAATGTACAATTTAGAAATAGAAGGAGTTATGGCCAGAGATTGAAATGTTTAGAGTTGGGTTTTCCAAGGTGGGTTAGTTCCTGATTATAAGATTCATGGCTTAACGTCGTGACAGTTGATGATCAGAGTAGAATGCAGAGGAAGGACCTGGAAGTATGAAGGTCATGAGATTGAAAAGAGATTGAGTTTAATAAGCTGTCTATGTAAACTATGACATCACCCAGGATGGTGGCAGAACAAAGTGGGACGATGAGCCCGATGCCAGTCTTTTTATTTATTTGCTTGTTTGTTTGTTTATTTATCCGAAAGAGAGAAAGAGAGAGAGAGAGCACATGAGCAAGGGGAGGAGCAGAGGGAGAGGGACAAGCAGACTCTGCGCTGAGCACGGGGCCCACCATGGGGCTTGATCCCATGGCCCTGAGATCATGACCTGAGCCAAAATCAAGAGTCAGATGCTCGACCAACTGAACTACCTAGGTGCCCACTTTAAAAAAATTTTTTTTTTTAATTTTTATTCTTTTTTTTAAGTAGGCTCCACACCTACTTTGGAGCTCAAACTCACAACCCTGAGATCAAGAGTTGCATGCTCTACCGACTGAGCCAGCCAGGCGCCCCTTGGTGCTAGTCCTGATAGGCCAGGAGGCAAGTAGATGAGAAGACATAGAGTATGGTACAACTGGGTAGCATTAGCTTAAATAATCTAGGGATTTGGCTCAAGTTTGAAAGGTAATTATCTAGAAGAAGCAGTAAAAAATCAGACTATATGTTCTGACTTTAAAATATATGAGATATTGGCAAATAAACAATCTCCATTTGAAAAGATTAAAGGAACAATGTTATCAGGGCAGAAGATTATGCAGTAAAATGGTTGATAATGTATAACTTTAAAAAACGTGGTTGATCTGAAAACTACAAAATGTACATTGTCTTGCTTTATTAGGCCCTCACTGGATCAAGGAAAACAGTTCTCAATGAAAAAAGAAAAGATCCCTATTGGTGGGGTAAGCACCAGAATTACTAGTATTATTTGTTATTAACCACACAAATATAAAAGATTGCATTGCATTATTAATAAATATATATTTTTCATTTGAGGAGGGTTACTATATAATAGTTAGAAGAAATTACATTAAATGGAACTGTTGGTTTATTATAGTGGTGTTTAATTAGGATTACATGTTACTTAGAAATTACATTAAATGGAACTGTTGGTTTATTATAGCGGTGTTTAATTAGGATTACATGTATATTCTTTGTTACTAATGATAGTAACCAATATTATTTGAACATGCATCATTTTTAAGCACTTAGGACTATGTTGGCACTTTAGATGTACTTATAAGGTGACTACTGTTAAAATTCCAACTTACAGATGAATAATCTGGGAGTTAGAGGAGTTAGTAACTTGACCAAGATCACAAAGCTTAGGAAAAATACCATGTAGGATTTAAATCTATTTTGTCTGACCTTTAAGTACAGTAATCTAATTCCATATTAATTTTTCCTTTAGATGAAGTTCTCAATCATTCTGAAGTACCTCCAAGCCTTTGGCTGGCTCTGGGTGTGGCTGAGTGTGGCTGCTTACCTCGGGCAGAATTTGGTGGGCATTGGACAGAATCTATGGCTTAGTGCCTGGGTAAAAGAAGCAAAACACAAGAATGAGTTCAGAGAATGGAAGCAAATAAGAAGCAATAAACTTAACATCTATGGATTACTGGGATTAATGCAAGGTAAAAAAAAAAAAAAAGTCCAGGGGCTTCTTTTTTCTCTTTCTGACCTAATTTATTCAAATGCAAGCATATGGCATCATTTTATTTCAAATAAAACCTATGCCATATTTTTCAAATATTTTGAGATAATTCAAATGCATATGCTTTTAATTCATCGTATTTTAGAAAGTAAACCAAAACTTATGTGTATCTGCTACATGGCCCACACTAAATAATGTATTTGTCTCATTTATTCTTGACAAAAAGTATTTGGAAAGGTGTTATTATTCCTATTTACAGCCGAGGAAAATGAGGCCCATATGCTAAGTCATTCAGGACCCAAAAGTCTTGACCACATGGTTACTCACTGTATGTGTGAGACCTGTGAATGATATGAAGATCAATAAGTGAGTCAGTTACAAACTACATTGTAAGTAAAGTCTAAAACTACATGGCAAGCAATAAGTGCTATAAAAGTAATAAAAGAAAACCTGCAAGGATACAGAGCAAGAAAAAGCCATATTTGAGAGTTAAGATAATTTCCAAGGAATAGTTGTCATTTGAGGTGTCGCTAAAAGAATGATTTGAATTTTGTGAGACTGAGGTCACAGAAAAGGAGAGGTGACCGATGCAGAGAGAAAGATGTGAGTAAAGACAGGGGTGGGGAAGAAAGGGGGCTGTAGGCATGAGTGAGGGAGCCAGTTTGAGTGGTCTTCAGGTTATTGGTAGGGCAGTAGGGGAACTAGAGGTGGGAAGGTAGTTTGGAGATGTGTTGGAGATGATAGTTGGAAAGGCAAGTGGAAAACTTTGAGAATTTGAGGGAAAAGAGGTGAATTAGAGTTATTTTTCAAACTGAGAATGAATTAAGTGATGAAAAAGAAAGATGGACTTTTATTGGAGGGATTAAATCAGAGACCAGGGAAAATTTGGGATTGATAGGGAAGGAGTAATCAAGTATCTTCTAGGTGGAAGTCTGGATGGGAGATAATCTACTATAGAAAAATCTCTTCTCTAATCTATCTCCATGTCATCCAAGGCACCTAGTCCAGTGCTAACCAATGAGTAGGGAATGGAATAGGATTGAATGAATAAAGGATGTAGGAAAATAAATGAACAAACAAATGAATGGTCAGAGAATAGCAATGCAGTTGGAGAAAAGGGATAGAGAGGAAAGACACTGCAGTGAACACATACGTAAGAATGGGTGATTTGAAGCTAAGAAGAGGGCCTCATTCATGGTTTCGAAGTTCATTTTGGGTAACTGGGGAATGATGAAGACAAAAATAAGGAAACCAGAGGGGGGAGTCTTAATACGTGGGGCAGAGAATTCAATTGACTTCAACTCAATTCAGTGGTGAATTCAATTTTGGACACATTTAATAGAAAGTGTAGATGCATTTTTCTACTTTTTTTTTTCTCCCAGTAGGCAGGTTTAAATGCATATCTGGAAGTTTGGGAAGCAAATTTCATTTATTTGTAAAATGGAGGGCTTAGACTAAATAATTTCTACATTTCCTCCAACCTCTAACACTCCATAGCTCTGTGGTTCTACCGAGATGTTGAGTCATTCTCATAGAGATAACAAGTGAGCCATAGAGAAGATATGATCACTATGAATGAGGATTAAGAGCCACAAGGGTGAATGATGGTTACTTGGGGAATGCCCATGTACAGCCAGTTAGAGGATTGGCTTCAGAGAAATTGAGCAGAGATAAGTTCCTGATCAATAGATAAACAAAAAAACAAAAAAAACCCCACAAAAGCACAATAATGTGAAGGCTTGCTCTGTTCCTAGAAACCCAAAGCATTTTATAGAGGTTAGATACATGAAATTGCCTATATTTGACATTTTATGACACACAAAAATGGTAATTCCATATGGTTTAAACTAATTTATTAATTCATTTAACATACATTCTAATGAGGGACTCCTTGAACTTGGGCATGTTAATTAAACTTTTAGTTTTACCATTTATAGAAGGTAGATAAGTTCTACCTAAATATCGTTCCAGTGATTAAATTAGCTAATATGTATAGAGCTTACAAAAAAATGCTGAGCGTATAACAAGAGTGCAGTAAATGTTAGCTATTATTTAACAATAGAGGAAATGAATACTATGCACAAAGTCCTACAGATAAAAGTTTCAGAGCCAGGTTTGAATCCATGTGTACCAGATTCCCCAAACTATGTTCTTAACCACTAAATTAACATTTCCAAAAGTTTTACATGAAACAGTAGAGATACTCCACAAATATAGGGATCTGTACTCCCAATAGATCTGGAAAACCGAGGACTATATTTTTCTGTGCTTCTGAAATCTTTTTTTCCTTTCACTAGAAGTTTCCAGATATTTTTCAGTAAACTGATCTGTTTAGTTCTATCTAACCCAATGTTTCTCAAATCCGTTTGACCATGGAAAAAATGTTTCTTCTTGTATTGGCCATTAATATCTTGAGCAACTTGTTTTCCATAGAATATACTTTGGAAAACTCTAAATGATGATACACTGCCTTCCAAGTGAAAAGTATGATGTAACAAAAGCCAAAAAAAAAAAAAAAAGAAGAAAGAAAGAAAGTTCAAAGAAGTTCTCACTGGTTCTGAAATGCTGCAGAAATGTTAAGAAGAAAAAATTGAGAAAAGACCCATGATTGTAGTCAAAGATGCATCATCTAGAAAGAGATAGAAAGAGAATACAGACTGTAGGTAGTTGAACAATTGATAATTAAGGAGTAGATACATATTGTCCTTCAAAGAAGTTAGGTGATTTGAAAGAAAAAAAAAGGATATTCAAAAGTATGGTAGAAATAAAGAGATTTTTAAAGTACAGACATTTTGTGTATGATTATAAAAGGAAAGAAAGGCACCTTGAGGGAGAATGATATTCAGGGAGAATTCAAACAAGAAAAAAATATGTGGAAGTCATACTGTCTAAGGATATTCATAAGGGACAACACAAAGAGATACATGCATTTGGTAAAAAAAAAAAAAAAATGAAGATAAAATAAAAAGTATGAAACTTGGGGCTTTGGTTCTCTTCTCCTTTCCCATCTTTATTGTGTGGCCATAGTATTGCTTCTAAGTGTCTCCATCAAAAGTATGCAAATATTGTGAGACAGATTTATATTTACTTTGCCATTCTGTTAACAATATTCATTGGGGAAAGAGATGTTGTTAATGACTAAAATGAGATATAAAGAATATTTATAGTATGAAAGATACAGTGTGTTTGGTTTTGAATCAGTGAGAGTCAAGTTTATTGGCTTGCAATTCGCAACTCATTGAGGAAAGAATAGATATAGCAGTCTAGAATTCTGAACAGCAAAAGAAACATCCATATATACAAATATCTCTATATCTGTGTCTATCACATCTACATATGAGAGTTAAACTCATACCAATCCAGGAGCTCATGTTACAACTTTAGGGGAAATTCAATATAATTTGGAGAGTATTTTAAGTGAGCAAATATCATTTCCCATACTAGACAAGCTATGTAAGTTTAATGTTCACAGTTTTACCATTGTAAAGTCTTACTTTTTTATCAGAATTTTTAAACTTTTTATTTAAATTCCAGTTAGTTAACATACAGTGTAATATTAGTTTAAGGTATACATTTTTTTGATTTGCCATATATCTTTTTTTTATCTTTTTTAAGTTTTTAAATTCCAGTTTGTTAATATACAGTGTAACATTAGTTTTGGGTGTAAAATTTAGTGATTTATCACTTACATACAACACCTGGTGCTCACCACAACAAGTGCCCTCCTTAATACCCGTCAATAATTTAACCCATCCCCCCTCCCCCCAGCTCCCCTCCAGTAACCCTCAGTTTGTTCTCTACAGTTAAGAGTCTGTTTTCTGGTCTGTCTCTCTTTGTTTTTTCTCTATATTCATCTGTTTTGTTTCTTAAATTCCACATATGAGTGAAATCGTATGGTATTTGTCTTTCTCTGACTGACTTATTTTGCTTAGTGTAATACTCTCTAGCTCCATCCATGTCATTGCAAATGGCAAGATTGCATTCTTTTCTCTTTTTTTTTAAAGACTTTATTTATTGGGCGCCTGGGTGGCTCAGTTGGTTAAGCGACTGCCTTTGGCTCAGGTCATGATCCCGGAGTCCCGGGATCGAGTCCCGCATCGGGCTCCCTGCTCGGCAGGGGGTCTGCTTCTCCCTCTGACCCTCCCCCCTCTCATGTGCTCTCTCTCATTCTCTCTCTCACAAATAAATAAATAAAATCTTTAAAAAAAAAAGACTTTATTTATTTATTTGACAGAGAGAGATAGCAAAAGCAGGAACACAAGCAGGGGGAGTGGGAGAGGGAGAAGCAGGCTTCCCGCTGAGCAGGGAGCCCGATGTGGGGCTCGATCACCGGACCCTGGGCTCATGACCCAAGCCAAAGGCAGAGGCTTAACGACTGAGCCACCCAGGTGCCCCAAGATTTCATTCTTTTTTATATGGCTGAGTAATATTCCAGTTTGTGTGTGTCTGTGTGTGTGTGTCTGTGTGTGCCACAACTTCTTTATCCATTCACCAGTGGATGGACATTTGGCTATTGTAAGTGATGGTGCTATAAACAGTGGGGTGCATGTGTTGTATCCCTTCAAATTAGTATTTTGGTATTCTTTGGGTACGTACTTAATGCAATTGCTCTATCATAGGGTAGTTCTGTTTTTAACCTTTTGCTGTTTTCCGGAGTGGCTGCACCACTTTGCATTCCCACCAACAGTGAAACAAGATTATTTTCTTGTTCTCCAGATCCTTACCAACACCTGTTGTTTCTTGTATTGTTGATTTTAACCATTCTGACAGGTGTGAGGTGATATCTTATTGTAGTTTTCAATTGTATTTCCCTCATGATGAGTGATGTTGAGTATCTTTTCATATATCTGTTGGCCATCTGTCTGTCTTCTTTGGAAAAATGTCTATTCGTGTCTTCTGCCCATTTTTAAATTGGATTATTTGTTTTTTGGGTGTTGAGTTTTGTAAGTTCTTCATATAATTTGGATGCTAACCCTTTATCAGATATGCAATTTACAAATGTCTTCTCCCATTCCATAGGTTGCCTTTTCATTTTGTTTATTGTTTCCTTCACTGTGAAGAGGCTTTTTATTTTGATGAAATCCCAATGGTTTATTTTTGCTTTTGTTTCCCTTGCCTCAGGGGACGTATCTAGTAAGAAGTTGCTATGGCTCATGTCAAAAAGGTTGCTGCCTATGTTCTCCTCTAGGATTTTTATGGCTTCAGGTCTCAAGTTTAGGTCTTTAATCTATTTAGAATTTATTTTTGTATATGGTGTAAGAAAAGTGGCCCAGTTTCATTCTTTTGCATGTTGCTGTCCAATGTTCCCAGCACCATTTGTTGAAGAGACTCTCTTATTTTTAATTAACTATCAGTAGATATAGGAAATATTTTGTAATGAGGCAACAGATTATGCAGTATAATCAAAAGGATTTTTTCCCGATTGGATCTTTGTGTAGAGTGGTCTTCAATCATTAAAATATGAATCTTCTCAGGGCACCTGGGTAGCTGTCGGTTAAACATCCGACTCATGATCTCAACTCAGGTTTTGATCTCAAGGTCATGAGTTCAAGCCCCATGTTGGGCTCCACTCTGGGTGTGGAGCCTACTTTAAATGAATGAATGAATAAATGAATGAATGAATGAATGAGTGAGTGAATGAATAAGAATCCTCTCTAATTTTTCTTTCATTTTTAATTTTTTTGCATTAAAAAATTAAAATTTTTCTGAAGACTTATTTATTACATGTAATTATAAGTTTTCTGTAAGTGGGTAAGCCTAAGAAATGAAAATGTATAATTTCTGTTTTTTTCAGTAGACCACAGCTGCATCTTACAGAATTTGGTACAATGAAGAGCAGGCTGTATTCACTTAGATCATCATAGCTCACAAAATAAAAAGGGCAAAAGTGCTTTAAAGCATAAGCAGCATTGTCTGTCACCTGTTAATACCACAGGCCTACTATGAATAATATAGAAAGCTAACATTTAAAAAGAAACTAGAGATCAAAGCACAGTGTTAGATCTATATTTTGTAACAATAATAAAAATTTTAACCTCATTTTCTAAACAAGAAATAGTTCTGAACATTTTCTTCCTAGGTCCCAGCTATTCTCCTTAGAATCTTTAGGACGCTCTAAACATCCCCAGTCTATTATCTTTTATGCCTCATTGTTAGGAACTTCCTTTCTCCAATCCAATGTGAAAAATATAGGCACCTTCTTTTCTTTTTTTTTTTTTTTTAAGATTTTTATTTATTTATTTGTCAGAGAGAGGGAGAGCACAACAGGGGAAGCAGCAGAGGGAGAGGGAGAAGCAGGCTCCTCACTGAGCAAGGAGCCCGATGTGGGACTCGATCCCAGGACCCTGGGATCATGACCTGAGCCGAAGGCAGACGCTTAACGACTGAGCCACCCAGGCGTCCCTAGGCACCTTATTTTCAAGGTGCAATGTTTAAAGACTACACTGCTGCTTCTAGTTTAAGATGAGTGAGTGGATCATCTACTTTACTTACCTCACAAAATTCCAGTGAGATGACAGTGAATAAATATAAAAGGAAAGACTTCAGAAGATTTCAGAGTGATAAATTTCTACATAAGCAATTAACCTGATAGTTGATCAAGGGTAGAAGAACCTGCAGCCAGAAATGGATAGGGGAGAAGCTATAACACAAGAGGGAGATGTTTATTTGGGCAGTGGAGAAACACTAAACTCATGGTCACAGGTAGAGAGTAGGATTGAGTTGCATGGAAATAATCAAAATAATTCACTAGACCATTGTTCTCCTGGCCCATCAGTCTCTCCTACAACACCTACCACCATCACCACCATAATGTTCACAGCAACTGGCATTGTAGCAATACAATGAAAACTAGAAAGCTGATGTCTAAAGAGGAAATTAGGGTTCCTAGTGTGTGTGGCCTACATAGAAGAAATCCTCCTTAAATGGCTTTTGGAAAAGCTCCAGTCTGGATCCCAGTATTCAGACTCTCTGTGTCACATCTGCCCACTTATGTGGAATTTGAAGCAATCCCTTCCATTCAGAGGAAAAAATCTTGGGGGAAATTAATGTGCGCAATAGCAGAAGGAAGCCACACCAGATACCTCTATTAATTAACCATGTGTTTATCTCATATATTTAAACTGATAATGATGGATGGCCTTGCATTTTAATCAAACCAACAGTATAAATAAGAGCTAATAAATAAAGCAATGGAGTCCAGAAATAAAATAATCCTATTTGAAATAGAAGCTTAAAATGTCAAAGTAGTGTCTTCAAAGATTCAAAATATTATATCCACAAAGCAAGTGTGAAAATGTGCTGGAATAAGTTCAATCTTAGACAAACAATTCTCGAAACATTTAAGGAATTTAAAGAGATTGAACAGGGGTGCCTGGGTGGCTCAGTTGTTAAGCATCTGCCTTTGGCTCAGGTCATGATCCCAGGGTCCTAGGATCGAGCCCCGCATCGGGCTCCCTGCTCGGCGGGAAGCCCCCTGCTTCTCCCTCTCCCACTCCCCCTGCTTGTGCTCCTGCTCTCGCTATCTCTCTGTCAAATAAATAAATAAAAATCTTTTAAAAAATAAAATAAAGAGTTTGAACAACTGTGAGAAGATAAATTAGAGGAAATTATTCCAGATGTATACCATTGAAAAGAGATGAAAAAATGATAAATAAGAAAATTAGAGGAACAATCCAGGAAGTTCAACATTCACATAAGTCTTTCAGTAAATGCAAGTGAAAATGATCAAATTCATAATACTTAACATTTCCCATAACTGAAAAATGCAAGTGTCTGATCTTGCAACCATTCCAGTTTAGAGTGGAAAGAAAGGGGGTTCCGAGAGAGTAGTTTATGTTGCAAAGAGAAGGGGGCTAAGTAGGATGAAGGAAATAATAGAATATCTGATGAGTTGAAATATATTCAGAAGAGATTTGCTGACTATTGAAGTGTTTGGGAATAAATTAGGGCTTGTTGCATAGGAAACTAAGAATATGGAAAAGAGTGGTGAACTTCATGCATAATGTATGCTTAGTGGCAATATAAATATTGAATGTTTATTTGAGGAAAGAGGGTGACAACCTGTTTTTGAAAGGGGAAAAAGGAAGTTTGGGGGGAGTGAGGTAGGAAAAAAATAGAAAATATTTGAAGCTAACAAATCATTCAACAGCAGCATGTGTTATTATTTAAAATATAAAGGAATTAGCTGAAATAATTTAAGATGGTCAGGGTCAACTATCATTGTTTTGTTTTGTTTTACACATACTTACAAAGGAATAAGAATCATATTGGCAATACACGTTTGTTAGCAATTTTGTGTATTAGAGAACAATGGAGCAATTGTGTATCCCCTATGACTCAGAGCAAACTAGCTTAAGTAACATGGAAATTTATTGACTCCCCAACCTGAAAAGTCCAGGCATAGTCTTTGTACACACTCCATCTCTGTGCTCAGATGAAGTGTTCACTACTCTATTTATCAGCTCTGCTTGTTGTCCCCATTGGCTTAATTCTCAGGCTTCACATGGTGTTGGAAATGTTCTCTCGCAAAGAACTTCCTTCCATAGAAATCCATGAAGTTACTCTCCTTGAAACAGTTTGAGTCACATATCCATCTTTGACCAATCACTGTAACAAAGCATGTCTTCTTCCAGCCCTACAAGTTCTCCAGTTTGAGAACTTCTTGTCCTTTCATTTCTCCTCACACATGGATAGCTCTTTTATGAGCTTGTCTCTTTCTTACCATAGTTTGTCAAATGAGGGTAACAATAGTTATATTGTTATAGCATCAATAGGTGCTTATAACTATTTCCAATCTCTTCCACTACAGCTATATGTCTATTATTTATATGTCTACCTTTTCAGTTGTCGCAAGAACAGCCCTTCCACCAACCAAATCTCAGTAGCTTAATAGACCTAAATAAATAAATAAATAAATAAAATAATAAAAAGTTTATTCCTTATTCTTGGGACCCAAGTTGAAGACGCAATCCATCCACCATTATAAATATTGGCAGGCACTGTACAAAGGTAATAAACTTTAGCAGTTCTGATACCAGCAATTAAGTGCTGTAACCGGGTATTACGTGTTGTTTCTCCTTCAACTTGTTCAGAACTCTTTATAAGGTCCCATAAATCACAAGGAGCCCAGAAAGAACAATTCTACCATGGACCTAGAAGCTAGGGGAACTATAATTATTTGGCTAGCAGCACCAGTGAATACCGTATTGCCCCATAGGACATCACAAAATTAATAGGTTGCTAGTATCTGGTGAACCTGGTTCTGTTATGTTTTGTGCATTTCTGTAGAATCTAAGCCCATGAATAAGGAGAGCCCTTCTTTGATGAGATGGCAACCCATCAGAGTGTATATTTATTATCAATGCACCATATACATCTATACTTAGTTTGGTCCACAATTACACATTGTTAAGTTTGCTCTTTGAGTTTTCCATTTAAAAAATGCTATGATAAGCAACTTTTTGTGAGTTAAGGTACAAAATTCCTTTAAGAGGTTAACATACCCCTGATAAGATTTTGTGTTTAGGTCTCTTTGTCTGCTCTGGAGCCTATATACTCACCAGAGGATCCCTGTCTGCGTCTCGAACTTTGCATACTCAGCTATTGGATAATGTGCTACACCTCCCGCTCAGGTTTTTTGAAACGAATCCCATAGGTCAGATCATCAATCGGTTCACTAAGGTCAGTAAAGCCACACCTCATTGAATAGCATACCTAAAAATGGTGATCCATATTTAGTACCTTGTAATAGTATTTGTAAATATATATAAATATGTATATGTATATCACCCTGAAAAGATGGGATTATGTTTAGTATAGATTTCCTTATTATTTTATTTATAATTCTTGGGACATTTATAGTTGATGTATAGCAGCACCACATCTTACACACATAATCAAAATAACCCTTGAAAATTGCTGAAAGGATCCAAAAAGCATATGTGTTCTGGTGTCTACGACTCCAATTCTTACATACATTTAGCTTGAGAATCGCTGGTTGGGGCTGAGAAAGTAAAGAAAATATAAGTCTATATGAAGATAACTGGATTTTAAGCATTCTGCTTTTAAGAAAACTGTGAGCTCACTTCTGGTGAATGGGGGATAGGTGGGGCTTCCCAGAGTGTCTCTGCTTACCGACAGGGTTTCCCTCCTGGTGTTTACTATCAAACACTTAAAATTGCACCGTCCAACAGAAATGTAATGCAAACCACATAGGTAATTTTAAATTTTCTAGTAGCTGCAATAAAGAAGTAAAAGGAGACAGCTGGAAATAATTAATTATAGTAATATATTTTAACATAGAATGTCTGAAACATTTCAAACTCATTTAAACTTGTTTAAAATTATTAACTAAATATTTCACATTCTTTTTTCTACACAGTCTTCAGAATCTGATTTGTATTATTTGCTTATGGCACATCTCAATTTGCAGTAGGCACATTTCAAGGGCTCAATAGACACATATTGCTAGTGGTTCCTGAATCAGATAGTACAAGCCCACAACTGTAAAATATGCCAATATATTTGTGTGTACATGTAAAAAATTTTTGGTGTGTGTATGGGGGGAAGTGAGGATAAAACATGAAAATCAAAGTGAAAGTACCTAGCGTAATAAATGTTTGGTGGAATATTAAATCTTGCCTCATCATACCAATGTACATGCTAGCTTTTAAAATGTATGGAAGAACTTGATCTTCAGCATTTTTATCTCTCAGTGGACATTTCTCTAGGACCCTACTGAATAACTGTCACTTTTGTACAGTAACATGTCAAATGCTTGGGTCTTAAACAGATGAGAATATGGGAAGGTTGTTCTAAAGACAGGCAGAAAACTTCATATGGATATGATGCTCTTATACTATTTGGTATATGAGATAATCAGAGAATTCCCAAAGCAAGACTGAGATTAATAAAATTCCATCTCCACTCTTTGTGTCAGTTTTGTCATGAACTGAGTAGTCGTTCATCTCTCTAGATTGGGTATCTTCCTACTCTCTGGGATTTCTTAGGTCATACCTTATGCCATAGATTTGACAACATAGATTTGATTAAGTTATATGTGAATTGATGGATGACCTTCCTATGATCTTCTTTATTGTCCACTCCATCTTTCAGTTTCTAATTTTGCAAATGAAGATTATTTTGTTTTCCTGCCTCTTAGAATCTTGACAGGATCCAGCTACCCAAAAGACCACTGAACATGTTCTCAGTGGATAAGAATGGCTCACTAGTATTTTACAGAGTAGTAGATAGTGGTAGGCCAATGCCCCTGAACACCCAACTACCTGGGTTTGGACTCTGTTTTTAAGCAGAGTCTGACATTAGTCATATAAACTAAGTGCTGTGTAGTTGTCATTGGGAAATGCAAATTGCTTGATCATGGTCATTTGTTACCAGAATGTGTTTTTAACTATTACAACTCACCACAGGGGAAAAATATACGAGGGTGGATTGGGGAGGGCAAAGACCATGTAGTTAGACTTATTTGATCATTAGATTGTCACATCTGGGTAATTTTTAAAAAAATGTTTACATTAAACAATATATTTTTTCTTTTCCTCATTTTAAATTATGAAAAGTTAAAAATAAAGTGACCTGATATCATTTTTTTCAGGACATGTTTATAATTGATATACGTTTCCATTACTACTTACGGACCTGGCTGAATTGCACATTGGATGTTATTGGAACAGTTTTGGTCATTGGGGGAGCTTTACCACTCTTCATTCTGGGGGTTATTCCCTTGGTGTTCCTCTATTTCACTATACAGGTAAGTACCTGGATTTTTATGTGTATTAATAACATAAGTTCACAGTCAGGGGGTCAAGTTCAGACCCACTTCAATGGCCCATTAGTTCACGTTCTCCAAAAAGCAGATTCCAAGAAAGGATTCCATATAGTAGAGAGTTCCCAGGGAATGCCTGTAAAAGATAAAGGAGAGGGAGCAGCAGAAGGATGGGTGAGCTCTCAGACAGTGATGCAGGTCTGATTCTGGTAGGGGAGAGAAGAGGATTGGGTAGGAAAGATGTTGGATTACGGGACAGGTCCATGAAAGATTCCTTGCATGAATGGGACGTCTACAAGCAGTGTCGCCCATTGCAATGTCCCACGTGTCCCTGAAATGGGCCTGCTTTGGCACCTTTGCCATACTCAGTCATTGCTGGGAGCCACCTGTGGGAAACATGGCCTCCATGCTCACAGAGTAGTAGATCCAGAGGGGCAGTGGCTGGGCTGCCAGTCAGCTGTGCCGCCTGCCGCAGCAGAACTGAGTTATGCATTTTTAAGGCCACCACAGAATCTATATGGTATTTACACTTTAGCAGACAGTGAATTTGCCTGTAAATCCAAAAGAGAAACCGGTAACGGCCTTTTTGTCCTGTTATCCCTAATATCAGCAAAGGATTCCTAGAAGAAGGAAACAGATCTCTCATGATACATATCTTTATATTCCAATTAAAATGTGGTCAGCCACATTCCAAGATGATGTCCCTGGGAGGCTACAGTGTAAAAGGAAATTTTTTAACACATATTTAATTTAAAAATGCAAGTATTTTGAGGCTCTTTACATAAAAGGATGCAGTTCTTGTAGTTCAATGCTTTCCCCAAACTAAAGTTTTAAAATTCATATTGGAGTTTAATCTGCCCAAACCAGAATGTTAATCATGTTCTCATTTCTACACGTATGCCATTATTATTCCTCCTACTTCCTATGTTTTCCCTATTCTCTCTGCCTGACTGGATCTTACTTACTTTCATTTCTGTGTGAAGTGTTCTCTACCAGAATAGTGCAAAGAGATCAGATTCATCCAGGTAATTATGGATTTATTATACAGGTAGTATTGTAAGCTATTTTTTTAGACTACAAATTGTCTCACCAATGAGACTGTAAGTCCTCCAGGGAAGACACTATGTCTTAGAGCTAAAAGAAAAAAAATTAGAATATGAGGGATGGTATTGAGAATCAATTGTATCTGCTTAAAAAAAAAAACTCTCCTATCACAAATGAAAATGTATGTGATAGTCTTGTGGTTGGTAAATTATAATAGGATGACCAGGAGTGGAAATGAGTCCAGAAACCATATCTTGTTAGGGGACACTGTATAGGATGAGCCCTGAATGGGAATTCAGGAGCCTCAAATTCTACTTCCCTGACTCCTATGCTTGACACCTCATTTCTGTTTCCAGGCTTCCTTGCTTTCCCCTATAAAAGACGAGATTTGCTTTATATCAGTGCTACTCAAAGGATGGGCCCTGGACCTATGGACCATACCCCAGACGTATTAAATCAGAGTCTTTAGTTGCACCTCTTTTTTAAAAAATCACATTTTACAACGTGTGTGTGTGTGTGGGTGTGTGTATTGTTATTGTTGTTGTTGTTAATCACATCCTAATAAAACTGGGAGGAAATAAAGAATCTATCAGGGTGAAATAAAGAATCTATCAGGGTGAGGCCCAGAGTCAAAATTTCTTTATGATATTAAGTCCCCTTGAAGTCCCAGAATGCCACAGTCCTCTGTGTTCTCCAGGGTACTTGCACAGAGCAGAGTCAACTGCAGGTTGACATGTAGTTTCACATGGGTTTTTGCTCAGCTTGTTCATTTTTACCAAAATGAAGACATTTTAAAATCAGGGATTTTATGTAAAACTCCAGATCCAAAGATTTTCTTGAAAAAATTGCAAGATGTGGAAACTCTTGATTTTCATTTCCAGTTTGTAGCAATTATCTGGGGCTGATGAATGATGGCCCAGTTAACTCAGGGCATGCTCCCTCCAGCTCTCCAGTCTCCACTCATCCCAACTAGTCTCAACCAAGCTAGAGGAGAACTAGCCAATTGTATTGATGGCTGCACTGGTGGGTTTTTTTTTTTTGTCAACAAAATAAATAAATAAATAAATTTTTCCTCATGATTATATTTAGGTACAAAAATACTATTGTTTGTACACTTGGTTGACTTCCTTCATTTAATGGGTTAACTCCCTAGTCACATTTCCAACCTGTGACATAGAGCTTCTTCCATAGTAGGTACTCAGTAATGGTTGTATGAAAGGATTATCGAAGTGGAGCTTTGCCCAATTCTGTTCTACTTATGCTGTCCAGAATTTGGGCTTTTTACTGTTCCAAGCGTGTATTCATTTCTTAAGGCTCCTGTATGTAACAAATTTGGTAGCTTAAAACAACAGAAATTTTATTCTTTCACATTTCTGGAGGCTAACAGTTCAAAATCAAGGTATAGGCAGGATTGGTTCTTTCTGGAGCCTTTGAGGGAACATTGGTTTCATGCTTCTCTCCTAACTTCTGGTGGCTGTCAGCAATCCTTGGCATTTTCCTTGGCTTATGCACATATTACTCCAGTCTCATCTTCACATGGCTTTCTCCCTGTGTCTGTCTTCTCTTTTTCTGTCTCCTACAAGGACACTCAGCATTGGCTTCAGGCCCACCCTAAATCCAGGATGATCTCATCTAGAGATCCTTAATGACATCTGCAAAGATTCCATTTCCACATAAGGCCACATTCACAGGTACTGGAGTGAAAGCTTGAACTTCACTTCTTGGGGTCACTTAAATGTCTTGCCATTTTCACACCAATGAAGCAATTTGTGCTACATCTTTCCAACTGCCTCTTTCTGTCTTTGGGTTAGAGATACTATGTGGCGAGTTCTCGGCAGATTCGACGGTTGGCAGGAGCGTCTCGCTCTCCTATCATTTCACACTTTAGTGAGACTTTATCAGGGGTGTCCACTATCCGGGCATTTGGACATGAACAGAGGTTCATCCAGCAAAACAAAGAGGTGGTGAATGAGAACCTGGTCTGTTTCTACAATAATGTAATTTCAAACAGGTAAGTCATATCAGTATACCTAGTTCAAGACCAGTCTCTTTTTAGATGTCTTGTGCACTAACTTTTAAAGGGAAAGAGTGTTTTGTAATGGCATTTTATCAAATTATTTAAAAAAAAGAAGAAAACCTTAAATGTTTCTAATATTTAATATACATTTAAGTTAAAGTGCATCTATTTATATTCAAATAAAAAGTACATGCTACTTTACATGAAAATAAGGTCCCAAGTTTTTTTTCTTTAAAGATTTATTTATTGAGGCACCTGGGTGGCTCAGTTGGTTGATCCCAGGGTCTTGGGATCGAGTCCTGCACAGGGCTTCCCCTATTCTTTGGGGGGGCCAGCTTCTCCCTCTCCCTCTGCCTGCCACTCCCCCCTGCTTGTGCTCTGTCAAATAAATAAATAAAATCTTTAAAAAAAATTAAAAAATAAAGATTTATTTATTTGAGAGAGAGAGCGATAAAGAGAATGAGTGGGGAGAGGGGCAGAAGGAGGGAATCTTTAAGCAGACTCCCCGCTGAGCATGGAGCCTGATGTGGGGCTTGACCCCGTGACCCATGAGATCATGACCTGAGCCAAAACCAACAGTTGGATGCTTAACCCGCTGAGCCACCCAGATGCCCCAGGTCCCAAGTTTTTGAGGGTTATATAGGATGCTATTAGAATTACTAATAATATGACTCTATGTTATATTTTGTATTTGTAGAATATATTTTATTTACATACAATAATTTATATTTTAAATTTGAGGTTATCATTTCACATAAAGGAGAAAAATGAAATATTAAATGGTAGCTGGACATGTTTTAACTTTTGGAGACTAATTTTATCATGTAAAAAAGGGTATGTAATTGGAAAGGTGATCGATTTTCCAATAGGATTTTAAAATATGATGCATCATTTTGGCTGGTGTTCTTTTTTGATTTTTAATTCTGATTAAGTTTTAAAAGCAAAGTTCTGCAAAAGTAAAGTGTGTTTTTATGTAGAGGGACTCCTTTAATCTATCATCACTGCATCGATCCTATTTTGATTGAGTTCTAAGTAAGTGAGGAAAAAAAGGAAGCAGCTATTGATGTTTACATTTTCATTTCCCAGAGGAGAGTTCATACTAAGTGCATCAAAACTTTTGCATCTCAGCTGAGGAGTGTCTTCCATTATCACAGGTGGCTGTCTGTTAGACTTGAATTCCTTGGCAACTTAATGGTATTCTTTGCTGCATTGCTTACTGTGCTGGCTGGCAATTCTATAGATTCAGCAATAGTTGGTTTGTCCATATCCTATGCCCTAAATGTAAGTAATAATGATTTTGTGGTATATGATATGTTTATAATCCAGTTAATTAAACTCTCTTCCCCTTTGCCTGTCTGAATTTTATATGGTATTAACTAAGTAATGAGAGACAAATCAGGATTGCCCTGGAGGCTCATTTCTTCCTCTGTTGCTACTAGCAGGAAGCTGGCTCAGCAGTTCTTTTTTTTTTTTTTTTTTTTGAGTTTTGGGTTTTTTTTTAAGATTTTTTTTATTTATTTGACAGAGAGAGACAGTGAGAGAGGGAACACAAGCAGGGGGAGTGGCAGGCAGAGGGAGAAGCAGGCTCCCCGCTGAGCAGAGAGCCCGATGTGGGGCTCGATCCCAGGACCCTGGGATCATGACCTGAGCCGAAGGCAGACGCTTAACGACTGAGCCACCCAGGCGCCCCACTGAGCCACCCAGGCGCCCCTGGCTCAGCAGTTCTAAGTGAGCTCACAGAAACAACAGGCTGAGTGCTAGAAGACTCAGAAACTCCTGGGGTTGCCTAGTTACCTAGAAGTTTCCTGTTCTCCTATCCTTATAAATTTATAGAATGTAGCAGTGGTAGAGCCTCTCTCCACCGTGGCCTGTCCTTCCAGTTTGCCCAGCCTAACCAAGGAGATGATGCAAACTGGGGAGAATATAGGCTCTGGTGGTTCTTTGCTTGTAAGTTTGTCCCTAATAAGCCCTATCTTATATTACACTGGAAAGCACTAGTGTATCAGTGTGTTCATGACCTCTTTGTAAAATAGAATATTCCTTAAACTACTAAATATACTTACACATTATTTAGAAGATAAGTCTAGATGATTTGAGTGCCTACCCTTCATCTCTTATCCAAAATGCTTAAGGCCAGTTGCATTTCAGAATTCAGAACTTAGGCTTGTAGAAAGGAAATATGATACACATACCATAGTCAATGTTTGGGGCAGAACCCCATGATCAAACTACTTGTTCTGCAGTGAAATACGTGCATGTTTACCCTAAGTGGGTTAAATAAAGACTTTAAAGAACCCCAGTCAGTTCTCAAGTCAGGTTGGCCATCAAATGATCTGGCACCAAACTTGAGAAAAAACTGAATTGGCAGAGTTTTTTGACTTTTAGAATTAGGCTTGAATTACAATCTGTATTTGTGGGTATGGTGAGAAGAAAGTAGAGTTAAAAAAAAAAAAAGAAAAAGAAAAAGAGGAGACAGTAGTGGTCAAAACTTAGGAGAATCCTCCTTCCGATAATGAGGAATGCCAAAAGTAATATTGTGCACAACTTTTTCTCACTTGGGGTGTACATTTCTTTCTTTCTTTCTTTCTTTCTTTTTTTTTTTAGATTTTATTTATTTATTTGAGTGAGAGAGAAAGCACAAGAGGGGGGAAGGGTCAGAGGGAGAAGCAGACTCCCTGCTGAGCGGGGAGCCCGATACGGGACTCAATCCTGGGACTCCAGGATCGTGACCTGAGCCTAAGACAGACCCTTAACTGACTGAGCCACCCAGGCACCCCGGGGTGTACATTTCTTGAAGCAGATCCCATCAATATTGGTATTCATCATTCCTTGCACCAAGTAGGGACTCCTTCAACCTATGTTGAACTATATCTATTCTGCCAAAAAACAATTATTTATGATATGTATGAGTTTAATATACTTAAACACTTGTGTGTTTATGCTTACTTCTAAAGTTGTTGAATAATCAGAAGAGATAAAGCATATGAAAACCATGAAAAGTGAAACTTTATGAAGTATTATTAATATTACGTAAAAGACTAAAGAACCACTCATGAAGGTTGGGTTTTTTTTCCTCCAGATTACTCAATCTCTGAATTTTTGGGTGAGGAAAGCTTGTGAAATTGAAACCAATGCAGTTTCCATTGAAAGAGTTTGTGAATATGAAAATATGGATAAAGAGGTAAGCACTCCTAAATAACCAATAAATAGATGCAAGATTAAGATATTTTAATGCGGGCGCCTGGGTGGCTCAGATGGTTAAGCGTCTGCCTTCGGCTCAGGTCATGATCCCAGCGTCCTGGGATCGAGTCCCGCATCGGGCTCCCTGCTCCTTGGGAGCCTGCTTCTCCCTCTGCCTCTCTCTCTGTCTCTCATGAATAAATAAATAAAATCTTAAAAAAAAAAAAAAAAAGGTATTTTAATGCACCTTAAATTGACATTAAAAAAAATAAATCTTAAACAAAACCTGCTTTTCCAAATTCATGTTGTAATATTCAGCATTTCAATGAAATTAAAACCCAATCTACTGTTAAATACACCATTATTTTATATATCACTAAAATAGAAAAAATATCAGAGTTAAATAAATTGCAATAGTACATAAATTGGAAGATATGTTGTATTGTAGAGATTAAATATGATTACCTGTTTTTAGAAGGCACAATGATTTGTCCTCTACCAATGTAGAGTAAAATATGCAACCTAAGACTATAACTTCGTGAGGATTTTACATTGTGAAAAGTGTCTTAGTATAGTCATTTCATAATTGAAGTCTGTGCAATTTTTAAATTAACTACATCTTTATTATTTATGCTTTCTATTCCATTTACTCATCATTAACGTCTCTGTGGATAGAAAGGAGGAGAAGAATAAATCAGTCTGTTTTGTTCCCTTTGATTAATTATAATTTAGAAAGGAGAAGGATTAGACTATTGGCAGAGTATAATATTTGAGTTATCTTCATATTTTACTAATCTGGGTTACTTCTGCCTCCCAGTTCCATGAATTAACAAGGTAAATGTTAAAGTTGACTTGACTTTCTTTATCTTCTTCAATCCACCTATAAAGGTATCTGAATCATGAAATGTTCCTCTTTTGCTTATGACTCTCAGGAAGAGGTGTCCCTCCTTCAAATAGAAACCTGAGTTTCCACTTATATTTTTGGTAATATCTGTTCATGTCTTCTGTCAGACTTTGCTCCATTAACCACTTCCTTTAATTTCTACATCTCAGGACCCTGACCCCCTTGCCTATAAATAGGCTAAAATATTATCTACATCCTCCAGCTCCTACTTAAATTTGGAATCTTCTCCTAGATTCTTCCCCAGGTCTTACCTTCCTTTTTCACACAAATTTCACGGAAGATTAATCTACCTTCACAACCTCCAATTATCAGTATTAATTTTGCTCAGTCTGTTGCCATGTGGTGACCACTACATAACTTTATTGTTTTCTGTATCTTCTAATTTTTTGTATATATACTTTTGTATATAAACTTTTTGTTTATGTACATACAAATTTTTAATATATATTCTTTTCATATTGAAAAAACAATAAAATGTGTAAAGCACATACACCCACACATTTTTTTTTTAAATCATCTTTATGTAATTTGATGCAGGTATGACAAATACTGTTACAAAAACTCTTGATGTGGAAGAAGTAAATTGTTCATATAATTCTGTTTACCCTTCTGTAACCCCATTTCTCTGCACCTTTTTACAGAAGAATTTTCTGGAATAGCCTATATGTCTCTCATTCTATTTTGGACTCTCTCCAAACAGGCTTTAAATCCCACCACTCCACTGAACCTGCCCTTGTCAAGATCACCAGTGGTCTCCTGTTAGTCCTCACTTGACCTGATCCATCCTCTGACACTGGTGATCACTCCCTCTGATGAAAACACTTCACCTCGCTGCCCAGACACCACACTCTTTTGCCTCCTGTTCCTCCAACGTCCCAGGCAGGCCCCTGTCTCAGGACCTCAGCACGTATAGTTAGTTAGTCGTCTGCCTGGAAAGCACTTCAACCCATATCCACATGGCTTGTTCCCATATCATGTCCAGCCAAGACTTCCCTATCCACCCTATGTAAAATTACACCACCACCACTAACCTTGCCTGTCTCCCATCCTCTCAAGCTTTATCACTGTCTAACATTCTACATATGCTGTGTGGTTCCTTCTGTCTCTCTCTGGCATCCTGTATGCTCTGTAAGGGCAAGAATTTGTATCTGTTTTACTCAATGATAAATCTCCATCAACTAAAGCACTGACTAGCATAGTAAATACTCAATATTGGGCAATGAATGAATGACAAACTGTCCCCCATCTCAGCTAAAATTTCAAACAGGTTACCTTCAGCAACTTTGTAGAGTTGTAGAAGATTCTTCTTAATAACTGTATAGGAGATGGGAAGCCTTGTTACCTTCAAAAACTTATTTCTAAGCTTTTCTTTAACAAGGTGAGAAGTTTTATGTTGGTAATATTTAAAACTATTTTCAGGAGATCATAATATCCACGAATGTTTTCTATCACTTTTGTTTATACGCATGATAATTACTTTTTGGAGGAAAGGGTATTTTTTTTGTGGTTATTATAATATTTCTTTGTTTTAAGGCACCCTGGATAATGTCTAAAAGACCTCCATCACAATGGCCCGATAAAGGGATAGTGGAATTTATTAATTATCAGGCTCGATACCGAGATGATCTTGGTTTAGCATTACAAGATATCACTTTCCGGACTCATGGTGAAGAAAAGGTACCATATATATTTCAGAAGTTTCACTTTCCCTTTTATCTGAATTCATTCATTGTTAAGGTCAAACTATGATATGGTATTGAATATAAGATGGTCTTTGTTCAAATTTCATATAAAAGTAATAAACTCATGTGGTTGGTATATACAGAATAAGTTTTTCCTCTTTAAAAAAAGGTATTTTTAAATTGTGCATACTATATTATGAAACATAATCTTAGCGTACTTTGTTTTTTCAGCTTTATTCAGTTATAATTAACAAGTAAATATTGTATATATTTAAAGTGTACAGCATGATGGTTTGATATATATAGTGAAATGATACCACGATCAGATTAACACATCCATCACCTCACATAGTTACAAGGTTTTTTGTTTTTGTTTTGTTTTGATTTTTTTTGGATGTGGTAGGAACACCTAAGATCTACTATCTCAGCAAATTTCAAGTATACAATACAGTACTATTAACTATAGTCACCTCATTATACTTTAGATCGCCAGAACACATTCTTCTTATTCATCTGAAAGTTCATGCCCTTTGACCAACATCTTCCCATTCTCCCCACCCCTCAGTCTCTGGTAACCACCGTTTACTCTGTGGTACTATGAGTTTCACTCTTTTAGATTCCAAATATAAGGAAGATAGTACAGTATTTGTCTTTCTCCATCTGGCTTATTCCACTTAGCATAATGTCCACCAGGTTCATTTATGTTGCCACAAATGGCTGGATTTCCATCCTTTTTATGGCTGAATTATTCCAGTATATATATGTGTGTGTGTGTGTGTATGTGTATATATATATATACACACATTTTCATTATCCGTTCTATGGACAGACACTTCGGTTGTTTCCATATCCTGGCTATTGGGAATATGAACATGGGAGTGCAGATTTCTCTTCGAGATACTAATTTAATTTCCTTTGGATATATACCTAGTAGTAGTATACGTTATTTTTACTTCCTTTATTAAGTAAAAAGCAATAATAAGACAATAAAATTAAGTTACCTAAAATACAGTAAATCTATAGGAGAGAATATTTGTGTAGTCATTGACACCATGTTTTCTGGGATTATTAGTGAGAAGGGAATACACTTGAGATGTAATTCGGTTAATAAAAGCTATATACAAAACTGTTGATAGTATATCAGTTTTATGTTTTAAAAAAAAGCAAACAGGTAGACTACATTAGCAAAAATCCCAGAAGAACAGTAGTAAAGCATATATCGTGGTTCTCTTCAGGTGACAGGATTGTAAATAATTTCCACTGCTATAGTTTTTCTCCCATTTTTCAAAATGTTTTATGAAAACACATTATTTCCTTAGGAAGATTTTACAAGTAAATAAAAGTAAAAAATGAAGAAAAAAATTGACAACAGTGACCTACTTTTCCTTTTTCAAAGACCGGGCTTTTATAACCCCAAACATCTCTTTTTCTAACCCTCTACACCATGTCCACTGCAGTAACATCAAGAATAAAAATTGTCTTTGGAACAAAGGAGGTCATTGTGGAATTTTGATTATCCCAATTAATTCAACAGATTCCTGATGTTTCTGGTATAGTGTGTCAGATTTAAGATTTAAGATCTTTTATCAGGGCAAACCAACCTCCTTAATGTTTTCTCTGCCTAATGTGCCCATTAAAACCAAGACACAAATCAGCACCCAGAGGGATTGCTTTAGTCCTCATGGTCAGAGGAATATGTGTAGTCACTTGATGTTTATGACAAGTTGATTATTTTGTCCATGAATCTAAGATCCTCAGATGTTACCCATAGCCATCCTCAATAGTTTTAATGCCAGAGTTATTTTGATACACCAAGGAAATTTACAAACATCCCTTTGGATTTTCTATCCTGGCAAAGGGTTCCTGTCCCCTTTGTTTGTTTGTTTGTTTGTTTTATTTGGAGAAGGAGAGTAGAGAAGCCTCATTTTGAAAGGACCAAGAAAACCACTCTATTATCAGAGTCATCTTTGGCCGCACTCTGAATAGCTAGTCCCAGGATGGTTCAGGGGTGGTTTGCTCTTCCTGGGGCTGTTGGCATGCTCTAGTCAGGTGCTCATTAAATTACTCAAAAGTAGAGAAAAGACACATATTAACCTGAGCCTTTCCAGGGAGTAATGAGTATTTGGATAAAGACTGATCCTTAGAAGTCAACATTATGTCTTCCATGCCAGGCAGGGTGATTCTGTTTGGCAAAATTAAATCCCGCTGACCCGATACCTAATGTATTTGTTGTCAGCGCAAAGGTCGCAGTCCCTTACCAAAAGCACAGTGCAAACTGTTTATGATCATTTCATTACAGATTGGAATTGTGGGACGGACTGGAGCAGGCAAATCAACGCTTTCAAATTGTCTATTTAGAATTGTGGAAAGATCAGGAGGCAAAATTATTATCGATGGTATTGACATATCCACTATTGGACTTCATGACCTTCGGGGCAAACTTAATATTATTCCACAGGTAGAGTCTATTTTGTCAGTAGACTTTCTTAACTCCCTTTAGTTGATCTTCTTTTTTTTTAAATGTGTTCCTTCCAAGCATCTAAATTCATTTTTAGAAGCCAGAGCATTTGAATGTGTAATGAAAAATCACTACATAACTGAATCCTATTAAATACTCTTACTCTAAAACATTCTTCCTAAATGCATTTATCCACTTGAAAAACTGGTATGTTGCTCTAAGTTTCCTTCATAATAGTAAATGCAAACAAAATTTGAATGAAGAGATCAGACTGAAATGCCTTGGTATTTTTTGAAAGAAAAAAAATACTGAGGCTTTTGCCTAATTGGTAGAGGGAGTGTAGAATTTTGCCTCTTTGATTTGAAGTTTGAAAACATTTTAAAAGATGAAAAGAACAATAATTCAGTTAGATCATTTTTTTCAAGTCCTTTGATTTGTCTATCTATGGCATCAAAAGAACTTGATCATTAACAAATATGCAAATTGGCTCAAGAATATGCATCTACAGTCAAAGATGACTTATTCAGTTGAGTTTGAGAGATTTAAGCTGAGTATTTATGAGATACCTTTGTATTTACCTTGAAAAAATATCTTAAAATATGATCTCTTTTTCATATTGTTTAGACATATACTCGTATTCATGAATTTACTTCAAAAGCAAATTTGAATGAAATTCCAGCAGGGAAAAAAATTTAATGAAGAAAAGAGATATTAGTCGTTCCTCTCTTACAAATAAATACAGGTGTAGTAAAATACAGTTTCATCAGGCATGTTGGTGTATTGGAAAGAGCGTGACTTGTCCTATTCAAATTCTACTCAACCACTCACCTTCTGTGTGGCTTTGAACACGAGCTCTTTGGACCCTCCAGTTCAGTCTCTTTAAGTGGGGATATTGACTTCCATCTTTCTGAGTTGGTGTGCTGATTGATAATATTATATACATACTATAGTTTGCATTTATTCTCTTCTGTGTTCTCTCTCTGACTAAATGGCACCGATAGCACCTACCATCATCATCATTGTGGCTGATGTTGACATTGTTAATGAGAAGGAAAAAGAGGATCAGGAAATGTATAATGATTTAATCTCACTTACAGCTTACCCTGATTCTCTTCTGCTTTTGTTTTCAATATAAAGTGAATTTTGTAACTATTTAGGTTTGATCATTTTGCTTTTTATTTTCTGAATCTGATTTTTTTAAAAATGTATCTGTGCCTCATGAGACAGTAAGATTACTGGTGACAATTTTATTCTCTAGGATCCTGTTTTATTTTCTGGTACCCTTCAAATGAACCTGGATCCCCTAGACAAGTATTCCGATAGCGAGCTGTGGGAGGTGCTAGAACTGTGTCACTTAAAAGAGTTTGTGCAGTCCCTTCCCAAGAAGTTGCTGCATGAGATTACAGAGGGAGGTGAAAACCTCAGGTAAGCTGCTAAGAACAAAGCTTGGCCAAGTTACTCATTCCAAGGCTCCTTAGAAACTTTGAGTTAGCCTCAAAGAGAAGTCGCTCCTCCTGAGTCACCGAGGACCTCCTTTGGTCTGTTCAAAGTGCACGATTGCTGATTCCCTCTAGGGAAGAGGGACAAGGAATATAATGGTAACCACTAGCTGGGAAACCTCTGGTGAAGGAAAGAAGGGGGAAGAAAGGAACGATCCGGTATGGAAAGTTTGTTTAATTGACTCTTCTTTTGTGAAGACTCCTATTCAAATAGCTTTCTTCCTTAAAAATGTTGTAAGGACTCCTTTCTCCTTCATGGCTGTCTGATACCCGATGACAGTCCCTTTCACGTGATCAGAGACCCAAGGAAAGTGAGCTAGGTCCCCTCAAGCCCTGCACTGCATGACTCGGTCTCTCTGATTGCTCTCCTTACCTCTGTCTGTTTCTGCCACATTGGCCTCCTTGCTGGTTCCTGAATATGCCAGGCCAGCTCTTGCCTGCCTCAGGGATCTTGCACCCGCTGTTCCCTTTGCCGGGAACAAGTTTCCACTGGAAATCTGCGTGGCCCGCTCTCCCCTTCCAAAGGGTCTTAAATTAAAAGGCAACACCCTCAGTCCAGTGAGGGTTTCTTTGGCAGGCCCATCTAAAATGTCCACCCCAGGCCCGCACTCTATACCCTCCCTCTTTGTGTGCTTGAATTCTTATTACGATGCATTTTACTCATGTATCATGTTTATTTTTTTCTGTCTTCCCACGAGAATGTAAACTCCACGTAGAGATTTTTGTCTCTTTTGACAAAATAAATATTTCTTGAACAAAAGAATGAATGAATATGTGACTTAGAAAGAGAGTGAGTAGTGATATAATCAGAATTTTAGAACAGGAAGTGTGTAACCATAAAGTCCACCATAGAAATTACTTTACTTCTTTTTTTTTTTAACAGCGTTGGACAAAGGCAGCTTGTCTGTCTTGCTCGTGCTTTGCTTCGAAAAACAAAAATTCTCATCTTGGATGAGGCAACAGCCTCCATTGATTTTGAGACTGATAACTTGGTGCAGACCACAATCAGGAAAGAGTTCTCTGACTGTACCATCCTGACGATTGCTCATAGACTGCACTCTATCATTGATTCAGATAGGTATGCTTTATTTGTTTTCAGAAACAAAACATATCTATATCTCCACAGGGATAGCCACTGAATATACCAAACAACTAATTGCCACTAATAAAGGATTGTATCCATACTGAGAGATACAAAATTTTCCTTAATAGTAGGAAACATATTTTCCAAACAATTAGAAGAATATGTTAATGCTAAAAGAATATTAGAAAACTGGAGGGGCGCCTGGGTGGCTCAGTTGGTTGGGCGACTGCCTTCGGCTCAGATCATGATCCTGGAGTCCTGGGATCGAGTCCCACATCGGGCTCCCATTTGGGGCGGAGCCTACTTCTCCCTCTGACCCTCTCCCCCTCTCATGCTGTTTCTCACTCTCTCTCTCTCAAATAAATAAATAAATAAAATCTTTAAAAAAAAAAGAAAACTGGATATACTTCTTGAGTTCAGTAGTACCCATATTTTGTAGTGACATAACTCACACGGTAATTTACATTCTACATTAGCAAGAAAAACAAGGGTAAGCCGGAAAACTGATTAAGGTTACCTGACTGGATTCTTTTCACATTGCAGGGTACTTGTTCTAGACTCTGGAAGGATTACAGAATTTGAAACACCGCAGAATTTGATATTCCAGAAAGGACTTTTCTTTGAAATGCTAACAGAAGCTGGAATACCAGAAGACTCAGTGGCAAAATAATAAAAACTTTTAGCTATAGATTGATTATACTGAATAAAAAATAGATTCGTATTTTAAAAATAACAATGGGGAGAACCGCACAAAGGTAGGCCCCTGGCTACATGTTCGCATAAATACCAAAAAGCATCAGAGTTCCAACTATCCTGGGCTGCACCCAACCTTCTCTCTTCCACTCATGCCCTCCGGAATATCTGCCTTCTCCACGTTGCCCAAAGTACTACATGCCATGTATCCTTTAAGTCTCTGAGTTCATTCAGGAGTCATCTTCTCCGTGAAGGGTCCCTTGATTTCCCCCCTGCTCTCCGATCTGATCTAGCTGTCCCTTTTCTGTACTCACCATCCCCGTGTGCATACTGGCGTCATGACAGGGACCATACTCTTATTTTAATTATTTTAGTCTGTCTTCCCACTAAAGCTACTTGAAGGCAAGTACCCAGTGTCAGTCATCTCTGTATGTTGGGTTCCTAGCATAGTGATTTTCATCTAGTTGATACCCAACCAATGTTTGAAGAATTAATGACTTGGCATTTTCGAGTAATATAATACAGGTATTTATAGACAGACATAATACATGTTGAGCTACTGTACAGTATATAAAATGATGGGGCAATCACAGAAAAAATATTAGGAGTTATTCAGTTGCTTTTTAGAAATAATATATTCACTGTATTTTATGGTATACTTTATTTTAAAATAATATTTTATAATATTTTTTACTATTGACTTTGAGTAAAAAACAGTACTTTCTATGCAACATTATTTTTGGCTGGATTAACCTCAGTGACTTAGGTATCAGATAGTATACATTCACAAGAAGATTGTTGGCTTGTAATACTAATCATATTTTGAAGGACTTTTTAACTGTTTTATGTAATAGAAGCAATATTATTTCTTGAATTGCCCTTCAAATTTGAAGTATTCAAATTTAGTGGTATTTTCCTTTAAGATGATTTTAATAAAATATTTTAACATGTTCTGGAAGACCTATCAACTGTTTCTTTTATTCATCTTTTCTCCTTCCTGTGCATGACCATGTACAACCTACCTTCATCCCCTACAGGTATTTATGAAAAGTTGCCTGAAGTTATAAAACCCTATATTATCTGAAGCCTCCTCCCATTAGAATCTAAGCCACTAGAAGTGTCATCCTTTCTTTACAATCCCTGAAGTGCCTATCAGTATGTTTTGTACTCCGTAAATAATGAATAAAATATCTGTTGAATTCTATTAAGAAAGGGATCTAAACTCCAACGAATGGTGCTGGGAAAATCGGGCAGCTACCTGCAGAAGAATGAAACTGGATCACTTTCTTACACTATGCACAAAAATAAACTCTAAATGGATTTTTAAAAAGACCTAAATGTGAGACCTAAAACCATAAAACTCCTAGAAGAAAACATAGTAGTTTCTTTAACACTGGCCTACCAACATTTTTCTAGGTATGTCTCCTTAGGCAGGGAAACAAAAGCAAAAATAAACTATTGGGACTATATCAAAATAAAAAGCCTCTGCACAGTGAAGGAAACCATCAACAAAACGACACAGCAACCTACTGAATGGGAGAAGATATTTGCAAATGATATATCAGATAAGGGGTTAATACTCAAAATATATAAAGAACTTTTACAACTCAACACTCAAATCAAGTAATTCAATTAAAAAGGGGAAGAGGACCTGAATTGACATTTTCCCAAAAAGGACATAGACCTGGCCAACAGACACGTGAAAAGAGGCTCAACATCCCTCATCATCAGGGAAATGCAAAACAAAACTAGAGTGCGATATCACCTCACATCTGTCAGAATGGTTAACATCAAAAAGACAAGAAATAATGAGTGTTGGCAAGCATGTGGAGAAAAAGGAATCTTATGCACTGTTGGTGGGAATGCAAATTGGTACAGCCACTGTGGAGAGCAGAATGGAGATTCCTCGAAAAATTAAAAATAGAATTACCATATCATCCAGTAATTTTCCTACTAGGTATTTACCCCCCAAAACCCAAAAGTCTAATTTGAAAAGATATATGCACCCCTATGTTTTTGTAGCATATAGTCTTCCAGTGTTTTCATTATCAATAACCAAGATATAGAAGCAACCCAAGAGTCCACTGATAGATGAAAGGATAAAGAAGATATATATAATGGAATATCACCCAGCCATATAAAAAATGAGATTTTGCCATGTGCAACAATATGGCTGGGAGGGTATAATGCTAAGTGAAAGAAGTCAGTCAGAGAAGGACAAAGACCATATGATTTCACTCATATGTGGAAGTTAAGAAAGAAAACAAAGATGAGGGCGCCTGGGTGGCTCAGTTGGTTAAGCGACTGCCTTCGGCTCAGGTCATGATCCTGGAGTCCCGGGATCGAGTCCCGCATCGGGCTCCCTGCTCGGCAGGGAGTCTGCTTCTCCCTCTGACCCTCCTCCCTCTCATGCTCTCTGTCTCTCATTCTCTCTCTCTCAAATAAATAAATAAAATAAAATAAGAATTGTTATGTCTTTTAAAAAAAAAAAAAAGAAAGAAAACAAAGATGAGAAGAGAAATTAAAAAAAAAGAAAAAGATTCAAATACAGAGAACAAACTGGTGGTTGCCAGAGGGGCGGTGGGAAGGGGGATGGCTGAAATAGGTAAAGGGGATTCAGAGGACACTTACTGTGATAAGCACTGAGTCATGCAGAGCATTATTGAATCATCATACTGTACATTTGAAATTAATATAACACTGTATGTTAACTATACTTGAATTAAAATAAGAGAGGGATCTAGATATTTCATTGTTAAAAGGTTATGTTTTAGCCTCTTTACACCTATAGTAAATCAACCAGAGACTCTCTGTAATTTATTTTTTTAATTTATTATTTTTTGAGACCCTCTGTAATTTAAAAAATCTAATGGGGGCGGCGCCTGGGTGGCTCAGTCGTTAAGAGTCTGCCTTCGACTCAGGTCACGGTCCCAGGGTCCTGGGATCGAGCCCCGCGTCGGGCTCCCTGCTTGGCGGAGAGCCTGCTTCTACCTCTCCTGCTCCCCCTGCTTGTGTTCCCTCTCTTGCTGTGTCTCTCTCTCTCTGCCAAATGAATAAATAAAATCTTTAAAAAAAAAAAATCTAATGGAAATCGACAGAAGCCTGGATAAATTATAGTATAGTCACAGAGTGGAACTCTATACAGCTATGAGAATGAATGAACAACAGCTACAGGCAACAGCATGGATGAATCTCATGAATGTGTTGAGTGAAAGAAGCCAACCACAAAAAAATATTAGTATGTGATTCTATAACTCTGTACAAAAGTTTTTTAGAAAGGAAAACTGGTCTATAGTACTATTAGAAGTCAGGATACTGGCTCTTCTTGGTAAGGAAGGAGGGGTAAAGTTTGAAGGGGTACACCGGTGGGCTTCTGCAATAATGATTATATTCTGTTTCTTGATCTGGGCCCAAGTATTGGTTCAGTTTGTGAAAATTCATCAAGCTGTATACTTAGGATATGTGCAGTTTTATATATACATATACAGATATATGTATAACATATACTTAAAGAGAAAAATAAAGCAAAAATAAAATAAACATCAAAAATGTAATATTATATATAACTGATGGAATCCTTAAATTCTACTCCTGAAACCAATATTACACTATATGTTAACTAGAATTAAAATAAAAACAAACAAACAAAAAAGACTAAGCCAAAATTACTCAAAGATAATTTCGTCATGTTTTAAGAAGCTATATGTTACTATAGTAACACTGTATGTTAACTAACTAGAATTTGAGTAAAAACAAAAAAAAAGACTAAGCCAAAAGTACTCAAAGATAATTTTGTCATGTTTTAAGAAATTAATATTACATTTTCATTTCAATTATGTTCACCAAGGTTATTCAATCACTGAAGTACACTGGAAGCAAAGTGCAGGGTACTCAATATGACTGGATTACAGAGAGGTAGTTCATTTGAATTTTGTAAAAAGAAAACACCTTTAGTCAATGATTGATTTGTTTAAAGATATTAACTACAAAATATATTAAGAAAATAGTGATTATAATTTCAATGTGTAGAAATATTTACCTTAGCTGATAGAAGGAAAATGCTAAGCAGGATTAAGTTGAATTCTTTTACGGATAATGATATTTATTGAAAGCATACCATATGCCTGTAATGTGCAAGGCATTGGAATCTTTTGTTACTTCAGTCTTCACTAAAGAATATAAGAAAGATATTATCTACCCCATTTTGTCAAAAATAAGATTTCAAGAGGATCTTGGCCAAATATGTAGAATCCAGGTCTACATGGTGAGAAAATTGATGGTCTTTCCAGTTCCTACTAATATGTCTCATTCCTGGGAGAGCCAGTTAAAAAGAGTCTGGTGGTTAAAAATGGGGGAGAAAGATTTTAAACCAATAGCTTTGTAAGCATAGTAAATGGAATTAAAGTTTGGGGACAGGCTGCTTTTTCAAATATATCATTAGCTTGAACCATATGAAATAGCCATTTTTGTAGGTCAAAATGGTTTAATAATGGCAATTTCATATACTTTTAAACATAGCTTCGATGTCAAACAGTATTATGAAGACATAATGCTATATTTTAAATACACAAATAATTATAACTGATCTGTAGGGGCTTTTAGGAAAAATAATCAAGAAAAATAAAATAAAATATAGTAAGTTAGAGAGTTCAGGATCTTGGGACAGGGTGCCTGTGTTAAAGCCCACTCCCACCACTTTCCGATTGTGTAAACTGGGGCAAGTTTACTTACTCCTCTGGGCTTACTTGGGAGTAACGGTTTTATCTACCTCCTAAAGTTTTTGAAAATTAAATCAATAACATGTAACACTTAGGACAGTGTCTGGCATGTAGAAAACATTCAATGGCATATTAGCTATTATCTAAATATCAACAGTCACAGCTCCTGTAATTGTAGTCTCATATTTACAAACATCATGGAACACACTGTTAAGTGAATAAAAAGGACAAAATCGAGGCAATGTTTACAAAAGTCTATTCTATACACAGCAATTTTGGGATAACTGGAGATTAAGATCCAGTCCCCAGTGGTACACAATATAGTATCATATTGTTATCAGGTTATTATATTATGTCACTTGAGAAGGTACCAGTCAGGACAGATCTAGTTCCTTCTGGTTTTCCTAATTCGCATCTTGCTAGCTGTCATTTTGCAAGCACGTGGGCCATCTGTAGAATCCTGAAATCAAGACTTATGGCTATCCTGTAAGCTACATTTTTCTAAATGTGCTTATAGAGATGAAAGGTAGGTAGGTAATTCATGTGACTGCTCTGCGGCTGAATTAATAAGGTAATGAGTATGAATGGGGAAAAGGCTGACTGGCTTCTCCACAATTGCTGGCGAGGTAACCAGAGTTGCTTGGCCAGGCTGAGCACACAGTTACACAGTTGATCAAAGCTAGGAATCTTTTATCTCCTGGGCGTGGCACAAAGAACAAAATAAATGTGAATAGACCTAGGAGTAAAATGTAAAAATAGGTCATAACTTGAGAAATATTTGTGATATTTATAAAAAAAAAAATCTGCAAGATTTGACAAATATTTGCTCCCCAATGTTTAGAAAGAAAATACCACACATGCATTGTTTTCTGTGCGCCAACGGAAGTGATATAGGATCAGTTTTTGAAGTCATGCTTCAAAAATGTAACTCCTCTTTAATATACTCATGAATGACCATTGGTTTATTGCCGATATGTGTAGTAGAAAATGTCATGTGCAAAAACCCGTTGCTTTATCCCCAGCATCATGTCTGCATTCCAAGAAGAAAGGAATGGTGAGGAACAAGACATTTAATAGCACAAACGTGTAAGCTTAAAAAAGGGAGGGGGGTGGTGCCTGGGTGGATCAGTCGGTTGAGCGTCTGCGTTCTGCTCAGGGCATGACATAAATGATTTGGAATGAGTGACAGCGGAGTACAAACAGGAGCTAGGTATACATATTGATAACACTTCAGTTGCCACTAATTCCCTCTGAACACCTGCTTTTAGCTCTGTTCTGAGCCTTTGTGCAACATTCTCCTGGTATTACAGAACAGCCATCTGCTTTCCCTGTATTACCGTATCAGTGATTCCACAGAGGTAATGGATATGAATTAATGTTGACCATGATGTGTAAAGTCCTGTTGTTTCATGTATTTTGTCTGATTATTTAGTCAAATGAGTTCCTTCTTATTCCATCCTGGCCAAAAACAGAAGTCCAACGAATGACACTTTGGCCAAATGTTTAACCCTATAGTAAGGGTCATAAGTTTAAAAGCAGAAGGAAGAAAAGAAGGAAAACAAAGAAAGAAGGGTAAACAACTAAGGGGTTTATTTTTATGTTTTTATTTGTTATTTTTTAAAGTAATTTCTTTTTTTTTAAAGATTTTATTTATTTATTTGAGAGAGAGAATGAGATAGAGAGAGAGAGCATGAGAGGGGTGAGGGTCAGAGGGAGAAGCAGACTTCCTGCTGAGCAGGGAGCCCGATGTGGGACTTGATCCCAGGACTCCAGGATCATGACCTGAGCCGAAGGCAGTTGCTTAACCAACTGAGCCACCCAGGCGCCCTATTTTTTTAAGTAATTTCTATGCCTAAACCTTGAGATCAAGAGTTGTATGCTCTACCAACTGAGCCAGCCAAGACCCCCTGTGGGGTTTATTTTTCTTAAGTAGAAAGAAGTCCTCTCAAGGTAGAGAGGACAAAGCTGGCCAGGGTGGTTCCATAACACTTTTGTCTTTTGTCTTTTGCTCAAACATCATCCATAGCACATCTTGGTTGGTAGTTGCAAAAACCCATTGCTTTATCCCCAGCATCATGTCTGTTCCAAGAAGAAAGGAATGGTGAGGAACAAGACATTTAATAGCACAAACGTGTAAGCTTAAAAAAGGGAGGGCGGTGGTGCCTGGGTGGATCAGTCGGTTGAGCGTCTGCGTTCTGCTCAGGGCATGATCCCAGAGTCCTGGAATCGAGCCCCGCATCAGGTCCCTGCTCAGCGGGGAGTCTGCTTCTCCCTCTCCCTCTGCCTGCCTGCCTGCCCACCTACTTGTGATCTCTCTCTGTCAAATAGATAAATAAAACCTTAAAAAAAAAAAAAAAGCCTGTGGGGTTTCTATCTACTGATTTATGCTTACATCTCAGTGGTCAGAATTGTATCACTAGCCACCCCTAGCTGCAGAGGAGGCTGGGAAACAGTTTTTAAAGCAGTGGATGTTGCTGCTTTAAACAACACAAGTAAGAATGAATAGAAAAGATACTGCAGTAGCATTTAGCAGATTCTGCCATAACTACTTTTTGCCACAAAGTCTTTTTCAAGACTTACCTCAGCAAAATAACTTGAGTTTAGCAAACTGGGAGACAGAGGAAGAGTAGCGATTACAACTAACTGAGATCCAGATTCCAATTTCCAATTCTATATAGGCCATGTTCGATGATTTAAGGTAAATGGATGAACTCTTAACAGGAGAAATGTGTGTGTGTTTATGTGATATACATATGTTAATAAAGTTACAAGGAGGTCTTTTACATAAGCCGAATGATAGTTAATTCAATGAGGTGTAAAAAAAACAGCATTTGGTCCTGCTTTAACACCCAAGTAATGTCAATTTTTTTTTTACTTCATGTCTGTTAATTCATATTACAAATTAAGTAAATGCTTTACCAAGGCAAATTTATTTTCTTTCATACTTCATCAGGAGAATTTTCAATAACTTGCAGAAACTTGAGAACTACAGAATCAGGAGCTTGAGAATTTTAGCTAAAATAATAACCTATTTTATTGTGGCATTTTCTTACAAGCCCACATAAATTGGCAAGTCACTGAACTTCTTTGCTTATTTCCTTATCTTTCTAGCATAGCCATTTGTAATATTGAGTATTTTCTTTGCACTAGGTACTCACAAAAACCAATGAATTAGTCAGAAGTGTAAGGGACTAAATAGCATTATCAAAATCTGTAATTTTAATATCATCAGCTAAATAAGAAGTCTGTACCATCCAGTAGTTTAGTAACAATAAAATCGGTACTATGGGGTTGTATTATGTGATGGATAAAGCAGCACAGCACTGCGTTTGAGCATGGATTGGATTTAAATCCTGATTTTGCCACTTATTAGCTGTATAATCCTGGGGAAATTTCTTGACACATCTGTGCCTTAATTTCCCTATCTGAAAATGGGGATAATAGTACCTACTCATAAGTTTGCTAGAACAAAACTAAATTGGTTTTCACTAAAACTTTTCTAAAAATATTTTTATTTATTTACTTATTTGAGAGAGAGTGAGAAGGGGGTAGGGGCAGAGGGAGAGGGAGAAGAAGGCTCCCCACTGAGCAGGGAGCCCGACACAAGGCTTGATCCCAGGACCCTGAGATTATGACCTGTTCCGAAGGCAGTCGCTTAACTAAACCACCCAGGCACCCCATCACTAAAACACTTAGAACAGTACTGGTACATAATTAGTACTCTATTATCTATTGGTCAACAAATTAATCCAAAACTTAGTGGCTTAAAACAACAAAAATATATTGTAGTTTCCATGGGCCAGGAATCCACTTAGCTGGACTATTCTGGTTTAAGTCTCTCATGAGATTATACTTAAACTTCAACCATGGCCACATTATCTGAAGGAAGAGAGGGCTCGCTTTTGAGAAGGCGCTCACAGCTGGAAGGTGGTGCTGTCCGCTGGGGTGCTTATTCACCATGTACCTCTCATCATTAGCAGGGAGTCACCAAATCTTGCCCAAAGTCAAGGGAAGATCACAAAAGGAGATGAATACCAGAAAATGGGTGTCATTGGAGGCTACAATGGAGGCTGCCTACCCTCAATGGGGTACTGTGTTTTTGTTGGTTAAATAAACTAAATATGGGGGTGTCACTATATTTCCTCATTTGAGTCCCTCAGCAATGGTGGTTAGAAAAACTATGGAGGAATCACAGGAACTATTGGAAAGTCAAGTCTCCTATCTTTATTTAAGGGCTCATCTGAAAAGACTGTATTAATCAAATGAATTTCTTTAGATATATAAAATATGTATATATAGTTTTTGTCCAAAGAGTTAAGACAAACTTTATTAGAAAATTATGAAGTATTACTGAATCAACCAAAGGATTACAGTAGGATTATTCACTAACTATAGATTAATTTAGGTCTTTGCTCCATTATAGTCAAAGGTCATGAATTGGTATTCAGAATTCCGGAGCTACTGTTCATATGATACAGGAACTGTCACTTCTAAATTAGGAAAATAAATGAAAAAGGATACAAGCAACCCCAGAGTCAGGATGCAGGGGGGCAGGCAATAGCTGCTGAGCTCACATGCATGAGCATCACAGCAGCTGTCCCTGCTTCCCTTTTCACTTATAAACCTCAAATATGTACTCTGGCCTAGCTGTGAATGGAAGAGAAAGGACACAGTTTAAAAAACAAACTGCAAAGTGGTATTTATTTACATTAAAATGTGAATTACCTGTATACACACAATTTGAAGAGGCACAATCTGTTATGCACAATAACTATATAATCTTCCGAAATGTCATACACAGTAGCATCTGTGAAGTCAGTGGTTGGAGTGAAAACACAGTACCGAAACATTCCTGATACAAAATAAATTACTCATTCACATATTCTAATCATACAACAGTTAATATTTAAAAAGTTAATGCACTTCAAAAAACACTAGTTACATGTACAAACCAGAATGTATTGTTTTATGAAAAATGTCTTAAGATTATTAGGCATAAATGATCCCTTTCGGGATCCCTTTCTCTTTTAAATAAATAAACTACATTGATTTCAAGACCATTTATATATAGGCCCCTAACATATGACTGACAGACATTACTTCGTATTTTTAAAGGTGTAACTATACTAGAGAATATGCTAAACTATTGCCCCCAAATTCCAACACTGCCATCCTATTTTTCAGACACATTTAAATTCCAATTTTAGTATATGAGATTAGCTGCCCCGTTCTGCAAATTGTTTCCACTAAAAAGTGGTAACAGATCTTCCTGAACTATCTCATGTATTTGAGAGAGTCAAGGCTTTTTTTAAAAATGTTAAAATGCTTTAGGTTAAAGCTGATAATGTAAGTGGAGATTTTGATAGATTGAACACTTTTCTCTTAAGACCTTTGCAAAAAGATCTTTTCCAATTCTAAAATCTATTAAAGATTCGTATCAAGTCCAAGAGAACACTGGAATATTTTCATAACGCAGTGAAGGATTCATCTTTGGCATTTCTCTGTTAGTTCTAAAATAAAATATGTCAACAAACATTTTTTATTTTTCTATCTACTTACTAGACATTCTGTACACAAAACTATGTGATTGAAATTGTGTTTTAACAGCAATCTCATTGCTAACCTTTTTTTTTTTAGATCTGCAAAAAATATTAACATTCAGCTTTTTATTCTCAGAAGCTGAAATGTTTCGATGTTGCTGAAATGAGTTTGCTTAGTTCTGTTTTTCAGTGATTGGAAATACAACATCCTTTAAATTCAACAACAGATAAAACAGACATACTTTTTACATTAACAAAAATGTTGACCAGAATGTAATCTTTGAATATTAATATGAAGCATGCATGCATTAAGAAAAAAAAAGTCTTCAAATATGGCCATCACAGAAATATAACTGCTTGCTACATTTTCTTTCTTGGTCCCTGTAGCATTTCTAAAAGGAAACAAACAAAAACAAAACGAAACTGCTACAAATGCTGATTTGTAGAAATTCTTCCACATTGCCTCCCACATTAGATTGCCACATTATTTCCAATATTCAAAATTTTTTTACTCGCAACACATACTAACCTTAAGGCTAAAAACAGTCCAAGTGTGACTACTGTAAAATGATAGTGGGAAACAACAATAAGGATTTTACAACTGAGCACATTTTCCTCATTCAAAACCAATATGGGGAAAAATCTCAGTAAAAACTGAATCAAATATGATTTGATAGTTCAAATGCAAGCTACATTCTCCAGGGCTTACTGAAAATAAACAAAGAAACAAAAACAAAAACATAAATACTGTAGCTAATTACTGGTACTTACTAGTGTCTGCAAAGGTCTTGGGTAACAAAAAAGAGCTAGTAATGATGGCTTTATTGTGACATTAAGACGTGTAGAATGAAGTTATTAATTCCCCACTGTTTTCTCACCAGGCAGAATCATGGGAATCCAAGCAGAGAATGATGCATAGCAACTGAAGGAACTGGAGTATAAATTGGTTACGTTTACTGTCTGGTATTGAAACATCTGAATAAATCTACAGCTATTTTAGAAAGAAAGTAAGTTGATACAGTAAGTAATTTTAAAAATCTGGAGAATGAAGGTTATGTAAATAGGACACGTAATTGAATTTGTGAAAGTAAATTTATTTATGGCAGTTACTGAACATTATATATATATGCAGCTTATATTACTAATACTGCTATCTCCCAGCCAATGTAAAAACCTGACACCAATACTGTCCTTCAAGTAGAGTTCAAACTAATAGTTACATGTGATAACCAAGCAAATCAGTTACCAGCTCCTGCTAATACAATTTAGTAAGAACTGGGAATTGTAATACTGGTACTAGGCAATGTTTACAGAATGTAATTTTAAGTGCATATGGTTATCTACTTCCAGATTCCAGAGAACAAAACTACCCATGCTCCTATAACAGTTTTACTTCAATTCTATCATTTTAAAAGTATTTGTTGGAGTGAGATCTCTCTGAAATCAAATAGGATCAATCTGGTCACATTTAATCCTAAAACAAAATGTTATGTAAAATTCTGTGTATCTAAATGTTACCTTTCAGGTAAATTTCTGAGATATTTTAGAGATTTTTCTTTATTGGAGGAGGTGGTCTGATAAGGAGGAAGAGCTCATCAGACAATCACAAATAATCATCCCTCCATAATTCAGTTGAAGTTGGTCTTTTGTAAGTGCTTACTGGGAATTTCTAAAGCACTGACTTGGAGAGGCCAGGAGCCTCCATCAATCCCTGCTTGGATAGCCACTCCTGTCACCACTGCCAGGTCAGGGTCTACAGAAGTGTTGGGATCCTTTCCAAAGAACTCCTGAATGACTTGGCGGATTCGAGGAATACGAGTGGAACCCCCAACCAAAACCACCTCATCAATCTCAGTCTTTTCCAGGTGGCCTTCTTTTAATACTTGCTGAATGGGTACAAGTATTTTCTGGAAGAGATCTTCATTAAGGGTGTCAAAGAGCTTCCGTGATATTTCTGTTTCAAATAACACCTGACTTTCTCCGCTTTTCTTTTCAGAAAGACCAGCTCCAAACACACTGTTCACATGGTGGCCATCAGTGGGAGAAAATCTGTCCTTTGGCAGTTCAGTGTCACTACTCTGAGGCTCCTTCTTGTCCTTTTCCTCCACTGTTAGTAATACTGACAAGTGAGCAGACTGATGAAGAGTCAGATTTAATTTGACCATTTCCACAGCTTGTCTTAATCTGTGAATTTCCTCTTTCCTAGAGGGTAGAAAGCCATACGTTTGATAGATCTGTTTATATAAATACTGAAGCAGTCTTTGATTGAAGTCCTGTCCTCCAAGTTTATTGTTTCCTAAGTTAAAAATAAAAAGGCGTATATTTATGTATTTGTACGCGTATATGCATATACATGTCTGTTAGTATGTATGAAAATGATATAATGAATAACAAATCTCTTGCTTAATGTACTTAACTATTTAGATTTTATTCATACAAAGACTGATTAAAAATAATTGGATTAAAGTAATTTTAACTCAAATGTATATTATTAAAAAACAGTGCATATCGGGCGCCTGGGTGGCTCAGTCGTTAAGCATCTGCCTTCAGCTCAGGTCATGATCCCACGGTCCTGGGATCGAGTCCCACATCAGGCTCCCTGCTCCGCAGGAAGCCTGCTTCTCCCTGTCCCACTCCCCCTGCTTGTGTTCCCTCTCTCGCTGTCTCTCTCTCTGTTGAAAAATAAATAAAATCTTTAAAAAAAAAAAACAGTGTATATCTGGTTAAAATTTTTAAAAGATTTTATTTATTTATTTAAGTGACAGAGAGAGAGACAGCGAGAGAGGGAACACAAGCAGGGGGAGTGGGAGAGGAAGAAGCAGGCTTCCCGCAGAGCAGGGAGCCCGATGCGGGGCTCGATCCTAGGACCCTGGGATCATGACCTGAGCCGAAGGCAGTCGCTTAACCAACTGAGCCACCCAGGCGCCCCTCTGGTTAAAATTTTTAAATAATAAAAAAGGAAGTATCTCTTAATGATATCCCTAAATAATTTTTCAGAAGATAAAGGTTGACAAAAGATTAGCTTTTAAAAGCAATTTAAAAACACTGAATATGATTACTCCCAAGAGAAGAAAGTCTTTAGAATTAAAAAGTACCAGTAGGCATTTTATCTTTTTTTTAAATCCTTTTGCTTGCTAGATTAAGAGCTAAAATTAAAAAAAAAAGGGCGCCTGGGTGGCTCAGTCGGTTGTGTCTGCCTTTGGCTAAGGTCATGATCTCAGGGTCCTGGGATCGAGCCCTGCATCGGGCTCCTTGCTCTGCGGGAAGCCTGCTTCTCCCTCTCCCTCTGCTGTTCCCCCTGCTTGTGTTCCCTCTCTCTCTCTGTCAAATAAATAAATAAAATCTTAAAAAAAAAAAAAAAAAAAAGGAGAAAGAGAGATTTAAAAGGAAAAGATTAATGTTAATATAAATCCCTGGCACTGAATTTGGTTTTAAAGAGTCCAGTTAGGAAAAAGAAAAATGCAGAAGTTAGACAACCTATAACTTATAGCTTCACTTTTTAAACAGGCTCCATTCTTTAAACTAAAACAAAATACTTAAAAAAAAAAAAAAAGATTTAGAATACAAAAACCTATAATTTCCTAGAGAATACTATTATTAGATTTTCTAAGCATATCTATTTTGTAAAACATGTTAGCAAATGAAATAAACTGATCACTCTTCATTTTAAAGGATTTTTCTTGCTTTCGTTTCCTTCACCGAAGCCATGAAGTCCTACCGGCTCAGTGAGCTACAACTGGCAGTGATATATTTATTTGCCTCAGTCATTTTTTTTTAGATTTCAGTTTTTGTTGTTATGATATATATAAATGGTGGTTATAAAATTACATATACAGACTACCAAAATGAAGTCAAAGTATACTGAAAAAAATTTTATTTTTATTTTATTTTATTTCTATTGATTTATTTTAGAGAGAGACAGAGAGAGAGAGCACGTGCACAAGCAAGGGGAAGAGCAGAGGGGGAAAGAATCTCAAGCAGATCTGCACCAAGTGCAGAGCCCCACGCTGGGCTCGATCTCGCAACCCTGAGATCATAACCTGGGCTGAAACCAAGAGTTGGACGCTTACCCGACTGAACCACCCAGGCATCCCCTGAAAAAAATTTAAAAATAAACACTTAACACATTAGGTGTGCTAATAAGGAAAGCATTATCTGAACCTCTTTTAGTCTCCCTGTATTTTTCTTACCAGACATTGCTCGGGTTAGAAACATTCCTCCTTGTTTATTTAGCAATGACACATCTAGAGTTCCTCCACCCAAATCTATCACCAAGACATGAAAGACATCAGCCTTGTGGAGGCCATAAGCCATGGCTGCCGCTGTGGGTTCATTTATCACCCTCAAGATCTTCAGTCCTGTAAGATTGGTTGGAAGGAAGAAAAATTCATCAGAGGACACCATTCTCAAAATTCCTTCCCCCTCAACGTCATACCATGTTAGTGTGTTTTATGCGACATGAACTCCACTGAGTAACAAAGATAGTAGTCACAAACCCATCAAAAATAATGAAATGGGAAGGATAAATATTGGTTGTTCTAAATGGAATCATTAAAATCATTCTAAAAAATTATTAATGTAAGAAAAGAAAAGCCCAGATTCAGTGGAATACATCATTCTGTTCTGTATTATTTAATATTTAATTTTTAAAAATCCTAGCCCCTTTTAATTTTCATTATTTTACTTGGGAATATAAGAGCAATAAAACTTTAATCATTATGTGCTATAATAAATTGCTGTGGAAATGAAATAAGCTTACTATGCTCTTCTTTTTAAAGGGACTTTGAAAAGCAGATAAGTAAACAGATGAGATTATTAAAAAAATCTAGATGAAGTGTTCCAATAGGTAAAATGACTCTTAAAAAAGTACTTAAAATTTAAGACCCTCAAATGTAAATCTGAAATATACAGCAAATCTGATCTTGAAAGTAATGCTAAACAGTGAAAGTTCAAGCAAAAGGTCAGATTTCCTTGCGCAAACTTCCTGCTTTAACCTAACTGCCATAGGTCATGAGTGGTTTGGAAAGTAATACAGCATTTATGTATCAGGAGCCATAAAAAAATTATTCAAATTCTGAAGAATTTATTTAAATTCATACCCTTTCCTTTAGCAGTCTGACTTCATCACTCACTCTGCTCTGGTCACACTGACCAACTTACCACCTTCAGATGTACCAGCAAATTCCCATTTTATGGCTGCTACACTGACCATTCTCTCCTGCAATATTCTTACCCTATATATCAGCTTGGCTAACAAACGTGCCTCCTTCAAATCTGCTTAAACGTCACTTTCTCAATGAGGCCTACCTGACCACTCTAAAACCTACAAGTCCCCCCCACCTCCTGATCACCACCAGCAATCCTGTTCCTGTTCTACTCTTTTTTTCTTCCATTGCATGTTACTTTCTGATATACAATGTATCAGGGTTTTCAACCAGGAGCAATTTTGCCCCTCTGGGAGCATTTGGCAACATCTGAAGACAGAAGATTATCACTACTTGGAGAGGAGAGGGCTGGAGCACCTCATGAGTAGAAGCTGGGGTGCTGCTAACTGTCCTATAACGCACAGGACAGTTTCCCATAACACAGAATTATCTAGCCCAAAATATCAAATAATGCTAAGAGAGGGAAACCCCACAATATACTTATCTTTAATACAGACTTTCTGTTTCCCTCCAGTAGAATATAAGTTCCATGAGAACAGAGATTTATCTGTTTTGTTTATCAAGGCACTCAATATTTATTGAATGGTTTTAAATGAGTTCTCTTCCACCTCAGATTTAAAAAAAAATATTACATTCATCATAACATTAAAGAAAGTTTATAGAAAAAATTCCTCATTGCTAACATGCACCCATGTTCTCAGTCTTTATTATATGCCTACCTAACTGGCTATTTTCATAGTATGTTGCGTTTTACATTGTGCCATAAAATTTTCTTAATTTCTGTTTCTAAACCTATATCAAAATCCATCTAATTTACCCACTTTGGGTTTATTCATGTGCTTCGTTAGGTGGTTTGCAAAGTGACACACCTTACTACAGAAGATTTTCAACCTAAGAACATTTTGAGAAAAATATAACTCAAGCAAGGGTGATATTACCTGCAAGATTAGCAGCTTCAATTGTTGAATTTCTCTGTTTTAGATCGAATTCTGCTGGTACAGAAATAACAGCATTGGCAACTGGCATTCCAAGATATTCCTCTGCCATTTCCTTTAACTTCAACAGTAGTCTAGAGCCAACATATTCTGGGGAAACGGTGATGGTCTCATTACTTGTCACAGAAAACTCAACCATTCCATTTTTGTTTAAAACCTGTGAATAGGATTTGCCAAAAAAGAAAAAAAAAGAAAGAAATGTAAAATCATACATATACACATACACATATATACTTAAATACATACATACATACACATTGGACTTATTCAATAAAAAACTTAACTTTATAACATCATAAAATTTATTTATAATCTATCATTTACTAAGATTAGAGGTTATTAAAAGCTATACTTTAAAATCTATAAAGTGAATCTACAATAACAGCAGAATAATAAAATCCATCACCACGCATATAAATGGAATATAGAAGATTCTCAATATATATCTGCTAAATGAAAGAAAAAAAGATGAAATATAAGGAATAAAAGTTGCTGGATCATGTATTTGACTTAGGATCTTCTTTTTTTTAGTTAACTTGTTTCCAAAAATAATAGATACGTGAAAAAGTGTTCTGGCACATATTAACAAGAATAATTTTAGTACTTCATTATGTTCTTATCCAAGAATCAAATATCACTTATATTCTTATTTCCATGAAAACATGTATTAAGTCATTATCCCTGCTAATGTGGTTGTACATTTAAAAAACTAGATTAATTCTAAAACATGCTATCCCACTTTCACCAACAGACTAAATTCATATCAAGAGTAAAGAGAATTAAGTCTTCTAAGAAACTGTAAGAATTTTACCCTCTTCATTCTAGACTACATAATTAGATTTCAATGAAGAAAACTTGACCATCTACAAACCTATCTGGAAAAAACAAAAATAAGCTACAGATACTATTAAAATGAGGTTCAGTTCCCACATGAAACAGCAACAACAACAACAAAAAAAATCACAACACTTAGAAACTTAACAACACCAAGAAAACTCAAACTAACTCTTGGTTGGAAAATAGTACAGGGGGTCCTCAAAAAACTGACAATGGAACTACGATCTGATGCAGCAGCTCCACTTCTGGGAACACACCCTTATGTGGAAGAGCTACCTGCACCCCATGGTCACAGCAGCAACATTTACGATGGCCGAGCCATGAATACAACCGAAGTGTCTATCAACAGATAAATGGATAAAGTGGTGATATACATACACAGTGGAATGTTATTCAGCCATAAAAAAAGAAGAAATTCCTGCCGCTGGTGACATGGATGGACCCTGCGGGTATTACGCTAAGCGCAGTTAAGTCAAACAGGGAAAGGCAAACGCTGTATGATCGCTCATATGTAGAATCTAAAACAACAACCAAACTCAGAGAAAAAAAGATTAGATAGGTTACCGCAGGCAGGGGATGGGGGGAGAGTAGGGGAAATGGATGAAGGTGGTCAAAAGGTACAGATTTCCAGTTATAAAAGAAGTAAGTACTGGGAATGTAATGTCAACATGATGACTATAGTTAATACTGCTATATGGTATATTTGAAGGTTGCTGAGAGAGTAAATTCTAAGAGCTCTCACCACAAGGAAAAAAAATTTTTTTTCTTTTTTTTGTATCTATACGAGATGATGGATGTTAACTTACTGTTCTAATAATTACACAATATATTTAAGTGAAATCATTATGCTGTACATCATAAATTTATACAGGGCCATATGTTGATTATATTCCAATAAAACTTGGGAAAAAAATAATTCCTGAATCAGTAAGTAATGTACTCAAATTCTTAATTTTGAGGAAATGTATAGCTCTATATAATTTAATCATTACTTAAGACTTATAAATTGATAAAGGATCCTAAGAAAAAAGCTAAAAAAGAACAAAGAAATAAACCTAAGAAATGCATGGGATAGATTTATTTTCTCCTTTGAAAATGCATAAAATATTTAAGAATTTTATTCAATAAGCAGCACTGATACAGCTATCAATTTTAAAAGCTAGTCACTTAGAATTCCACTTCACAGTTTACATGAAAAACCCTCTATGGAAAAAAACACTTAAGTATTTAAAAGATATGGGTGGGGGGATGGGTGAAATGGGTGATGGGGATTAAAGAGTACACTCATCATGATGAAAAAAAATGTTTTAGACAAAAAATAAAATACTTAAAAGAAAAAACTGGCAAAACACAAACCTACATATAGTCATGTAAAAGCATTAGCAATAGAAGTGGACAGGATGGGAAAGGCCATTGTAAGCATGGTAAGAGTCTATAATCATTTTTTAAAAATTTTTGAGATGATTTTGCCACATAAAAATTTAACATTCTTGACAGCTCAAAAGCAAAATTATATATCATCAGTTAAAAAAAAAGAACATAAAAAAACACTGTAAACATATCACTAAGTATTTTACAAAGGAAAAGAACCCCCCCCAAAAAATAGGACAAAGGACAAGAAATAGATCACTAAAAAAATAAAAATGCCAATTAACAAATGTTTAAAAAATCTGACCTCAGTAAAAATCAAAGGAATGCTAATTAATACAAAAATACCATTTTTCACTTATATATTGGCAAAGATTAAAAAAATAGTAACTGGGGCGGGAGGGTACCTGGGTGCTCAGTTGGTTGAGAGTCTGACTTACGGCTTCAACTCAATCATGATCTCAGGGCCCTGAGACTGAGTACCGTGGCGGTCTCCGTGGAGTCTGCTTGAAGATTCTCTCCCTCTGCCTCTACTCCTACTTACACTTACTCTGTCTCTCTCTTAAATAAATCTTAAACAAACAAACAGTAACTAGGGAAGATATAGGCCCTCTAAAAAAAAGTAAAGAGTACACAACCGTTTCAGTGTACAATTTGGCAAGATAAATCAAAGTACTTAAAGAACTCAAGTTCTTCTACTTCTAGAATTCAAGCTAAGGATCAAGAAGTACACAAAGATCTATGTACAAGAATATTCACTGAAGCTGCAACATAAGTGGAAAACCAGGGGAAAAAAATGTGCCCTTACTGAGATTGGAAAATTAAATATTGGAATAGCCATTCTAAGGAACCATGTCATATTGTTGAGTTTCAAATAAGTCATAAAATAGCATGCCTACTGTGATCTTTTAAAGTATATAAATATGTATATCCTACCACACACAGCACCTATCCATCTATCTAGCCATCCATCCATCTATCCATCCGTCCATCCACCCATCCATCCATCCATAGTACATGGGGCATCATTAGCCTTCTTGCTACAGTGAAACAAAGATCTAAGCAGATATTCTGAGGATTGCAAAGCAAGAACATAGTAAGGCTCCAAGTCCATGATAGAGCTGTGGAGCCAATGAATTAAGTCATCATGGAATTGCTGTAGGACTGCTTGTCATAATGTAGCTTCCATGCAAAGTAAGTGAGTTGAAACAGAATGTTTCATAGCTTGAAGCCAAAGCATTAATTGAAACAGTATGCTTAACTAAAATTAAAACAGATTTTAGCTTAATCACTTACCTTAAATGGGTATCTGCCAACTTCAGCCTCCAGCTCTTCTGGGGTAAAAATCTTGCCTATGAATCTCTTGGCATCATATATTGTGTTCTGAGGATTTGAATCGGCCAGCTCTAAGCTCTCATAACCCACATATACATCATTGTCAGTAAAGGACACCATGCTGGGTATACTGATATGCCCATTTTCATCTGGAATGACCTTTACTTTTCCTGTGCCAGGAAAAAACACCCCAACAGAACAATAGGTGGTACCAAGGTCAATGCCAATCACTTTAGGAGTAGGCAATGGTAAGTACTGTTGTGCCAAATACCCAGCCAACAGGAGAGTCAAAACAGCTGATCCTGAAATACAGGCAAATGAAAAGATATGTTTTATTAAACTAGTACAATATGTTAAATTACTATAGCAAAGTCCTTTTAATAACACTCTTTGAGAAAAGACTAATACACTCTCAAAATATTTTCTTTTATAGTACTAAAGATAACCCTTCTCTCAGACATCAAGTCTTTCATAAAGACTATAATACAGTTAAAATGAAGGAACAACAAAACCAAAAAACCCCTGTAGTTGTATGTCTGTGTACTACACCTATGGGGGAAGAAAAAGTAAAAACATATAATTAATTGTGCTAATACTGACAGGAAAAGCCATTCATCTCTGGCAAAAGCTAGATAAATATAATATAGATATAATTCAATTTCTTGATCAATTAATATTTAGATATTATAGCTTTATAAGCAGCTTTAGTTATCATTTAAAAGAAACTCCATTATTAAATTTCCACAGCGAAAACTCTGTTATTGGAGGACTAAAACTTTTTATCCCCTCATCTCCTTTTTCCTTTCAAAAGGATGAACTGGATAAATGGGTAAAATGATTTTGAAAGTAGTTTAAATATGAAACTGCCACTTTACAACAGAACACAGTTAACTTTTTCTGTATTTAAATACAAAATAAGAAAATACTTCTTGCAGAAATTAATATTTAGGGAAGGAGAACCATAAATGTGTAACCCTAAATGCAATACAAAGCTCCTTGAAGGCGGCTTTTGTTCACTTTTGTATATCCCTTGCACTAGGAATGGCTCCTAGCAAACAGATGCTCAACAAATATTGATTTAAAAAAACCACACACAGTAGACGAACCATGAGAGAGGATGGACTCTGAAAAACAAACAGGGTTCTAGAGGGGAGGGGGGTGGAGGATGAGTTAGCCTGGTGGTGGGTATTGAGGAGGGCACATTCTTTTTTTTTTTTTTTTTTTAAAGATTTTATTTATTTGAGAGAGAGAGAATGAGAGACAGAGAGCACGAGAGGGAAGAGGGCTGAGGGAGAAGCAGACTCCCCGCCGAGCAGGGAGCCCGATGCGGGACTCGATCCCGGGACTCCAGGATCATGACCTGAGCCGAAGCAGTCGCTCAACCAACTGAGCCACCCAGGCGCCCGAGGAGGGTACATTCTGCATGGAGCACTGGGTGTTATGCACAAACAATGAATCATGGAACACTACATCTAAAACTAATGATGTAATGTACGGGGATTAACGTAAGAATAAAAAAATTAAAAATATATACAAAAAAATAAAATAAAATAACACACACACAGACACACAAATATGAACAAACGCCATGCAGATTGTAAACATAAGGAATGAAGAAAGATGCCACTTCGAATTTAAAATTAATATGTTATTTGGTTTCAGGAGATTATGTCCATACGTGTTACATACGACCCAAAACGTCAATTTGTAGGAGTCTGTTTTACTAATTGTGAGCTCATCCTCATCACACATAACTCAAAAAAAAAAAAAGAAAGAAAGAAATCAAGTGCCAACCCCACTTTCCTCTTGCTCCTGTGTGGAAAACTTCAGAAACATTTCATTATTTTCTCGTTCGGGGAGGGTTAATTACTAACTCAGACTGGTGGAAAGTGCATCAGGCTATACATCCAAGAGGCCTGGCTCTCTCAAAATGCAGCATCCCACGAGTCTACAGCTCAGGCCGCGGGGACTGCTCCTCCCCCTTCCTCTACAAAGGGGTCTTGGAGATGCACGTTCTTGCAGCCTCTCAAAGGCCCCAATTCAACCAACGATTCAAAATCGACGTTGTTTTGAAAAGAACCCTTCCCGAGGCCCGATGTCCCTGGGATGTACGCAGAGGGTCGCCGCCGGCCCTACATGGCCTACTCTGGCCCAGGCCATTTCTGGACGAACCCTCAATCCGGCGCCCCGAGAAACCAAAAACCGCCTCTAAGTCACCTTTCCCGAGTCCTTCCCACTGCGCCAATTGGATCCGGGAGGTGACAACCACCCCTGCCCATCCCGGCCTCCCCAAACTGCTCCGGTGCCCACAACAGCCATAGAGAACCCCTGGTCACTGACCTAAGATCGTCATCTCTCCAGCCATCACAGTCCCGCCGAAGAGGCTTGGGATGACTGTACCAGACGTGAGGGACCGCCCCCACGCCACCTCCCAGCCCCGAGGCTTACAGGGTAATGTAGTTCTCTTGCTCCAATGCAGTTGGAGAAGCTACAGCTCTGACCAGAGAAGAGACTTCATTTACCATCAGGTCGCGGGGCCGAGAGCCTCCATTCAACCGCGGCCAGTGACGTCTGAGCCGCCCTCCCACGCCCGGATTACGGGGCCAATTAGGCTGAGGTGGAGAAGAGCCAAGAAGAGAGACTGGGGTTTATAATCAAACCGGAAGCGCCCGGAACCAAGTTGAGGTAAAAACACACTATCTCTTTAGCGCCGCCCCCCCCGCTTTGCATTCTGGGAAGTGTAGTTCGGTCCTGCCCCCATTCGCGGTAGGGAGAGCGAGGACCCGTAGGTTATTGCTTTCTTTAGCCGTGTTCCTCTCCCAGGCCTAGGTTCAAGCCTTTGTCTTTCGTTCTTCCTACCTTTTAAAGAATGATCCTTTGCCTGGGATCTAGATTCTGGATGGGGTTCCTCTAAACACCTGTCATAATTGGCAGGAATTGCTTTCATGGACAAGTCCTGTAGCATGTAATGGCCATTTAGGAAACTTGTGAAGTGTTTTTCAGATTTTAGTCTATAAGAGACCTTTTTTTTTTTTCCTTCTTGGTCACTGGTAGTACTTAATGGCTCTTTCTGAAAGCCTGTCTGTCTGTTTGTCTGTCATTGCTGTTAAAGTTCCCCAGAACTATAATCCTGGTGAATTGAAATATGTTTCCTCATCTTAGATGTAAATCAAACAATCCGTGTTGACAACCGGTCAACCTGCTGGGGGTATATACTACTGGCTTTTTGACTAAAAAATGTAAATGAAAATATTGATGGTTATTGAAGTTGAAGTATAGTTAATGGGGATGCATTATAATCTCTCCACTTTTGTACATTTAAAAAAATCTTTCATAATGTAATCTATAAAAAGTGTGTGTATGTCTATAGTGAGTACTGTTCAGTATAATTTCTTTATGAAGAACACATAATTCAAACACTCAAGTCATGAATATTATTAGGTATAGATCACATTAACCAACATTTATTGACCGTAGTGGTAGCCCCTGGTAACAACCGGAAGGAGAGACAGAAGGTAAGCACATACATACAATTTACTATGGTATATACTGTGAAAATAAAGGAAATCTCATCATTTTTAAAATGGAGCAGGAGAAGCCTTGAAGGGGGAGCTCTCTGGGACTACCACGGGTTGTCAATTGCAGACCCCAGGAGGAAAAGCCATACCTTGCATCCTCAGCAGGAGGAAGCTTAATTTACTGCCCCAGCAGGAGGTAATAAAATTTTCTCCTTGCCCAGCAATAGCAATAGCCAATGAGAAGTTCAAACTCTTTAGGGGCGCCTGGGTGGCTTAGTCGGTTGAGCATCTGCCCTCAGCTCAGGTCATGATCCTGGTGATCCTGGCGTCCTGGGATCCTGCCCCCGCCCTCCTCAGGCTCCCTGTTGTGCAGTGGGGAGTCTGCCTCTCCCTCTGCCTTTGCCTCTCCCTCTGCTTCTGCCTCTCTACCTCTCCGGCCCCCCTCACCCTCCCCGCCCAGGGGTTTGATGGCTCTCGCGCTCTCTCTCTCAAATAAATAAAATCATTAAAAATTAAAAAAAAAAAAAAAGTTCAAACTCTCACTCTACTACAATGGACTTTTGTTCAGGGAAGTCCTTCACAATTTTGTCCTGTCCTCCATAGAAATAAGCCTCTCTCATTTGGTTCTCCAGACTTGCCTATGGTTCACTATAGTTTGCTTGTCCTGAATCGCAATTCCTCTGCTATTCATACCACATAAACTCATTTTGCTAGTAAAATAACTGGCTAATCTTAGGATTAACAAAACCATAATTGTGTATGGATAGAGGGCAGAAACAGAATTGAATAAACACTGTAATTTAATCTTGAAGTCAAGAAGACTTCAAGATCTTTATACTAATGTTATAAAGAATAGCAACCAAGAGAGTTGGGAAATAAGGGTGAGGGCAGGGATATGGAAAGAAATGTGGATATACTGTTTTCTTCATTTTTCTTAGCAGGGAGTTCATAGATATTTAGAATGGAGAATTTGAGACATAGGCGCTTAAATAGATAATTCAAGGTTATGAAGGCAACTTTCTGAAGGACTAAAAAATGATAAAACATATAAAAGAATAAGCTATAGAGAAAAATAAGTGGGACAAATTAAAATGTGTACTTTTTTTCAGTTTTCCATAGAGAGGTGTCAATGTATATAATTTAAAGTAAAATTTAAAAATCCATTTAGCAAAATATATGAACAAAGGAAGCAATAAGTCAAAAAATATATCAGATGACAGATTTAGGCTCAATTTTTATTATATGCATAAATATAAATGGGATAGACTAAAAACTGCCAGATTGCCTTTTTTTAATATAAAGTTGTAACTATTTATTAGAGACTTAAATAGATAACTAAATGAAGTTGGTAGCTGGAAAATATCTTAGAGGGCATCTGGACCCACCCCCTTATTTATAGAGAGAAAAATAGAGGCCAAGAGAAGTCAAGAAAATTATGATCTCAATTAGTGTTCATTCTCTTAATAAATTATACTTCACCTTCAATTTAGTGATTAGAGGTAATCTTTAACAATAGCAGCTGGAGTGAAAAATTATCTAATTATATATCCCGATATTTCTCATTATTATTTCAGAAATGTGCTCTGTTAGGAAAATCATTGCCAAATAACAAAAATCTTACAATATACCAGTCTAATTCAGGGGACAAATTATCCTTGTTGTTGTTTAATTCACACTTATTTCTCTTCTCTCATCTATATAAGAAAAGTTCATTGAATGGAAAATTGATCCAGTTCTCTGCACATTCATTAGAAGAATAAGTGTATTGAAATTACAATTTAGTTTGACTTACATTGTTAGATTCTATGGAACACTGTGATATTTAAACATAAAAAATTACTTCTATGTTAAAATTATGCCATAACAGGACAAATCTCATTTATTGAACCAGAGTATTTATACATTTTCCCCCTTGTGCTAGACTGCTATGGTTCCATATATTTCTGTTCTCTGGGAATTTAAAATTTATTGCATGAAGATTTTTCATGTAAACGTATTAGGAAATAAATCTGATTTGTAACCAAGAAGCTGGTACCAGTGTTGTTGTTTTTTCACAGAACCTTATTATCATACCTCTGAACTTTTGAAGGATGAGTATGTTTGCCCTTTATTTTAAAAATAGCTTATATTCTGGTTATTGTCTGTAAGTTTCAAATTAATTTAAGTGGATATATATATTACATATGTTTACAATAAGAAACAGATTGTTTTTAAAAAATCTATTTCCGATTAAAGCAAAACATAACAAAAACTTGAAGTCATATGAACGTATGAATACTTCTTACATGATCAAAAATATGTCCCAAACAACAAACCAGCACCAAACTTAGAATTATTACCAGTAAAATTGAGACCGAGATAAGAATACTCATTTACAACTATTATATAGCATTGCTTTGGAATTAACAGCCTGTGCAAGAAAATACAATAGAAAGTATAAATTTAGGGAAAATAAAAAGGCAAATTTATCATCATTTTCTAATTATATGATTATTATCTTAGTTCGGGCTACTATAGCAAAATAATACAAACTGGGTAGTTCATAAACAACAGAAATGTATTTCTCATAGTTCTGGAGCCTGAGAAATCCAAGGTCAAGACACTGGCAGATTAGGTGTCTGGTGAAAGCCTGTTTCCTGATTCATAGACTGCTGTCTTCTCTGTGTCTTCACAGGGTGGAAGGGACAAGGGAACTCTCTAGGGTCTTTTTCATAAGGGTATTAATCCCACTCATGAGGATTCTACTCTCATAATCTAATCACCGCTCAAAGGTCTCACCTTCTAATACTATTATATTGAGGATTGGGGTTCAACATAGATTTGGGGGGTGGGGAGGAGTGGAGACACAGTCTGTAGCGATTATATAAATTAAAACACACATTAAAAATGTCTGAGAAACAATAAGAATTGAATAGAGGGCTCCTTTAATAATATTGTATAAGAATAACTTTTCTATATGCAAACAACATCCAGTTAGAAAAAAATATGGCAGGAAAGATTACATTTACAGTAGCAAACAAAATCCTTAGAAGTACATTTAAAAATAAAAGAAGAAAGCTTTAAATCTCTCCTAAAAATCAATCAATCAATCCATCTTTCCTAAGACTAGAACAAAATATTGAAGTAGATAAAAAGACAACACCTTTTTGGATAGGAAAACTCAAGACATTTATTATAGAAAATTTTAAACATACATAAGGCAGAGACAGTTAGCGACCATGCCCCTCATCCAGATTCAATAATTATCAATTGGTAACTAATCATGCTTTTTTTTAAACAAAAATACAAGAGAACAAATCTACACCTTTATTTACTTTTCATTAAATTTAAATCCTTGAGGGGTACAGCATCACACGGATTCTGTGGCCACTGGCTTTAGCAGGAAGGTTGCTTCGGAATTTGGCACAAACCATGCCACTGTTTCCATGAGCACGAGTTACTTTTCCCCAGATTACTCTGGTTTTGTTTGGTTTGCCTCCAGGAGTCACTGTGTTGTTCTTCGCTTTGTACACATAAGCACATCTCTTGCCTAGATAGAATTCCGTTTCATCTCGAGCATAAACACCTTCAATTTTAGGAAGAGCTGTGTGCTCTCTCTGGTTCTGGAGACCCCGCTTATAGCCAGCAAAAATGGCCTTGGACCACAGCCTTCCAGACATTATTTGGCATTAGAGGAGTCCTGTTCCCAGCAGGCCTCCACAGACTCCAGGATGGCGGAAAAAGAAAGGCGAAGCCTAACTAATCATGTTTTATGTCTATCTGCCCTATTCCTCAATCTCATATTACTTTGAAGCAAATAGGAGATAAATCCTTTTATCCTTAAATATTTCAATAAGTACATGTAAAAAAATTTTTAAACACAAAATAATATTGTCAAACGTAAATATTAAAAGCAATTCTCTACTATTAAGAATCTAGTCAGAAGCATTTCCAAATGCTTCATACATAAATATTGTATTGTTTTCCAGTTTG